ACTAAAGGACACCTTGAAATTTATTCTTCTCAATAAATTTCCGGGGCGAACTTTAACATTGGCCGTAATGACGCTATAAAACTCCCAAATTCCGGGCAGTCGGCTCACAAGAGGGAACGCTAAATCTTCAAGCGAAAAGTTTGATTTGTCTACCCACGTATGCAAATAAGAAACTAATGCTAATGTTATTGGGGGTGTAGAAAGTTGTCTACGATTATAGCTTTACTGTCTGCATGGACGCCCTAAGGGATCAAGTTTATTTCACCGTCTTTAAAAATATATCTTGAGCAATTTTATAGCTGCATAAAAAAGATATAAAATTGGGTAGAAGAAATATTAAAGAAGAAATAAGTTTAAGTGAAGAAAAACATTGGAAGAACAACGCGCCCTTACCGGATTTATACAGGGGCTGGGCAGAGAAGTCGGTGAGAAATTAGAAGCACAATCAACTAAAAGCAAGTGAAAAGCTGGTATTAGAAAGAGCGGATTAACCAAGGATCAAAACACATTGAAGACGCAGGAAAGAGTGGAGGTTCTAAAAGCGAGGATGAAACACGGGTGTGAGGGGCTAATCAGTGGAAACTGATAGGGAACTGGGGAAAACAAAGAGATGTGTCAGAAAACAAAGAGCTGTGTAAGAAAACAAAGAGGTCTGTCAGAAAACAAAGACAACTGTTAGAAAACAAAGAGATGTGTAAGAAAACAAAGAAATCTGTCAGAAAACAAAGAGATCTGTTATAAAACAAAGAGATATTTTTAAAAAGACTGAAAATACAAAGACAACTAAGAAAATTGCAACAAAGTGTGATCATCGCTCTCTGATCCAGTTGTATAACTTAAACGTGCATCCATATCAGGTAAACAAATCTGGGGAATTTGTGGGGGGGTGGGGGGGGGGATTCCCTAATCGCTTCAACCTTGTGAAAACAAATTAGGACAGAAAGGGAAGGGGAAATTCCCTAACCACATCAACCTTGTGGAAAAAAATATTTGGGGAGTGTAGGGGTTGGGGGAAATTCCCTAACCACATTAACTTTCTGAAAACAAACTAGTACAGGGGGAAGGGGATATTCCCTACCCAAATCAACCTTATGAAAAAAAGATTAAGGGGTAGAGATTCGCCACACACAGATAATCGCACTACAGTTTATGTTGTTCGACTGACCCAAATTAAATTTCTAAATTGCTAATTATTGTTTCGAAAATTAATTATTCAGAACGATGCTGAAAGTTACCATCTTTAATGAACCAAAGGCTATGAGATATTTAAACATTGGACTTGGTAAGTCATCTGTTTGTAAAACACAAAAGGCTCTCGGTCACTCGGGTCTGACCCGTGTCCACACCCCACCCATATCTGTCGGTCACTCGGGTCTGACCCGTGTCCACCCCACCCATATCTGTCGGTCACTCGGGTCTGACCCGTGTCCACCCCACCCCCTATATCTGTCGGTCACTCGGGTCTGACCCGTGTCCACCCCACCCATATCTGTCGGTCACTCGGGTCTGACCCGTGTCCACCCCACCCATATCTGTCGGTCACTCGGGTCTGACCCGTGTCCACCCCACCCATATCTGTCGGTCACTCGGGTCTGACCCGTGTCCACCCCACCCCCTATATCTGTCGGTCACTCGGGTCTGACCCGTGTCCACCCCACCCATATCTGTCGGTCACTCGGGTCTAGGTCCTGACCCGTGTCCACCCCACCCATATCTGTCGGTCACTCGGGTCTAACCCGTGTCCACCCCACCCATATCTGTCGGTCACTCGGGTCTAACCCGTGTCCACCCCACCCATATCTGTCGGTCACTCGGGTCTGACCCGTGTCCACCCCACCCATATCTGTCGGTCACTCGGGTCTAACCCGTGTCCACCCCACCCATATCTGTCGGTCACTCGGGTCTAACCCGTGTCCACCCCACCCATATCTGTCGGTCACTCGGGTCTGACCCGTGTCCACCCCACCCCCTATATCTGTCGGTCACTTGGGTCTGACCCGTGTCCACCCCACCCATATCTGTCGGTCACTCGGGTCTAGGTCCTGACCCGTGTCCACCCCACCCATATCTGTCGGTCACTCGGGTCTGACCCGTGTCCACCCCACCCATATCTGTCGGTCACTCGGGTCTAGGTCCTGACCCGTGTCCACCCCACCCATATCTGTCGGTCACTCGGGTCTAGGTCCTGACCCGTGTCCACCCCACCCATATCTGTCGGTCACTCGGGTCTGACCCGTGTCCACCCCACCCATATCTGTCGGTCACTCGGGTCTGACCCGTGTCCACCCCACCCATATCTGTCGGTCACTCGGGTCTGACCCGTGTCCACCCCACCCATATCTGTCGGTCACTCGGGTCTAACCCGTGTCCACCCCACCCATATCTGTCGGTCACTCGGGTCTAACCCGTGTCCACCCCACCCATATCTGTCGGTCACTCGGGTCTGACCCGTGTCCACCCCACCCCCTATATCTGTCGGTCACTTGGGTCTGACCCGTGTCCACCCCACCCATATCTGTCGGTCACTCGGGTCTAGGTCCTGACCCGTGTCCACCCCACCCATATCTGTCGGTCACTCGGGTCTGACCCGTGTCCACCCCACCCATATCTGTCGGTCACTCGGGTCTAGGTCCTGACCCGTGTCCACCCCACCCATATCTGTCGGTCACTCGGGTCTAGGTCCTGACCCGTGTCCACCCCACCCATATCTGTCGGTCACTCGGGTCTGACCCGTGTCCACCCCACCCATATCTGTCGGTCACTCAGGTCTAACCCGTGTCCACCCCACCCATATCTGTCGGTCACTCGGGTCTGACCCGTGTCCACCCCACCCATATCTGTCGGTCACTCGGGTCTGACCCGTGTCCACCCCACCCATATCTGTCGGTCACTCAGGTCTGACCCGTGTCCACCCCACCCATATCTGTCGGTCACTCGGGTCTGACCCGTGTCCACCCCCCCCATATCTGTCGGTCACTCGGGTCTGACCCGTGTCCACCCCCCCCATATCTGTCGGTCACTCAGGTCTGACCCGTGTCCACCCCACCCATATCTGTCGGTCACTCGGGTCTGACTGAGGTTCTGACCCCGTGAGAGTATCGATATTTTCCCAACACTAGCCAATCAGCACAGGTTGCCTCTCATTGATTTTTTTTCAATTGTAAAGCTCTATTAATGCAAATCTACGACTTGATGTGATTTATAAATAAATAGCACATACATACATCGTCTAGTTGAGAATTGTGTAGGGAAATCTTTGGAGATAGCGTGAGGAAGCATAAGGGCAGTGGTGGTGGCCCAAGGCATTGGGCTAGGGATGGGGAGTGGGGGCATTGGGCTAGAGATGGGGAGTAGAGGTATTGGGCTAGGGATGGGAAGTGGAGGCATTGGGCTAGGGATGGGGAGTGGAGGCATTGGGCTAGGGATGGGGAGTGGAGGCATTGGGCTAGGGATGGGGAGTGGAGGCATAAGGGGTAGGGATGGGAAGTGGAGTGGAGATATAGGGATAGGGATGGGGAGTGGAGTGGAGGCAATAGGGATGGGGAGTGGAGGCATTGAGCTAGAGAATGGGAGTGGAGTGGAGATATAGGGATAGGGATGGGGAGTGGAGTGGAGGCAATAGGGATGGGGAGTGGAGGCATTGAGCTAGAGAATGGGAGTGGAGTGGAGTGGAGATATAGGGATAGGGATGGGGAGTGGAGTGGAGGCAATAGGGATGGGGAGTGAAGGCATAGGGATGGGGAGTGGAGTCATACGGGTAGGGATGGGGAGTGAAGTCATCTCGCTAGGGATGAGGAGTGAAGTCATTGAACTAGAGATGGGAAGCATAGTGGCAGTGAGGGGGGTGGGGGCATTAGCTATTCTATACATGGAGCTACAGATGGATGGCAGGAATAAGGACAGTTTGAAATCTGGATTCTATTATTGGGAATGAGCTGGGGGAAGGCTCTAAAAATAGACTGCAATACCGAGACAAGATTAGAAAACTCTTTTAGTGCAAAGCGTTTACCTGTTCGTGCAAGGTTTTTTCATCACCCCCCCCCCCTCCCCACAGTTGTAATCATTTACCAATTAAATCACATGTTGTTTTTTTTACTCCCTTTTCTCCTTTTGGTACGTCTCCTTATGAAACTCGTTTAGTTGGTGTTGCATTTAATTGATGAAAAAAATGTTAAAGCCGGTCTTGCAAAGCTATTTTTTTTTACATCATAACGTTTAATTATTGATGTTATGTTTTAAAGTTGTAAACTATTTCTTTAACGTTTTGTTGTTTAAAAATGAGAAAATTTCTTAATCTTCGATTTGTAAAAAAAAATTTTCTTATAAAATAAATTACTGAAATACTAATTAGATCTAGTTAAAACAGTTGACAAAATCCCAATGGTCAAAAATCGTAGCCAGCTCCTATAATAAAACAACAGAAGTTTTAATCTAACTAAAATGTACTATGTAAAACAGTATAATACGTCTAGCCTCATTAACAGAGTTTCTTCCTGGTATCTCTTCCAAAGAAAGTCTACCGCCCCCCCCCCCCCACCCTCGGAGAAAAAAGTCTGGAAGAAACACTGATCATTAACATATACGTTCTGCTTCTTTCTGCACAATAGCAAGAATTTCTACCACTAAAAAAACCCATATTGTTCTTTTATCCTCATCTTTAAAGGCTCGTATTCGCTAGAAAATCATATTCTCTCATTATTGATTTGTGTTTTATTGTATGCAGTCAAGTAATTTTTTCTTCTTATTTTATCATAAAACATTGTATTTCAATGAATGTCTCGACTAAAATGTTTCGTAATTTTTCGCCAATACGTCAGAAAAAAAGCCAATGAATAGGTCTTCACTTTCACCCAAGTATCGTACAAGTTGTTTTTTTTACAAAACTAATTTATTGTGCATGTTTCTATTTCTAAGATTTAAAAGCTCAAAAGTTTTTTTAATGCTTTATCGTGCAATTTTTTTAAAAATAAAACGTAAAAATATAAGTTAAAATAACTTACGTCAAACACTTGGAGGTATCTTGCGCGTGCGTGATAATCCTCAACGAGAGCAATTAGTTAATCACACAGTTTAAGCGTACACATACTACAGGTAAGTAACCGCAGCCAGTTACCTGTGTTTTACGTCCGAGTTAAACCTGTCTAGTTCCCATACCTGGCTATCTGTTGTTTGAACATGCGGAATATTTTTTTTAAAAAGCTCGTCAACACTCGCGCTTTGTCGTCACGTGATCGGACGTCATTTTCACCGTGTTCCAGACGTCAGTTGGACATTGATTGCACTCTTCCAGACGTGACCTGTTGAATGAAAGACGTCATCAGAAGACGACCAGCGACAGCAGACGGGAAGACCTAACGTCTGCTGGTCTGCATGCCTCCACTCTCTCGCGGCTCTGCCATGCACTCCGCTCGGCGGATTGATATCGGTGTGCGCGCGCGAGGAAAGCTCAGCGCGAGAAAAAACATAGGAACGAAAGAAGCGACGGGACGGGTGCGGTGCCAATGTTAGCCGGACAGTGGTCAAAGAATTGTCTTAAAATGCTGCAGATAGCAGCGTCGATACCCAAAGATGTCTTTAAATACTGCATATAGCAGTGTCTATAGTCGAAGATATGTCTGCATGTAATATTAAACAGGAAGAAAGTAGCATCCTAAACTACCATATCTATCGACTTTGCTGCTCTTAGACTCTGAATATCATGCTGAGTGTCTTTTAATGAGTTCAAATGAATTTAAGTGAGTATAGCTAATTAGCAACAAACCACTTCTTGTGGGTAACCCACTTTTAAATTTAGTTAGTGAGTAGGCCCTATAACAATAACCCACTTCAAAAATGTTCCCACTTTTTAATTCTTTTAGTGAGTATAACAAAATCCCACATTTCGTGGGTAACCCACTTTTTAATTCAGTCCATGAGTACAGCAAAACCCCACTTCTGACAGTTATCCCACTTTTTATTCCACCTACTCGTCGCTCCCTCTGACGGAAGAATGAATTGAAACAGTTAAGAACGAGATTATATCATTTTGAACCTGCAGCAACCTTATAGCCAGGAATATGCTCGCAGCAAACAGCTAATCAATCAGTACTCGGTGCAAGATACCTGAGTGGCTTACCGGAAATAACTTTCATCGACCTGTTCAAATCGATACAAAAATTAATGGTATGTATTAAAAAATGCATATTTTGAAATTGATTTGTCGCTTGTTTTATTTTTATCTTGTTCGTATGCTGATATTAGAGGAAGTTTATTTAATGAAGACTAACTTAAGTAAAACAAAGACATAAGTTGGGTTTTAATCGTGTAGATTGCAGGATTGTAGTTTTTTTTTTTTTTAGTTGAAAGTAGAATTGTAGTGGTAGAGGATACGGCGAAACAGGACGACACAGCAGTGCCATGTACTTCCAGTAGCGTCACAAGGGGGTGCGGGGGTACGGTCTGCCAGGGTGACACCATCGAGGGCGTATTACCAAGTCGAAAAAAAGTAGAAAATTTGCTTTCAAAACAATGCTTGATCCAGTTTTTTAAAAGGGGGTGGGGGATACACCACAGCCTTTGTCCATCCCAAACAAACTACAAGTTGTTTCTCCTAGATGAGTGGCTGTCTCCGGCTATCGAGTCTCATCGAACTCGGGACTTTTCGATTCAGCAACCATGAGCTTCACCCACCCGACCACGCCGACCTGTTGTCTATTATTAGACTTCGACTCTGAGCTAAATTAGAGATGGCAGCTAGTATTTAACTCCTTTTTTCTTTTATGATAAGCCGTTTCGGTATAATCAGAAATGTCAGCTAATTATAAACCTACTATTCTTATGGTAGTCCATATTGGTTAAATCGGATATGTCAGCTAGTATTTAAACTGTTGTTTCTATGGAAGCCCGTGTTGGTTATGTGGCAACTATTTTCATTCGATTTACCAACTGTATGGATGGACCCAAGTCAATACGCTGTGTTCAAAGCTCTAGTTATATTTCTGTCGTTAACTCCAATCAAATAAATCTTTACGAAAATGATAGGTTATTTTTTACTTGTTTGAAATATGACCTCATTTTTACTAGCTTTGCACATCTTTTATATGTTGTTAGTGTATGTGTATAATCATCTTTATATAAACGTGTACTTTTCTATAATGAATAAATGTATTTTAAAAATATTTTATTGTACCACGGATCACCATGAATGTTCTAATCAACAATTTAACAGAGGCAACCTCGATCATTAGCAATTATCTTGAAAGATATGGCTGAACTTGCCCTATATTAGCAAGACGCTGTTGTCGTTTGCTTTGTACTGCCGCCTCATAATCGAAGAAACAACTGACGTCATCCATCTCAATCAATGTTAACTTCCGTAGATAAGATACAGAACGGAAATTTTCTGTCATTTTATTTTTTTATACCCGGTTCAAAGACCGTTATAATCTTTTAAAGTGGAGTACCCTTTTGGTACCTGTGGTCCATGGGAACAGGCGATGTGACGTCATCTGTTTCAGTGACCTCAGATTATATAAATGGGGTAGTGTGGTCAGCAGTATGCCAGCCGCCTTTACTTTGCCTAACGGGACTCAGGTACCCACCCAGTGTTTCTTCCAGACTTTTTTCTCCGGGGTGGGGAGGGGGGGGGCACTTGAAATTTTCGATTTTCGGGGGGGGGGGGGGCGGTAGACTTTCTTCGGAAAGGGGGCGGACATTGTTAAAAAGTATATATTTTCTATATAAATTTCATTCCGTTCGGGGGGGGCGGTAGACTTTCTTCGGGGGGGGGGCTAATTTTAGCTCTAATGAGATTTAAAATTAAATACTATTGTGTTGTTATCGGAAACGAAATGACCATAATGAACCAAACTAGCTGCATAAAAAGTAAACCACACTTTAAGTAACAAGATTAAAAACAGACCCACAGACAAGATATTGGGGGCTAAGTAAAAGCTCTTAAAAGGAATACGCTTGCTGAGAAAAGTGCTCTTGACTACTTTTCCTTCAATGGTTCCAGATTTTCTTGTTTTCATGCCCGTGTGAGTGAGGAAATCAACAAACCAATCGAGACATTTCTTGATAGCATCGCCAACAGAGCCACGTGACCGATCAATAACATATCAAGCACCCATCATCCCCCACACACACGCACCAAACACACACGCACATAGACACGCACACATCTCGAAGCCTGGCATTGTATATGAGCCACGTATGAGTCTGTTGGTTTTTTTTTAATTAGATCTACTTACTATTACTGTCACGTCAAGGTTTATGTTAACATCCAAACAATGATCTACAAAACGGGTTACTGAATAATATCCCCGAGCTTAGGTCGTATATTATTATATATCAGTTGCGTAGCGAGGTCGGGCGTCACCCGGTGCGGCACTTAATGGTGTCACCCCCCAGAGGCGTAGCGACAAACTTTCAATTTTCGATTTGCACCCCCCCCCCCTCAAACTTTCAATTTGCACCTCTTAAAACACTATTTAACACTCAAATTAATCACTTAATTAAGTGGAATTATCATTTTTCTCTATAGTAAAGTAAAGTAAAGTTTCCCTTTCAAACCTGAAGGTCTATGGGGCAAGTGAAGTAGAGTTCACTTGTTTCTGTGACCTCGGAATATGAAGAGATAGTGTGGTCAGCACTATGCCCAGCCGCTTTTACTTTCCCTAACGTGAGTTAGGTACCCAACAGAGTTGGGTGGACTCAGGGACGGTCCACTGACTTGAACCCTGATTCGAACTCGAGACTTACGGGTTAGCAGTCCAGCTCTCTACCGCTAGACCACTCCGTCCCATTTTCTTTATATATTTTGCTATTTTTTTGCCTTGGTGTCACCCCCCCCCCTAAATGGTGACACCCGGTGCGGTCCGCACTCCCCCCTCCCAAACCCCCACCCCCTAGCTACGCCTCTGATGATGGGTAGTGATCATTGGTTTTAAAAAAAAAACCATATTGTAAAAGTTATTTCATTAGCTTTTAATTTGATATACCGTTGTTGAATTATATATATCGTACAAAGAAAAAAAATATACAGGTCTCTTTAATCTGTTGTTTTAAAAAAAACTTTTATTTTATTAAAGATGGAGGAATTAAGTTAAGTAGAATTTGTTATACCCAAGCTGATTTTCCACTGTGTCTTAGATTACATTTCTTTAATACACATTGACTGGCTAGGTTTCGTATCCATGCTCCGAAGTGAGTGTTCAGCTAACATTTATTCTTATTCTTTACGTTAACAAAGAGTGCAGTACTTTAGTAATTTGGCTAGTTTTGGCAATCTTTTTTTATTTTTTATTTTTTTATTTTTTTTTTTAGTTTTGGCAATCTTTTTTTTTTTTTTTTTTTTTTTTTTTTTTTTTTTTTTGCCTCAGACATGTAATTTACAGCGTCAGTTGTGTGTGTTCGCTTTAGTATTACAATTTTCATCACCGGCTTGTGAGGACTGACACAGATTTACAATAGTAATATTTCTTTCTTACTTGTAGCCTACTTTCATTCATTTAAGATGGTTTACTTATACATAGATCTAATACAAAACGTCTAAATATAAAGAAAAAATAATAATTAAAAACCAACCTGAAACTGAAAATGCAAATGTGTAATTAAATGATGATTCAAGGGATTTTTTTTCCATCAGCGTGGTGGGCTAAGGGGACGAGAAGGGGGGGGAGAGGGTTGAATTTGTTTGTTTTTTTTAAAGTAGAGCTGAAATGAATTTGGGATTACAGAGAATTAAAATGATACAAATTTTAAGCAATCGGAAAAGTTATGTTATTACAATGAGACACGTAAAAGCAAACACTCTTCCCTTTCAAACATCTATATCTATATAGTCCTCAATTAGTTTTTTTTTTTTTTTTCCTTTTTTTTTCTTTATTATTATTAATTCAATTGTTTTAAACCTTTAAATCAGTAATAATAATTTATTTGATAGATTTTACACAGCATCAAAGACATGAACATCAATTGCATATATAATAATCAAATGGAGAAAATAAAATGGCATAAGAACTAGACTAAAATAAGGTGTGCAAACTAGGTTTCTCTTGACTGCTTAGTTTACTGTGCTCTGTCCTTAGCTGAGGAGTCAAAAGTACACATTGTAGACAGAAATAAAAACCACCGTGGGAGAAGTGTCTCTGTAATACACATTACTGATCTATCATTCCAAAACTTTCCATGACATAAAATTGACCCTTGGCAAAGAGGGCACGCTACCTTGAAAAATCCGCCAGTCCGGTTGAGTGGAGGGAAGTGTGTGTGTGTGGGGGGGGGGGGGGGGGGGTGAGGTGTGTATCTCTTTCTACCATTCAGGTTGTGCACTTTTAAAAACCTGGGAAACAGAAGACTGTTCTAATGTTAAATTACTTGGGGGCTGATCGAGTGATGTTTTGCTTGAGACTGTCGATATTAATTATGCATCTAGTTTATTTGCTTCTTCTGTAGTTCCAATTTTAGTTTCCTGTAAAAGTAGGATGTCAATATTGTGTTTATTTATTATGTTGTTTATATAATGTGTTTTGTCCCTAGCCCCCCTGATGTTCAATGTTGCCAGAGTTAGCATGAATTATTTGGGGTTTTCTTTCGAACATCTGTTTCTGGAGGGCTGGATGGTGGTGGTCTTTTAATTCCAAACCTTCCAGCCGTTGGTTTGCTATCCCGTTGGGCCCTGGTCACGAACCTTTGAGGTGGCTTTACTGTAGGTAATTGATTTTTACTTGAACTGATTGCTTGACTATATGACAGTTGACCTGATACCTTTGTTGCTGACATACTTTGTGAGCTTTTAATTTCCTTTAGCGGTTTCGTTATGTTTTCTGAACTAGAGTTATCTTGAAGAATATTAGTTATTGTTTCGTCGACAGCCTCCAAATTTTCGTGATTCCCATCTTTTTGAGACCCGGTAACTATGGAATTCCTGGTTGCTATTGTCTCCATGGCTTCGGCCTCTATGGTGGTTTCTGTTAGGCTTTCGTTAACTTGCTGCGGTGCTACAGTAGTATGATGTGCTTCAGTTTGGCCATCTACTTCAAAGGCATCTTGTACCTCTCTGTGCCTTGCTTCTCTAAGCATTTCATTTTGTCTTTCTCCGTCAACATCATAACTGTCCCAATGCTTTAAGAAATTTCTATTGTTACTTAGATGCTCCCTAACTTCTTCTTTATCATTTGCATCCCAAGGCTCAATTGCCCTGTACTGTCCATCTACTAGCTGGACGCCGTCAAGAGCGCGAGTCCTCAAATGCTCACACATTTTAGGCAGGTGCCTGTCTGTGTTGCAGTGGCAACATTGCATCCTCCTCCCATTGAGGATTATAAGGACTCTGCTCTCCTTGTTGGCCTCATTTGTAAGTATAATATAGTGTGGGACACTCTCCACATCTTCTTTCTCCAGAGAGATGGTGAATTGGACCACATTTGATTGGTCTATTCTCTTAAATGTTGGTGTTGAGTCCTGACTGCTTATAGATTTCAGAATCGCCATTATATCATCGTCACTTGTCTTGGAAGGCAGCCATTTCAGCATGCCCCTTTGCCCAGATTTATCGGCGTGGGATATTGATATTCTCTGCACTCTGTATCTGGATGTTACTCCAGGTGGCAAATCTCTGTGAAATTCTTTTAGGTGCATTTTCTCATATAGTTCCTTTGATCTAATGGTGACATACCATTTACGCAGTGTCCCATAGTTATACAGACCTTCAAATTCAGCTGGTGATAGGCTACATAACATGCATAGCTCTCTTTTTAGTTCGTCAGCTGTGAGAGTAGCTAAAGAAAAACCCTCTTCTATGAAAATCTCTAGAGTTTTTGGCGCATGTCCTGCCATGCCGAACTTAGGCAGGAATAGCCGTTTGATGTATTTTTCCGACATAGTTGTGCGTGAGGCCCACCCGGGGCCAGGCAACACACACAAGAAAGAAAAAAGAAAAAAGTACTTACAATGTATAAAATGTGAAGAAAAAAAATAACACACACACAATGTTCCAAATGGAAATACACACGAGTTTAAATAAGTAGAGATGAAATTAATCCAAAGTCACTGATTATATAATCTTTAGAAAATAGGTAAATTCTTCAACATTTTTTTTAGCAATTGAATGTCCCATTTTAAAATTAATAATTATTATTTTCACATTGACAGTTACTAATACGCCTCTAACATTTGAAATTACACTTTTTACAGAAGTAATAGAAGTAATAATAGATTTTAGTTCGAATCATTTATAAACGCTCAACAACAATATAATCTTTTAGTTTAAATAAATGCAAATGCAGGTTCATTTTATTTAAAGATTTTAGTAAATTATATATGAGGACAAAACTATTATAAATATAAAATATTTTATCATAATTTAAAATCAGCATTAGAGTTTTTTTGTTTTTATTTTTTTTATTAATAAAAAATTCAGAAATTTTGAATGCAAGCAGTTGCGTCCCTTCTTTTTTCTTCTTTTTTTTTTCTTTTTTAATCTTTGCCATTCAAATGGTGTGTAGCTTACTTGACCTACAACACACCAGCAATCGTAGCTTGTCGGTTTCTTGTTCAACTTTCTGCTGGTCCCGTGAAAAGCTATAAAACAACCAGGTAATTTCCGCCTTCAAATTTTTTCTTTCACGGGTTTTCTTTGTTAGATACAAATCTTCGTAGGATTAACATTTTCCAGGTTCATGACCTTTAAACTCTGACCCGGCGTCACGAAATAAAATTGACTGCTTGTCGAGGCGTTTTGACCTTGTTCGTGATATTGTGTTTCCATTTATTAATAAAATTATCAGACGACCGGTTAATGTAAAAACTAGATCTACTCTCGAACAAATAAATGTAATAAAACTACACTAGTTCAGCAGCTGTATTTTGTGATTATCACGTGTGTAGTGTTCTATTTTTAGCGATGTTTTTTTTTTCAAGCTGAAGCATTCAAGTCTGCTGTTGGTAGACTTAGATTAGATCAGTGGAAGTGGGGCGGTGTTTCTGAATTAATAAAACTTCCCGTTTAGGAAAACGGGGCAATAATGAGTGAGGGGAGGGTGGGGGGAGAGAGAGAGAGAAGCAATTGGCTGAAAAAGTGAAAGTGACGAACATAGATGTCACTACGCAAAAGGGAGGTAATGACTTTTATGACGATGAACTACGTGCATACGGAAGGGTTGGGGTTAATAATTATGACGTAAAATAAATGTTGCATTCCTTAAAAGTTAAAATTTTGAAAAACAATTTTCTTATACCGTGAATTTGTGCTTTCGGGGAGGTAGGTTTTTTTTTTTATTCCACGTGTGGCTATGCGTGAAGTGTGTTAAAATAGCATAACTCCACATGTGTTCAGTCATGCCCCGCTTGGTAGTTTATCTAACGAACCTTTACCCACATTGAAATTGAGGGAGAACGTATCTGTTTTCAGCCTTGTGTTGGTCTATCTTAACGCGATGTTACTTGATGTTTTGTCGACAGAAAGGCTGACAAGATGGACATCAAACAAAGGAAGAAACAAAAACAGACATCGCAACATGAGACACGACCAGTTAACAAAAGGTGGGATACTAGGGGGCTAATGGGGATATTGGTGGGGGGATACAATGGGCAAATGTGGAAGTTTTTTGGTGGGGTACAAGTGTACAAGGAATATTTTTGGTGGGATATTAGACGCAGTACGGACGCTTTTGGTGGGATACAAGTATTATTACAAGATGCAAGTGTTGAGGTTTTTAGCGGGGTACAAGGGGCAAATGTGGAAGTCTTTGGTTGTATGCAAGGGGCTAATGTTGAGAATTTTGGTGGGGTACAAGGGGCAAATAAGGATATTTTTGGTGGGATACAAGGGGCAAATAAGGATATTTTTGGTGGGATACAATGGGCAAATAAGGATATTTTTGGTTAGGTAAAAGGGGCAAATAAGGATATTTTTAGTGGTGTACAAGGGGCAAATAAGGATATTTTTGGTTAGGTAAAAGGGGCAAATAAGGATATTTTTGGTGAGGTAAAAGGGGCAAATAAGGATATTTTTAGTGGTGTACAGGGGGCAAATAAGGATATTTTTGGTGGGATACAAGGGGCAAATAAGGATATTTTTGGTGGGATACAATGGGCAAATAAGGATATTTTTGGTTAGGTAAAAGGGGCAAATAAGGATATTTTTAGTGGTGTACAAGGGGCAAATAAGGATATTTTTGGTTAGGTAAAAGGGGCAAATAAGGATATTTTTGGTGAGGTAAAAGGGGCAAATAAGGATATTTTTAGTGGTGTACAGGGGGCAAATAAGGATATTTTTGGTGGGATACAAGGGGCAAATAAGGATATTTTTGGTGAGGTAAAAGGGGCAAATAAGGATATTTTTGGTGGGATACAAGGGGCTGTTACGGATATTTTTGGTGGGGTACAAGGGGCTAATGGGGATATTTTTGATGGGATAGATAGGTTTTAGCTATCGGGAAAAACCAACCATAGACAAATCACACTTTCTGCAAGAATTCTGGAGACAAATAACAATACTAGGAATAACATTACTTTGTCAGGTCAAGGTATTTGTTTTTAAAACTAGATTCTTCATTATACAATTTTTGTTGAAGAGTTTCAGATGAACCTCAGCCATTTCAGACTGACTTGTGGCTCATCCTGGCTCTGGAAAACTGGATCTTTGATTTCGGTCGGCCTATAGCTGCTGTAAGTATACTTTTGTATGTTTTCTTAGCTGCTGTAAGTATACTTTTGTGTATTTTATTATCTGCCGTAAGTATACTTTTGTATGTTTTGTTAGCTGCTGTAAGTATACTTTTGCGTGTTTTCTGGCCGAAGTAAGTATACTTTTGTGTGTTTTATTATCTGCTGTAAGTATACTTTTGTGTGTTTTATTATCTGCCGTAAGTATACTTTTGTATGTTTTGTTAGCTGCTGTAAGTATACTTTTGTGTGTTTTATGACCGAAGTAATTATACTTTTGTGTGTTTTATTATCTGCCGTAAGTATACTTTTGTATGTTTTGTTAGCTGCTGTAAGTATACTTTTGTGTGTTTTGTTAGCTGCTGTAAGTATACTTGTGTGTGTTTTAGTAGCTGTAATTTATACTTAGGTATGTTTTATTGTCTGCCGTAAGTATACTTTTGTATGTTTTGTTAGCTGCTGTAAGTATACTTTTGTGTGTTTTGTTAGCTGCTGTAAGTATACTTGTGTGTGTTTTAGTTGCTGTAATTTATACTTAGGTATGTTTTATTGTCTGCCGTAAGTATACTTTTGTATGTTTTGTTAGCTGCTGTAGAATAGTTTTGTGTGTTTTAGTAGCTGTAATTTATACTTTGAAATGTTTTATTGTATGTCGTAAGTATACTTTTGTATGTTTTGTTAGCTGCCGTAAGTATAGTTTTGTATGTTTTATTAGCTACTGTAAGTATACTTGTTATAGTTGATTACATGTTGCATGTAGACTTATTGATATATTTATTATATTTGATGAGATGATTAAAGTATGATGTTGAAAAATGTGCACCATTTCCTGTCATAGATGTGGGTGCCGCTAGAGTGGACTCCCCTTGACAAGCCAAGTATCGGCGATTATTTCCACATGCTATACAACGTCATCACGCCATTTTGTCTCCTGAAGGTAAAATCTATGGAAGGTCGTCTGAGTTAATTTTCATCATTTATATTGATTGTCTTTTATTGTCGCTATTTTTCTTTCGAAATAAAAACAGTGGCTTGTAGATTGAGAAGATTAGAAAAAAAATTGTCAGGTTGGTATAATGAGGAATAGTTTAATTTCTGACCAGAGGCGTAACCAGGGGGAGCCGCGGGAGTGATTGCTCCCCTTGACGGCATTCTCTAGACAGCGACACCTTTTTAAAAAATATACACGAATACTAAACTTAAAACTAACTCCGACGGTCAGTAATAAATTACAGAAGTAGCCAAGATTAACGAGTGCTGCTATCAAGAAATAGGCGTCTATACCTCTATCGTGTAACTGAAAGCGCCCATAATAGCGAAAAATTAAAGTTTCTTTATAACATACGGCTATTGAAGCTTGAAAAAATAGACTTTTTAAGACGCTATTGAATCGAATTAGCTTTTATTAAAATCTCCAGCATTGAAGCTATAGAAGTTTTATAATCGACCAAACTGATGTACAATATCTGCTGAAATGCGATGTAGAGGATATCGATACAGCGTGTGAAAGATTTATTTACTCCCCGCAGCTTATTTCTGAACCATGAGCAGTGTTTCTTCCAGACTTTTTTTCTCCGGGGGGGGGGGGGGGGCACTTGAAATTTTCGGGGGGGGGGGGGGGGCGGTAGACTTTCTTCGGGGGGGGGGGGGGGGGGGACACTGTTAAAAGTATATATTTTCTATATAAATTATATAAATTTCATTTCGTTCGGGGGGGGGGGCTGGAAGCAACTCTGACCATGAGTCTATCCTTCATGCAGAGTATCAGCAAAGTGGATATCAAAATGATAACAATATGTTAGCTTTGTCGCAGTTCTTCGTATTGATGCCTGCCTGATCATTGTCCGTCCTTTCCTCTCCCCCCCCCTCTCCCCGCGCCACACACACCTATTTTTTTAATTGTTTAAACAGGACTAGTGGTCAGTGGATGATTAATGGGGGAGGTTGACCTTGGTCTGTGAGCGATTATTGGGGGAGGTTGACCTTTGTCAGTGGATGGTTAATACGGGAGGTTTACTTGGATAACTAATGGTCAAGGTCGGTGGAAAATCAATGGAGTATCTTGTGAGCTGTGACATTCGTGTACATTTCTTTCAGCAAACCAATGGTTTTGTCTTTAGCCTGAACGTCTTTTGTATTGTATCGTCAGCTGATGGAGCGAAGCAAGCGCCAGCTGTCCTCGAACGTGACCTACCTGAGTGTGATCGTGTTCGTGATGGGGGCGAGCATCCACCTGGTGGGAGACTCCGTCAACCATCGTCTGATTCACGTCGGCTACAAGAACCATCTCAGCGTGGCCGACAACCCCATCATGAAGGAACTGCGGCCCAAGGAGTTGGTAGGTCTAAACTAGATTGTAGCTAGCGGTATTAGAATCCATGTAGGACTTACTACGTGCGCCCGCCCGGCTAGCGATCCCTTTGTAATAGAGAGAAATGGCGTCAAGGGGGGGGGGGGGGGGGGGGGGTAAACGCTTGTGGCGTTGTTTGCCATGGGGTGGGTTAAAAAGTGAGACGTCACACAATTATGCATTTTTAAAACGTATTTTAGCAGATACACGTGTATTTGAAGAAAAAAGAAATCAATGTTTTAAAAGGAGAAAATGCGAACTGATGTTAAAGGATGCTAAAAAGTCGTTTTTATAGGTAAGGGGGGGTGACTTTTTGGGACATTAAGTAGGACGACCCTCCCCGAAAGAGAAAAAAAACTTAAACCAGTGTAATTGAAAGTGATTTTTTTTCAAATAGTAGCCAATATCTGAAAGTGTAATTTTCCGTGGGACGACTGTCGTTTTGTGTGTCTGTCGGGGCAGGGGGCTATACCCCCTAACACCCCTCTGCCTACTCCATTGCTCAATGATAAGCAAATACATCCTTTAGAAAGCGCAGCTGAGAAAAACATAACAAACCTCTTTACCCCTCAGTACCCACCTCTTCAACAAACGACAAACAAATGTCTTTACTTACCCTCCCTGTGGTAGGGTGCTTGTTATCATGGCAATTATTGATCTATCGATTCCGCGTACAACTCATTAGAGTTAATACCTCTAATAGGTTTCAACTCGCAGTATTTTTTTGTCCCCGCCTCAACATGAGCATCACATGTCTATTTGCTTACCAGACTCCATATTTGTATTGTGACGTCAGATCAATCAAAACCAACGTACAGATTTCATGGTGTCGTCACTGAATGACGCCTATATTAGCTCGGGGAATTTCGTAATAATTATCAAACACTGTAATTCTGAGCATTTATATGCCTGCTCACACGTCATTAAACAAATATACATTTTCACAAAAGAGAGTGCTCGAATACGAAACTACATACACATAAAGCCCTTCTTCACATACACTTATTACTTTTATTTGACCTTAGACCACATAAAACGTTACATATCTCATTAATTTATATCTTTATTTCTTCCTACAGATAAAATCTTTTGAGTTATTATACAGATACGATGAGGAGATCGGTCATTTGATGTGGTAATTTTTTAAAACTACATTTTTTTTTTCTTATTGGAAGCTGCTTGTAAAACGCCCATTAAGTGGGCCTTTGCTTTCTGTTAAATAATTAATGACAGTCGCTATCTTTGCAGTTTCAATAACAGTTTTTGTTGTTGTGAAAGAGACAAAAAATTTAGTTCGTGACGAAATTGCGTTAAATGTGAAAATGTGAATGTTGTGTAAATCAATAGTTAGTGTCACGTTGAATGACAAGTAACAATGTGTGATAGAATCACGTCAAAAATGTTAAGGCTACGTGATTGTGCCATATCAGACAAGGGAGGTAATGCTAGATTATGGACGTTATGTCGTGTCACAGACATGTGAAGCGATACTGTGTACTATTGTATGAAAGCAAATGTTCCAAGTGTCCACGTGAGTCTTAACACATGTGTTAGCATACCCCAATACATGTGTTAAAGCATGTCACAACACATGTGTTAACGTGTGTCACAACGTTAACGTACCACAACAGGTGTGTTGACGTGTGTCACGACATATGTGTTAACGTGTGTCACAACACGTGTGTTAACGCATGTCACAACACATGTATAAACGTGTCACAACACATAAGTTAACGCATGTCACAACACATGTGTTAAGGCGTGTCACATCACATGTGTAAACGCGGATCACAACTCATGTGTTAATGAGGAAAATAACAAAAAAAACATTGACTACGCCGTGAATAAGTTTTAAAATTCTCTAAGCAACCTGCAAGTTTACAAAGTGTTGACCTAAAGCTACACACCGTTAACGAACGTTGTCAATGATCCATAAAAGTGCTTTGATGAGCACGACACGCATGAGTGGGTCCACTTGTCTGCAGTTGTCTCCCAGTATCAATTATAGATCGCCGACCTTTGGAAATGTCAGATAATGAATCCTGTCAAATCCGCGCACAACATAGCGAATGCCATTTTGTGACTGAAATCGTTATGTTCTGATAAGTGTAAACGCTATCTTTCTCTATAGGTACATTCCATTTTTCCTGTGTTTGTCCCTCTGCAGGTACATTCCATTTTTCCCGTGTTTGTCCCTCTACAGGTACATTCCATTTTTCCTGTGTGTGTCCCTCTACAGGTACATTCCATTTTTCCTGTGTTTGTTCCTGTACTACGTGGGATGTTTCACCCAGTCCCAGATAAAACAACGGATTGGAATCACTTGGTCACTTCTGGCTGTGGTCAGCGCCGCATATTACTGGTGAGCCAACAGCTTTTATTATTTATCTCATATACCTTGATTGTTACAATCTCGAGTCGATTGTGTCCACGGTTATTGCGGTCCAACTGTGAATCACTCTCAGCAACACTGCTCTCCCCTTTGATTTCGTATGTTATTGAAGTACATTCGCCTGGCATTACTGTCAACATATGTTTATCTCGTGCTTCCGATGGATTAATTTAGATAGTAACATGTTTAAAGTGGTAAACATTATTCAATATAAAATCCCCGCCCCTTCCCCCCCCCCCCCCAAGTTGTAAGTTGAGCCACGCTGCTTCCACCCCGCACCCCCCAAACTACCCCCCCTCCCACACAACCCTCGTGTGGTGTTAGGGAAACACCCATCAGACATGGCGGTACCTAGGTAAATACTTTGAGAAAATGGACACACACCAAATCAACAACTCCAATCAAAGGATGGTCACTGATGGAAATCGACCAAAGTCAAGACATGATTACAGGGGACGTACTCGATTGCGCCATGGGCCGAGGGGCAGGCGACTCGGGTGTGCCATAATCAACACGAATCGAAAGTGTAGGGACGGATGTAAATCTAGAATCTACATCAGATTCGAATTGGGTCGTAAAGAAGAAATAGCCAAAAGCAATGTAGGGGAAGTAATCTTGTGTCGATTAGGCTGACACGGCATTAAGATAGACTAATATGTTGAATCGCAGTTTAATTTAAAGTATTTATTATGTTTAGCAATTGTTTCTGATCTGTATTAAATGATGTATATTGTGTCGATTAATTAATTAAAATAAAGTAGCATATTGAACTCATTTTTTGGCTATTTTGTCAACAGGTACCTGGCCACTGAAGGACAAATTTTCCCTTTGTTTCTGCTGACGTATGTTGCCATGTTGTGTTTGTACTTGTTCAATCTATCTAGAGGCTGGTCCTGTGATTTGAATGGCCGCTTCCTTCTTTGGACTTTCACACTGACCACGCTTCTTACAGCAGCGTGGTCATTTTGGCTGTGGAATGACGTCACCTTGAGGAAAAAATATCCCGGGGTTCTATATATCCCAGAACCATGGGCGTACTACACTCTGTACATTGCTTCATAATGTGACTTGACTTGGTAGATTCAAGTTTACAAGTGGTTTATGGTGATTGATTGGATGTGGAATAATTTTTATAACATGCATTGAGTAAGAATCAGTTAAATGTGTTTTATTTAAGTCATCTGTTAAATTTGAGAGCAGTGAGTGGAAAGTGTAATTGTAAAGAGAAAAAGAAAGTTATTTTAAAATGTGAAGTTAATGTATCTGCGGAATGCAAATTTGTTACAAAAGAAAACAGACACTGGGGGACAGGAATTATAATTTTAATGAGCTTAGCAAGCAAAAATTGATATAATAATAAGAACAATAAAACCAACAGACAATTTAAAATGGCTTGAAACTCTAGGACCTACTCCCAACACCAGCTTATACCTTTACCAGAATAAACTTTGAAACTTTCATGGTACAATATTGTTTTTACAAATAATTGTAACATGTCCCAGTTATACTCAAAAACTAGCTACAGCAGATGACAAACTTACAGAGTGAGAACAAATGAATGCAGTCACAAAGGCAATTTTGATCTTGAAATTTTAAAGATGGACACAAATAAACAAAGAAAAAATACCTGGCCACATTGGTTAGTCACATACAACTGTGGTACAAACTATTGGACACAAGGTTAAAACACATCTTGTTTATAATGTGAAATATTGTATACATTATGTGGTATTTATGGATTTTTGTCAAATATTTGAAAAGAATCAACATCAACTTCTGCAAGAAAATAGATGTCTAAGAACAATGTAAGTGATTGGTAGGATTTCCTTAGCAGAAAAATTATGCTTTACTGTGCAGGTAATAATATACCCTGCAACAACTATCTCAACATTTTCTGTATTTTCAATGCAGAAGGAAATATTTCCCCTCTACTAAACCATCCTACCAATAACTTGTAAAGAACAATAAGTACAGGATTTTGTGTTAAAATGGCTGCAGATCCATTTAGGGTTTAGCTCTGCCAACAAACCTAGGGTAGGCACAAACTTCACGGATGTGGTAGCGGTTCAGTATCCAGCACAGAAATCTTTCAACACCAAGTCCATAGCCTCCATGGGGACAGCTGCCATACTTTGTCTGTAAAATATTCAATGAGTATCTCTAATAGCAAGCTTTTACACAATACATTTTGTTTAGTATGCTCAAGATATCACTTAGAGCACTTTCTAATTCATTCTTTCTTCAAACTTATTTTAACTCCTAAAAAACGTGCAAAGATACCAAATAATTACTCAATATACTATCAATCTTATGTACTGTGAGCATGTAATTGTATGTCATTTAAAATGGATATTTACCTGATCAAAATACCAGTAATAAGGACTTGTGTCAATTCCTTCTCTTTTGAAGCCAGCCTCTAGTTCAGCTTGCTTCCATATCCTCATAGATCCACCAACTATTTCTCCAACATTAGGCATCAAAAGATCAACCTGACCACATAAACAAGCAGCAAAAATAAAGAAGACAATAACAAAAGACTTCAGAACAGTATGCATTTTACTGTGCTCTGTTCAAAGATAACCTCAAAGATTTGAACCCATCAACTATTTCACACCACAAGAAAGCCTATCTAATTCCACTACTACAGAACCCCTCTAATATTTCACCACAAGAGAAGAGAACCCCTCTAATGCACAACCACAAGAAAACACAACTACTACTACAGCATCACAAAGAGCTTACAGATTCAGTGAGCCTGTTGTCTTCCTTACACCTGGGCATGTAAAAGGATTTAATCTCAGCAGGGAACCTGCACAGCATGATTGGCTCATTGATGGTATCAGTCATCTTCCTCTCAGGGGCTTCTGGGATGTCCTAGAAAATTTGGTTTAAAAGTTAACAACAATTGAATCAACGAGCTAAACAGTTAAATTATTATACAGTAAATATAATTTCTATAAATTATCCACACTTTTTTAAACCTAGATTATAAGACAAGAGTAAAGAAAATTGATTTTTAAAAAACTCACATCACCAAATTCATAGAATGTGCCATCCTCTTTTGTAACATTGTTGTTTTTTAGCCAGACTATAGCATCAGTGTAATCCATACGTTTGAATGGTTTCTTGGGTTGTTTGAAGTCCTGACAACCAAAGGTTTGACATTTACTTTACAATACAAAGTGATGCTAGACTAAAATTATGTATGAAACTATCTATATATATAATTCTCTTCTTCGAGCCGTTAGAAAACAAGCTGCAAACGCTCTCCCTACCTCCCCACCCCTACATGGTTTTAGTGAGCTGTGTTCACTCTAAATGTTTACAAGCAGAGCCAACGATTTTAAACGTAGGGGGGGGGGGGGGGGAGGAGGGGGGGAGGGAAGGAAGGGGGGGGGGGGTTATGGTCCTTAACGAGCTACTTATAGTGTTTTAAAGAAATATTTTCAGTGTCAGCGTTGGTACTGTCGAATTCACAAATTATGAATTATTGAAAATTAGAAACAACTAAATAGCGGCGTATGTTATGCCGCGGGCCGGCTCGTTATTTTATAATGTATGACAACTTACAGGGTTAAGCTCATACGCTATGTGGCTGTATGGAGACTTTACAATATAAAAGTGATGCTAAACTAAAATTACGTATGAAACTAATATTTCATCACATATGACAACTTACAGGGTTAAGCTCGTACACTATGTGGCCGTATGGAGACTTTAAAACTCTGTCCACAACATCACACACCAAGTCTTCAATTTTGTCTAGTAGTTTATCATATGTGATGAATGGACACTCAGCTTCACAATGAGTGTACCTGTTGTGAAGTTATTAACATCAATTTGAATGGTTGCAAGTTAACTGTATTTAGTTAGCCTTAGTAAATTCATTTCATTAGTGGGACTGTTTTACTGAGGCATTATTACAGTAGAAGGGTAAAATATAGCATATGCTTTTCATTAGTGTGAAAGTTTTACTGATGTATTATTAAAGATGACTAGTGAAATATAAATAAAATGGGTAACTAACTCAGCTAAATGGCGCCTGGTTTTGGATACTTCAGCTCGGTATGACTGGGCCATGCAGAATACGTCACCCATTGCTGGGATTACAGTCTCCAAGTAAAGTTGGGAGCTCTGGGTTAGGTAGGCCTGTGGGAATAATTACAAATTAAAGCTGCTGTAATCAAATATGAACAACCAGAATGAAACATTCTAAATGAAATAGGGATATTTGTATAAAGGAATTGTTAAACTAGCTGAAAAATTCTAACCTCTTCTCCAAAATAGTTTAGCTTAAACAATGTCGATCCACCTTCTACTTGAGTTTGGACTATTGTTGGGGGTGTTAGCTCAAAATAACCTCGATCAAAAAAGTGTTCTCGAAAACAATGAGTTATCACAGATCTCATTTTTAAAACCTTGGCAGTCTGCAAAACAAAAAAATAAAGTTTTTTGGTTGTTGCATACAAAAAATAAAAACCTCTAGAAAAATTAATTAATTGTTATATTATTAATTAAAGTAAGGATTAATAATAATAGACATATTTTAAAATGTAATAATGAGGATGATTAGTAATGCATGACTTACATTTTCACCACGAACCATCATGTGCCTGTTATCTAGCTGCACATCTGGGTGAGCCTCCTGAGAAATGAACAAAATCAAACTTGACAACAATATGAAACTTGACAACAATATGAAACTTGACAACAATATCAAACTTGACAACAATATGAAACTTGACAACAATATCAAACTTGACAACAATATCAAACTTGACAACAATATCAAACTTAACTACATCAAACTTGACAACAATATCAAACTTGACAACAATATCAAACTTAACTACATCAAACTTGACAACAATATCAAACTTGACAACAATATCAAACTTGACAACAATATCAAACTTGGTAACTGTTCACTGGTTTAGACTAAATCACTAAACAAAATAATTTAACAGATCAAGTATCTAATTTAAAAATAAATGAAAGAATGTTAAACAGGTAAATTTACTTCATTGAGCAAGTTGTCAGCACCACCTGGAGGGGATGGTCCTATAAGTTCCCAGTAGTCCACAGTAATCTCATGGTTATCTGGTGCCTGATATTATGAGATAATAAATAGGCTCTCAAGGACAAGTTATATCATGTGGTAGTAAATTATTGTAAACAAATGCTCAAACACAAGCTATTCATTCAAGTCATATATGCGTCTTCTCATTGGCTTCAACACAAGATGACAATGCAATGTTAACTCAGACTTGAACAGTTATGTAAAATATGTTAATTCACACACACACACACAAACACAAATGTGAGCTTAAATTATGTTGTATGTTATTACTGTATCTAGCATCCAAGTTTGGCTAAACTTTTAAGTTACCCTTTCAAACCTGGCAGTGCATGGGGTAGATGAAGTAGATGTCACGTTTTTCTGTGACCTCAGCTTATGAAGGGAATGTGTGGTCAGCACTATTCCCAGCTTCGTTTACTTTCCCTAACATGAGTCAGGTACCCATCAGAGCTGGGTGGATTTGAGGAATCCAAACTTGAGACCTTCAGCCATTTATCTACCTCCAAACAAATTGTTTCTGACATTCCAAATGTAGCTCTAGTCAAAACTGTCTAATGACTTTACTTACACTCTTTCCTTCAGGCAACACTTTAATGACACCATACACAGCAATGGATGCTTCTGTTGCCAATGTAACTGCATCGTACGTCTGGCACTAAAAAAAAAATTCAAGTTGTCGAAATGTGTTAGTTGTATTTTACACAATAATAAAATTTAAAAATTATCATATTGATTAGCTACTGAAATAAAATAGAAGTTAGCTTTAAAGTTAAGCTGAATGAGAATGTAAAAACTTGACTAGTAACATCATCACCTACCAACTGATCAGCCATTACACATTGCAGAAATCCTGTACCATCTCGCAAGATGACAAACATCAAATTTTTTCCTGGTGAAACAAAAGGGAATATTTGAAATGTTTCTTGCATTTTATTACAATAATAAACATGCAGACAAAATACAATTTAAAATATTCATCCTTAGCACTGTTTAGTTACTTATAAAAAGTGATACAAACAAGTCAGATAAAATGCATGTATTGTCCCCAAAAACAACATTAATATATACATACAGGTACTTATGAAACAGCCAACACTTAAGAATTATAAAACAGAATACCTTGTCTTCTCAACCGATGCACCCAGCCAAAAATCTTGACACGTTGATCTCTCGTCTTGATAGCATCACGTAGCTTAATCTGTAAAATAATTATAAATCCAGTTGAATACGTATTATTTCTTAAGCCAAACCAACATAAAAAAATAGTACACAGATAGTGTGACATTGGATTTGCAAACAGTTAGGACTGCTACAGAAAAAACAAAACTTAAGACTGAAAATTTCACTCACCAATTTAGGTTCAGGTAAACTAGGATTGTTTTCAATGGTTATTTTTTTAGCATCTTCTAAATTCTTTTCTCTCCTCTCTGCATCTTTTTGCTATAAAATGTATAATAAGGTATAATTCAAATATTTTCCTTATATTAAAAAAAATAATCTAAAATATGCCTGTTCTAAAAGCCAATGATAATATAATGTAAATATATTACACTTACTGTAGCATCTTCAGTGTCAGCTTTTTTATGCTGTTCTCTTACAAAAATCTTTTGGATCTTTTTCAACTGTGACTTAGCAACAAGTTCATAAACCTATTGTTTCAACAACAAAAAATCAGTAAGACAAAAAAAAAAACATAAAATAAAATAAATGTGATGTATTAGATGAATTAAAATATAACCTACCTCGCCTTCCTTTTTGGAGTCACAATAAATAGTAGGGGATGAATCTTTGCCAGCCAAACGCAAAGCCTGTGATACAAAGCAGAAATGTCATGACCTGGCAATCTTTTTCCTACCACTAGACAAAATTTTACTTTTTAAAAACTTAAGATTAATTCTCAAAATTAACATTATCTTAAAATAACTAAATTAAGTAAGTAGTTATTGGTCGCCTAGGCACTGAAGAAAGCCAGATATTTATGATAAATAATTTTAGTATGTAAGCTTATCAAGATTCTCAATTTCTTTACACAGATTATAAATACAAATCAAAATATGTTGTTTAAATAAACTTCCTATATCAATCACAAGAGTTTTACTTTAAACTTAAACCTACCAGTATTATTTTTTAAGAGAATTAGGGAAAGCATTTTAATTAGTAAAAATTTAATCTTGTTCTGGTTCAAAATTTATAAATTTATCATATTTAAATATTTTAAAATGCATTTAACAAATTTTATATTGTCCAATATACAAACCTGTAAAACTGTTTTTACAGGTTTGTCTTTAGTTCCATCTCCAGAAACATCATTTCCTTTACTTTCTGATGTGTAGATTTCTGTAAAATAGTTTCCAACAAAAATAGTAATATTCTTGGGTCATAATATGAAATTTTAATTTTTCTCAGTACACTTTTTTAAGTATATATCTGAAGGTTATGTAATAATAATACATATATGTATAGCTGTATGCTTTTAAAGGCCTATATTTTACAATTATTTATATACACTAAACAAAGATGAATATTTAAAATTAGAACAATTAGATAGCCATAAGTATATAACAAAATACAATTTTAAGTTACCTTGTGTAGCCATTATGGGTGGGAGTTGTTTAATTCAAAGACAAAACAGCAAACTTGGTAGGAAAGAACAATCTAACAGTCCTACTGTTGTAACCTGTTGAACATATATATTATAATAATTTAATTAGCCTACAATTTTTATCCATTTCTTAAAAGATGAAGAAAAAAAAAAGCAGTATTTAAATATTGAAATATGGCCATTAAAACTAATGGCAAGGCTCAAACAGTGACCAAATTATCTATTATATAAATGAACCAGTAAATAGTGACTCTTCCAAAAAATGTGTTAACTTGTAATATTAGTAGTATAGGCCTACAGCAGTATCACTTTTAGTTTTAATGTCATTTGTGATGGGATTAGGGATATAGTAAGGTGAAGTTTCAAGTTAGCTTTGACTTGATTTTCAGCAAATAGCCTGTCATTCATTAATTTATGTTTCACAATGATTCCATAATTGTGCCATGATAGAGGTAAGTGGAGAGTTGAGTAAACTGTCAATTAAACTCAACTCTGTTAGGCCTAGTCAATGTTTTTTTAGTAGTAGTTTAACTCACTAAACTATTTTGAGATCTAGACTTCTAGATAAGATCTCTAGAATACTCTAGATAGGCCTATTGGGAAATTTTTCCTAATTATCATAGAATGATAAAATGGACCCAGATTAATCCTATAATATACCCCATTGATAAAAATATCAAATTTATCATTCTAGGCCTAATAGTTTTTTTTATATGAATTTTCAAAGTTATGTGTTTAACTTGTTATGTTTCATTGTAACCTGCATTCCAGACGTGTGATTGGCTTTAAACTTGCATACCAATGTTGCTATTAAAGATATAATGATAAAACTTTGCACATTTGTACTCAATGATATAGGCAATAGAAGTCTACAAATAAAATAAAAATTAGAAAAGAGGTAACTAGAAATAATGAAGTCAAATTAAGGGGTGTGGCACTGTTCTATAGTGACTGCCATAAGAGGATTTCCAGAATGCACAGCTAGGTTGCTATTCCATATACCATCATGAAACTTTATATATTAGGACTAGAGCATGTAAAAAATACAATCATGCAAGTAAAATAAACATAGCTAGAGGAAAACTATAAATAGTGAACTTGAATATGGTACAGCGCAATTAGACTATGATGATTAACTACAGGCTAATATGTTGCACTTCTTTGTTGCTACTATAAAAATAAAGATTAAACTTTACATATTGATTCTGGTGTTAGTAATAAGAATGCTAGTATACATATTGTACAGGTAATGTATAGAGTTAGAACTCAAATACAGCACAATATGATCAAGATACTTAACGATTTGCCATAAACATTGGATTTGTGTCCGTGTATAACATGGTAAAAATGTTATTATTAATTTAGAAAATTTTGGTTCTTGTAATGTTTCTGATGAAAAGTGTTGAGGTGTGCTAAAACTCTAAGATTGACATTTCACAGTATTCTTATTTATAAAATGTTTAGTGAAGTTGACGTATACTTTGATAAATTCTTAAATGACATTAATTAAAGTGTTCATGTTTTCTTTCTATTATAGTTGCCTATAACTAAAACTGTAATGCAGTGCAGCTTATAAAATTGGGCATTATTATTTTTAATTTAGGCCCTTTATAGTACTTTATAGATCTAGATACTACAGATAGGCCTGTCAGTATTTACATTAAGGCCTAATAGTTTATATATATATATTATTACACATCTCTAGACCCATTATTGTTTAAGTGTTTTCATTTCCATTTAGATCTAGATCTAGATTCTATTTTTTTTAAAACTGTTTACAATAAATATAGATTTTTTCTACTTGAAAATGCCTTTATAATCTATTTATATGCAATTCGTTAATGCTAGTTTGCTAGATCTAGTTAACCTGGTATTAAGAAGGTTAATAAAAATCTGGCTAATTTAAAATTTTATAATTTATTTAGGCAGCAATTAGGCCTAATTACATTCTTTCCATTTTTAATCTAATAATTTAGATCTACAGTATATTTATTTTAAAGCCCATTTTATTGTAACAGTCCATTTAAAAACAAACAGCTATTAAAAAACATCGTATGCGCATATCTATTAATATCTCGTAACCCGGCCGCCATTATGAAATTACGCACGCTTTCTCGTTCCTACCCCTACGAGTTTTATCGCGCTACTCCTCATTGGCCCGTGCTTAAAAACCCTTCAAATCGACATTTCTATTTATCCAAATGGTTGGCATGCTATTTAAGCCTATTTTCATGCAACTTAAAGGATTATTTATATCTGAAATTTAGTTGTCAATGCGCCAGTTCGGTAGCGTCGGCATTTCGACAAATATTTGCTATTATCGGTGATCGCTTTCGGTATCGGACAATGTAAAACGGGAGCTAATTCATTTATTAGCATGTATAAAAGATGAAATTCAACTCAAATATTCATATCGAATACATTTTATTCTTCGATTCCGATGGCGAGAATTAACATGTTAAAAAATGGCGAATTTCAACAAGTACGATGAAAAAGTCAGGATGTGGTCGTACCGAATCGAAACAGCGGGAGTCGAAATGCCTACTCTAGATCTAAAAAAATCAAGTCAATCTAGAAGAATTCTGACTAGTGACTTGACTTAAATTTAAATACAGATATATCTTCATGATATTGATTATTGACTTACCACATGGATCTAAGTCTATTTTTAATCAAACTCTAGATCTAGAATCTAGTAATACTAACTGGACTAGTAGTAGTTCTAAGTGATAGTAGTATAGGACTAGTTCTAATTCTAGGAGATTTAGTATTTGTACTAGATCTAGATCTATATTACAGTCAATTACAGACTATCACTACACACACAAATACTAAAATACACATCCACTTTACAATTTTGATTTTACTAACTAACAGTCTGTGTAGAATAGTGTAGAATACTACTGTAGACTGTAGATACTAGTTAACCTATCGAACTGTTGTAGTGTTACAACTAAGAACTTCCACTGACTAGTCACTATGACAAATCATGGGTAATCTATCGTTTTGGGTACGTAAAATCGCCCGCGACTAGTAATGTGAAAAACAGGTGACTCCTTACATTTTAATAATTATTTCACATTTTGAGGAGGATTTATGTTTTAAAAATGCAAAAATGTTTCCTTGTTTCATTTATGTACCTGTTTTTAAACAATTGAATTAAAACTTTTCAGTAATAAATGAAGACTAGCGATGTTTCCAACAGATGCAACCATGCTCATTTACTATAGCAGCCATCTTGTAAAAGTTTTATTTTTATAGACTTAAAGCGCAAGATTCAGGCGGAAGTCACTCTATTTTACAAATGGCTGCTGTTTATATAGCAAATCTTGCTTGCAGACACTGCTGTTTAAAGTTAATTTCTGGCCAATATTGATATATTTAGCCATTGATTTAGGTTTATTATCCATTTATCTATAATATTTGACATAAACATATCACAATATAGATTCTACTTCTTTTTACAGCATTGACAATGAGGTAACGTTTTCGTACATTAATAGCCGCGGGCGATTTTACGTACCCAAAACGATAGATTACCAAATCATGTAACAGTCAATCAATAGTAATACTAATAGTACTCAGTTAAAGTACTCCTACTTTATTACTAGATCTAATAATAATTATAATATAACTTAATAGATTAGTAGGCCTACATTTTATTAAACTGAGTTAGTACAGTCACAGTTGAGTGACAGTCACACAGTGTTGTACAGTTCAGTCAGTAGATTCTAGACCCAGTACTGAGTACTGAGTCACTGAGAATATTGAAATAATTTTACTATTTTTTACTAATGTAGGCCTACAACACTGTAACACACTGTACAGGTACACTCAACACTCACATTAATAATATTAACTTTAATGTTTTGTTAGTCTACACAGACACAGTTAATGAGTTATAAATAAAAGCAACAGGAAATCGTTTATATAATCAATATCGATTTCAAGTGAATTGCATCACAATTAAAATACTAGAAGACTATTGTCTGCTGGTTTATAAGCGATGATGAAACCGGTAATACACGTACCTAAGCAGGAATCGATTGCTGGCAAGGGAGGGGAGAGAAAAAGCATGTATTACTGAAACTATAAAAACTGTAAACTGTGTGTGTGATAAAATAATACAATTTCACTTTGAAGAATGACTGTAATTTTAATTAATATTTTGAAAACTCAATAAATTAAATTGGTATTTTTATATTAAAATTGATAAAAGTTAAGTTTATTACAAGTTTTAGAAGATAATAAGGTTGATTGTTTTGAAAAGCTTATGAACACATTTTTAGTCTGATATGCCTCTTAAGAAACAACAATACATTTATCCAAACCGGCAACACATTTTTGCAATAGCCAGAAAAGTTTCCTTAAAATCGAGCAAAACTTGCATTACTGAAAAACACGAGCAATTACTAAAAATAAAATAAAAAATGGTTGTTTTAAATAATTCGTGATTTTTAACAAATTACCCAGACTAGTTCAATAACTAAAATAACATGATAAAACCCTTTGAAAGAAGTGAATTGTGTTAGGCTGAGTGATACTCTTATCTAAAGAACTACTACATGTTTAATGTTGTAATAAACAACTATCTATCATTTCCCATAAAAAGGTGATTCAAGTAATATATATACGAGCTGACCCGCGACGTAGTATACGCCGCCATCTAGTTGTTTTATTTTCTGCTTATTAGCAATTCATAATTTGTTAATTCAACACTACCCCCCCCCCCCCCCCCCCCCCCTCCCGTCCAGTGAAAGCAGCCGTTTACAGACAAAGATCAATCAGAAATTGTTACCTCCCCTTCATTTCAAATCGTTTAATACTAAATTATCTGCCCCTAATAGTCGTCACTAACCCGGCACTACGATTCCGGGTGAACCACAGCTCACCTGACAGGTGGGGATGAGGGTGGTGGCTAAGCTGCGTGGTGTTTTCTATGGTCTCCATGGTGAGAATTATATAGATATATATAATCTGGTGAATCAGGTGGACTTAAACCTGGATTCGAACTAAGACTTTTGGGTTAGCAGTTAAATGTTCTACCATTCAACACTGTTATTAAGTGTTATATATGTGTATAGGCCATGTATGCTAATATAAAAAGTATTTTGTATCATATTTTATGAAGATATCTGGTGTTTTCGGACAACATAGATTGCATTTGTGCAGCAGCATTAATTGTAACCATGCTCTTATATATTTACGTAATTTCAATATTTAAATTCTTAAACGTTTAAAGGAATATATTTTCGCACCTTTTTAAAAGTAATTCTGCAAATTGTTATATCAATGCAGATGATCATAGCTTTTCATTGTGTTGAATGAATCTAAAAAAATTGTAAATTTCTTTATACTTGTAAAATTTGCGCAAATGAGACACATTTGTAAAAATAGTTTTAAATTTAATTTAAATCTGAAATTTTGGAAATGTTTGAGCAAAATTCTTTCAAGTTCCTTGAAAAGGGATTTAAATTTATAGGAAAGGTGAAGAGTTGAAACAAACTGAAATTAAAAATTGGCACCATATAATCAAAATGTTTAATTATAATTTAATGACAATGAGGACAACATATAACATTTTAAGAAAATAATGTATAAAATATCTTCAACGTCTCTTTCATACTGGGAGAAATTAGAAGTTATATTGTAGTAGTTAAAGTCCATTTAACACAACAGTGCATTTCCATACAACTTGAAGCTAAATGGGAAGCAACTATCTATCATACTCTTCTATTGGTAAATTATGTTAATTTTTAACAATGATTAAAATTAATATTTTTTAATGTCACAGCATAACAATTTACAGTATCTAAAAACACTTAAATAGACATTTCCAACAGTATTTACATGAGTGTGTAGCAAAAGGTGTTCATGGTACCTCAATGTACAAATGCCCCAATATTAAAGATTTTTTTGAGTTATTATTTAGCCTTAAAATAGGGGTAAAATTTCTGATACAAGGAAGCTGATAAGCAGGTTTCACCAGTCATGGAAAAGAAAAATTCTACCTGGTCATGCTTGAAAAAGTAATTTAATGACACCTGCCTAAATAATTTCTGCAATATTCTGAGTTTAAACCTCTTGGTGAAAGTGTGGAGAACTTGGTCAAAAGGCAATTACCACTACCATTCAAGAGAAAAGCACAGATGAAAATGAAGTGAAAGTAATAAAACAAAAGCATTTACGTTCAGTTAAGGGATAACGTAATTTTAAGAGTAAAAGGTGAATAAATGGAGCCTAGTATGTTTAGTAAATTTAGTAAAATTAGTGAAGCTCCAACGCCTATCCCCTCTACCAGCATCTTCTATAAGCTTAGTCAACTGATTGTCAAAGTTTCAAAAAAATTTAAATTCCTTTTTTTTTTATTCACTTAGTTTTATAATATCTTTCATAAAAATATTTTTGCTTATTCAAAAAAAATGACTTATTTGGGGGCTGGAAAAGATAAATGATATTTCAAGTGATTTCAATGGGGATATTACTTAGAGATAAAAGCACCTTGACATGAAAAATGTTCAAAATGAATTTTAATTTGTTGTTTGAGATACCACTGTAAGTGTTGTTTTGGACAAATAAGAGTAGTTTGGTCAATGGAAGTTTTCTTGTTTTGAGTAAGCATATTTGTGGGAGTTATTTGTAAGGAGTACATGTTAGCTATTTACATTTTATTTACATTTTATTTCTATTTCACAGCAAAGCCATGTAATTATCATATTTTTAATGATTGAATAGTCAACACAATTACCAGGATTTTGTAAAACAATGAAAAGAATTTTCTCACACCAAAGTATTTAAATTTCTAAAATAAATATCCCTACCACATTCCTTAAAGCTTAGTCTATTTGACTACAGATGTAATTTTTCTTTTTTTTTGGCAGAAAAAGCTCTTAAAAAACCAAAGCACTTTTACTGTTCCTAACTTTCTTCATCATAACACTATTTACATTTGTATTTCTTTATGAGTTTCGAACAAGACAAAAATGGTCAACTATAAAATGTTTGAGATCTATTACAAATTCACTACACAACATTTTTTTTTTAAAAATCAATCACTACAATTAAACTCATTTACCCACTAAAAAAACCATTTCTCTCTAACAATTTACAAGTCTATTCATAATACAAGCACACTCATGAAATAATTACAGGTTAATGAAAATCTTTAATTAGCTATTTCCATATATATTTAAATATTAAACTTGATCCAATTAAGTGATGTTTATAATGGCTGTTGGTCTACTTCCATCTGTTCAGTAGAATTGATAGTGGAAGATGACAAAGTGGGTGTGTCTAAAGAATTATGAGCTGTTGATGAGTCTTTAGCATATTGATCAATGCAGATGACATCAGATGAGGAGTTTGAATCAACATTGATAACTTCAATTGTTGAAACATTAAGATTGGTCAAATCATTGGCTTTGTTTGGTAATGATTTGCCCTTGTTATGGCTACTGTTTGCTTTTTTGGCAAATTCCATTATAGATCTTTGGCTGTTGGGTTTTTTATTTTCTTTTGGAGTTTCTTGTGAAACCAAATTAGCTTTAGCTGGAGTTATTTCAGCAGGTTTAGAGGGCTGGTTTTTAAGAAGTTCTTCCTTTGTAAGTGTGAAGTCCATAATAGATCTTTGATCTTTTGGTGTAGCCTTTATAGGAGTTTCTTCCAGTTTTTCAGCCTCTGTGGTTTCAGTTTCATTCTTAATGACAGATTTATTAATGTTAGGTGTAGCTGCTTTGGGAGCAGATGAAGAGACGTAAACCCATGAGTTGGGCAATTTAATATCAGACATATTAAACTGGCTCAAAATGTGATCATGGACATACCAGCATATTCTTTTAAACCCTTCTCGTTTTTCTCGCACAGCCATTTTTGTAATTTTCAAGTCAAGTTGACGCTTAGATATACTACAGCCATAGCCTTCATCCAGCTTTTTATCATCTTCCCCAGATTTAGAGGAACCTTTCTCCTCACCATCACCCGGATTACAGACTTCATTGACAGATTCATTAAGAATTGAAGTATCACAATCTTGAACACTTTCATCTACTTTCTCATTTTGAGCTGGAGCATCAGACTGAGAAAGTGATTCATTAGTCTGCTTCAACCAGAAAACACGGAATTCTCTGATTAATCTTTTTATTCCAGATACATTGCCGTGAACCAAACGAATCAGATATGGCATTGCTGAAGAGAGTAAAAAAATGTATTAAAATCTGAAAGTATCTTTTCTTAATGTATATTAATGATCATAAACGTAGTAAGATATTATTTAGACGTGTTCATATGCACGAACCTTCATCTGGAACAGCTTTAGTTTTAAATCCTTTGGCTAGTGGTGTGGTTGTGACTCCTTCTGTTGCTGTTTCTTCTTTTTCTGGTTCTATAGAGCCACTTAGACTAGTTGGGATGGGAGTACTAGCAGCAAGCACGACAGCCTTAAGTGTATTAAAGTTTATAACTATAGCAGTACGATAAACTCATTTTCTACTTCCTTCAAAAATTAATTTAAACTCTTCTATATCTAATAAAAAAATATATAGATTTAAATAATGCATATAACAATAGGAACAGGTAGGAGAATGTTTTAAAATAAATAAAGGAAAACCATAATAATTTCAAATTGATAGAACTGCACAAATATCTGTGATAGTACACATTAAATCTGATTAAAATGCATTAAGCAGATTTAAGATGGTTTACCTTAAATTCATACAAGAGCCTAACATCCCCAGACATAGAAGCACTTGGCCAGTGCTGAAAGAAACAGCCAACTGTGATAAGTGGTGCTACTTGAAGTTTCCTCTTTTGTTCATCTTCCCAAGCTTTTGCTTTAGCAAGCTGTTGAAGCTTCAACTTCTCTGGAGTGATCTGAACAATTAAATGAAAAAATATTACTATTGAAAGACTGAAACAAATGAAATTGCTTTATGAAAAGTGTTGCATAAAATTAAAGAAACAGATCTCATTAGAAAAAGGAATTCAAAACTGTAAGAGGTAATTTTGATTGCTGTATGATTGGTTAAATCTAACTATATAAATGCAACAAACCTCATCATCTTCATTACAGCCTTCATCTTCTGATAGATAACCATGTGGGACCATCCATCCATCATCTTCATCCTCATCAACATCCTCTCCCTTTTCTTCTTCTCCCTACAAAAATAAAAAAAATCATGAGGAAAGTTTGAAAACACATCTATTAAAAACATTACATTTAAATAAGAATAACTTGCGCTAAAAATAAAGCTTACAAACATAGACAATGCATTGTTAATACAAGATATAAAACTTACATCAGAACAAGACAAACTTTCTCCTGGTTCCTCTTCTTCCCATTCATCATCACTGTCAACTTCATAGTCGAACAAGGACTGTAAATAAATAAATCATACTTTTAAAAGAAAAATTTTTTAAAAGTCAAATGAAAAATTCATTGTAATTTAACAGCAATTTTTAATATTAATTTAAAATCACACTAGTTACCTCATCTTTTTTCCATGGGTTCCTTGGATTAAGTTTTGGCTGTTTCCTCCATGTACCATAATAAGGTGGGCGATAATCAGTGTGAAACTGAAGTAATTTTACCTGATGCAGAGCTTTTTTAAGTGCTTCAGAATCATGAATAATTTCAACATCTTCAGCTGGCTGAGGATTTCTAAAAAATATGATGAGACTATATCAGAAATCAAATAGATAATGCTGATACAACCTCAGGGAGGAAGATTTGGTGTAAATTACATTTTTTAGTTGAATAAAAGCATAGAGAAAATTAATAAACCTAATTTACCCTACTTTTATAATATGCTCTATATTATTTTATAATTAACACTAACAATCAAGTCAAGTAGAATAGTAGTCAAGTAGAATATAAATGGTTGATCAACCAAACAAAATTATTAAACTTACTTGCGCAATATTCTCCCAGTTCTTTTGGGTATTATTTCTTTACATTTTAACTGCTGCAGATATGTCTTTACACAGCTCTGAAATGTTACATAGCTTTCATTCATTCACTGTTCAAAGTGAAATGCAATTTAAAATTACATAAACAGTTGAATGGTTGTGGATGTACCTCAGTGCTGTTAATAATTTGATCAAGATTTGTCTTTTTCTCCTCTGTTAGAGCATCTCCTCTAACTGCAGGTGCTAGGTGCATGTCTTTTTTCACCTCAAAGGGTATAAAGAATCCTGGAGCAGGCTTTGGTGACTAGGGGAAAAAATTTTAATTTATCAGTAAAAATTATTATATATAGTGAAAACACATAATTATACATTACGAAAACAGTTAAATAAAAGAAAAAAATTAAACATACCACTTGTTTAGATGGAGTGTCTTTTGGCTTGATAAAAAACTTTTGGAAAACTTGCTTTGTTTTCTCTTCTTTCTTTCTCTATCAAAATATTTGTAAAAATAGAACTTAAAAAGTTGTACAGTACTGTAAAATATTAGTTCTAAACATAAAACAACCAAATTTTAAATTATTTCTTTTGTAACTGAAAGAAGAAGATACCAATGGATACGCCAGATGAAATCACAGCAATGGTGCTGAATAAGTTGTAGCAAAGGAAAAAAGACAAGAACGGTCTAGGGAGATAAGAGACAGCAGAAAACAACTGGCAAAGTCTTGTAGGCTGGAGGACTAGCAATAAAGCTAAAATGGAAAGAAATGTCTGTGATGGTGGCCCTGTATGTCCAGAGCACCAATGGGGAAAAGGTGATGAACTCTAATTCAAGTTCACAGGCCAAAGCCTAATAATTAACCTATGTGTCAAATAAACACCAAAATATTATTATTAGACTAAAAATCAGTTCCTCGCTACATTCTCATGCTGTTCCTCACCTTTTCTTCTTCCTCTCTGATCTTTTCCTCTTCTTTTTGCTTTCTTTCTTCTTCTTTCTTTTTTTTCTCTTCATTCTTAGCACTGGGTAATGTAAGTAGTACAAAAATCAATTTCAGCACTACTTTAGTCGCTCTAATTTTAACATAATATTTCAAATACTTACTCTAAAGCAGCTTGACGTTTCTTTTTATCTTCTTCTTTTTTTAATCTCTCATCTTCTTTCCTTTTACGCTCTTCTTCCTTGGCTTTTTCCTTTTCCTGTTTTTCTTTTTCTAATTTTTCCTTCAACTCTTGCTTTTCTCTTTCTTTTGCCTCCTAATAAAAATTTAAAAATTATTGAAATATAAAATTAATATACTTCAGACAACCAGTTCTGTTTTTTTTTATAATGGAGTGTAATTTTAATTAAGTCTTACTTTTTTCTCCAGTCTAATTCTTTCCTTTTCTGCTTTTTCTTCCTCCAATTTTCTTTTTTTTTCCAGCCGCTCTTTTTCCCTTTCTGCTTTAATTTTTTCTTTTTCAGCTTTTTTGGTTGAATCAATCTGTAGTGAAAAATTTTAAAACAAATGAAATAACTGCACATCAAACACAGCTCCAAAAACTTGAAACAAACACAAAACAAGCAAATGCCTAAAAGATAAAAAATACCAAAGCTTAAATTGAACTATAATACAGGAAATTTAAATAAGGTTGTGGTGGACAATAAGTTCCAGGGCACAAACAGGTAACTAATACCTTGAAAATTCATGGACCATTTAAAATTCCAAATCTAAGCATAGGAGAGGTATATGAATAATCACCAGTTGAGAAAGAAATACAAGAAAGGAAGTTGGGGTGATAAGGTTAATAGTAACAACACCGGACAGGGCAAGAGAAAGAGTGGGGTGCTAAACTGGCATTTTAAAAAAGCTAGTAACCAATCCTAGTTAAACCGTGAAGTGCCATCTCTGCCCTGAGCTCCACTGGGGCCACTGGGAGCCAAAAGAAATCCTAATGAGTCTTTTAATAGATCATCAGGTATAGTAAGCAATATGGTGAGAAAAAGCATGGAGCTGATTCATGTGCACAATAATATAGATTGGCTTTTAATGAAATTATGTTAATTAAATATTTTTTTTATTAAAGCAATTGAAATAATTTTTTTTTATCAAATAAGTTTTTGGTGAATATACAAAATGTTAAAATTTTCAAGTTACACGCTTCCAAATATAATTAGCAATTTTCAAAATATTTCAAACCATGTCATTTAATTATTCAAGAATTAGGCCTTAGCTAAACAAATTTGAACAATTTTTTGTTTACCTTTCTCCTTTTAGCAGAGCTCATTGGTGTTTTAGGTGTTTTAAGTATAGAAGATCCTGGTGTTCCTTCAGTCTCAGATAAGGACTGATCACAATCTTTGAAAGGTGTTGAACAAATTTCTGAGCTAAATGAGTTGTTAACAGATTGGTCCAAATTATCGTCCTCAGCCTCAACTGTATCATTTTGATTAGGATTTTCTTTATCAGTGGGTACAACAGACTGAGATACTTCTTTAATTGCACACTTTTTACCACCTTTAGATTTACCAGCTGAACCTGGTGATTTCTTAGCCCCCTGACTTTTCTGGACAGGGCTTTTCCCCTTTTTATTAACAATACTGGTAGGTTTCTTCACTAGATCTTCAGAGGGAGAAGCCTCTTGAGTTTCACTACATTCGATACTAACTTTTTTATCCGAGATCACTGTATTAGCAGAATCATCATCAATTATTATGCAATCGTCTTGCAAGATTGAAGAATCCAATGCTGCATTTGAGCTTTTTTCTTCTGAACTGTCATTTTGATTTTCACTAGGTGCTTCAACCTCCACTGACATTTCAAGTCCTTCATTAGTGGAAGAAATTTCCTGGTGTGTATCTGGAGGAAGGATCTTCACAAACCTATCCAATAAGCAGCATTTACCATTAGCAGCTTTCCCCACAGCTGCTTCTGCCTCAGAGCTAGAACTGACTTCATTACCATTATCATCTCCAAATGATATTTTTCTGATCTTGGAGGCTTTAGAATTTGGTGACTCAGCATTTCCAAGGGCAGCCAGAGGTTTAATAATAGTCTTTCCAGATTTGGTAGGTGATTCCAGTGAATTAGAGTTCCGTCTCTTTTTACCTTGACCTATTGGATTTATTTTGACAGGATCCTTTGCTACCATGGCGGTCTTAAAAAAGGGCAGTATTGCTGAAAATTAAATATTAACATACATTAGGCTTGTGGTTTGATTATTATATAGGCTAATATTATGATCAGGTGTTTTTTTAAAATGTACTTCCAGGAGTGGGGGAAACGCCTATAAGTATAAGAAACATTGAAGCCCGACAATTATTAAAATATAGGCCTAAATAGAATTATTAGGCCAAACCAACTGAAAGTAAGCATAGATCTAGTTTAAAATTAAGCCTAATAAAGTCTTAGGCCGACACGCACTTGGCAGCACTATCAAAATAGGTCTAGATCTAGATAATAAATAACTTATCTAGAAATACATAGGCTTATTTTTTTTTTATTGTATAAGCCTGCGAATACTAGTTTAACAGAGTTTAACTAGATTTTTAGATCTAAAATCTAATTGTTCTTAATAGACATACTCTGACATAGCCATAGGCCTAGATCTAGAATTTAGTAATAATGTACATTGTACAACAACTAAGCAGTAAGCAAAGCAGAGATCTCATAATTCCATAAAGTTTATGGCATAAACATTTCATTTTCATAAACAAGATTTTCATTAGTAGAGGGCCTGTACTAACTTAGGACTTAGTAAGTTACTAAGCCAATCTAAGCTAGATCTAGATCTAGATTCTAGGCCTAATCATTTTTAAAGTAGATCTATATTAAAATAAAAAGGTTTAGATATATAGATCTATATCTAGATCTATTTACCTTGCTTAAGTTTTTTAGTAGGAGGCTGGTTTTCTGCTAATTTTTCCATTGTACTGGCAAAAATTAACAGAAGAAGGAAATCTTTGTGAGGGTTGGACAAATTTACACAAAACACAATAATAGTTACGGAAGCTTCATAGTTGGCGCCAACCAATAGCTTTCCACATTATTACTAGCAGAATTCCCACAAATTTTAGGTGCGCTTTGCTGTTCGACAAGTAAAGCCAAAATAGTTTCGTACATTAAAATAACAAGCTAAATCTGGACGAAGTATACAATGTCTCAAGGATTTTACTTAGCCCCCCCCCCCCTTTAGGCCCGGGGTATTTCTGTAACTTAGTCTAGCAAGGATCGCCAAAAGGGGTAGAAGCTCATTTTAAGTTACGAAAATAAGCGACTACAATGCTTTACCAAACTAGAAAATGTTACGGGATAGTAACTGGTAAAAAGCGACACAAAGCTTTCCAACGGGGAGGGGGGCGCTTTTTCACAGACAGGATTAGCTATAAATAGAAATGGGAGGGGGCGTAAAATGACCGTTCGCCCCGGGCGCCGGAATAGGCAGCACGTCTCTAGCAAATGGAGGGCGCGTCCTTAAATGAAGAAAGTGTGACGATGCGTGATGTGGGAGAGTGATGTTTTAAAAGTGTGTCAACACACTTTTGCATTTTAAAAATTGTTAGAAACTGAATCAAAGGTGTTGTCTAGGTTTTAAAAAGACTCGTTGTTTACAGAGCTCTTTAAATATTGACGTTATTTTATGGTGGTTTGACTTTTCTGTGTCAATGTACCAGAGGCGCCCGGGGACAAACTTTTCGATTTGCACCTCCTCAAGATTTCGATTTGCACCCCCCCCCTCCAATTTCTTCTCTATATATTTTGCTGTTTTTTGCCTTGGTGTCACTATATAGCTATATATACAATATGTAGGCCTGGTGTTATAGGCGATGTTAAAGCGATGTTAATTTCCAAGTGGAGGGCAGCTATTGTTAAAAGATATTTTTTCTATATAAATTCCATTTCGTTCGGGGGGCGGTAGATTTTCTTAGCCCCCCCCCCCCCTAAGAGATGCCTGGAAGAAACTCTGCTTCCCCTCTAGCTCGTCTACCGCCCCGGACGAAATAGAAAGAATATCTCATTATATAAATTATATTATAAAAATGGACCCCCCCCCACCCCCGCGGAAAACTTTAAAAGTGGTTACCCAGAAGGTTTCAATTAGCCCCTCGGAGAATAATGTCTGAAAGAAACCTGATCACGGGGATTATCAGAGGCGTCGCGAGGCGGGGCGAGAACCACACCGGGTGAAACCGATTGGGAGTGACACCCAAGACAAAAAGGTGCACAATAAATAGAAGAAAAATGCTTTTTGACAGTTAAATTAACGATCAATTAGAGTTAAAAAGTCTTTTAAGTTTTAAATTAACATTCCCGACCAGGGAGATGGGGGGGGGGGGGGTTAATGAATTCCTATTACAATTTATTAAAGCAGTTTTCTAAAACGCAAATTAACGGCTAAAATTCGTTTTCTAACATTCCTTTTCTATAATGCAAAAGTGTGACGTCACACCATCTGAACTTCCCCCTCATCACACACCGTCACAAAATTATGGACTCCCCTCTACGAGTGTGATGTCATTTATCGACGACCCCTTACGCAACTGACAATATGTTATTATTTAGGCTTGTTTGCCTATGCTCACTTTAGGAAAGTGCTACCCAGATTTTTTTATAAAGATTCTGTTGTAAATAATTGTTTCCAACCACGCTAACGTGTATCTGGTCACTAAATAAGGAAACCAAAACATGGCCGATTAGTCTACACGTGTTGAAACTCGATGCGGTTATAATCCTTTGACAATTTTGAAAATGGTAATTTTTATGAAATATAGATGTAATTAGGATATAATATACGCGTAGTATTTATTAATTTGTAATTTGAGCATCTGGATCGTAAGTGTTAATTGGCTCTACTCGAAGGGGCCTACATTTTTTTTTGTTAAAATAGCGAGGCTCACTAAATCTTAATTTTAATTTTTTATTTTTTTAACCAATACCAATAAAAGCTAGAGATATTTTTCTAACTAACTAGGCACTACATTTGATGATTTTAGCTCATTATGAACTAAAATACATGATTTTAATTATTGGTGCCATACAGCTTAGCTGTGAAAGATTTTTCCATGACAACCAGTCTGAGATCTGATTCCTAAAGTTGACCTGAAAACTACCTAGGAGGTTCGTAAGGATCATGTGTGGGGAGGGGGAAGTGGAGGTATGCTGCAATAAAACGAAATCGAAAGGATACTCGTAACTTGGTTATGTAATCTATTTACTATATTTTTAGCAAACGCCAAATGAATGAACCAAAAATAATCACGTATAAATGTTTAAAAATATATAGGCCTAGATCTAAACTTTTTAAAGGTATTCATTTTCACGTTTTATTCAGTCTTGATTAATCAGTGTAAATAGGAATGTTTAATTAGGACAATTATGCATAATAATACATAGATTGAGTTAACGGCGGAATCTAACCCTCCTCCCTTATCCAGCATGGAAGCTTTGTCTAGGCTGAGTTTTAAATATTAAAAAAAAGTATATAGGCATAATAAAATATCTGTTTTTATTTTTAAAACTGTCGTTGCATTAAATTTCATCACATGTGAGCGAGAAATGCATTCCAAACATCGCCACTCATAGGCTGTGCGTAGTGACGGCTCGCTCGCGTTGTTTTGTTAACGAGAGAAACATCGCCCGTCCGAAGCTAGATCCAGGTGGAGTTTTAATACTTAAATTTGTATCTAGAGCTGGTGTGTAGATCTAGATAGATCTATTTAAAGATTGTTAGGCTACGCCTATCACATTAACGTTGATCACTTGTGAGTGAAAAATTATGCAAATTCGTCACGAGCCCGCTTGCGTTCTTTCGTCACGCGAGCGTGTGCGCAAGTCCCTGTACTGTGTCAACTAGATCTAGATCTAAGAATGCAAACTTTTGTTTATGCAGGCTGTCCTCTAATATGATTATTATAATTTATTAGCCTAGCCCTTCTGGATCTAAATCATAATAATCAATTATATAAAAATGAAAGCAAATGAAAATAATATTAACTATAATTCGATCTAGTAGTAATTAGTAATAATAAAATCAAGTAAATAATTTAGCACCTAGACTTTCTCGAGATCGCGTTTCACCACGAGATCACGGGTTTACGGGCTTTTACAGAAATACCAACTAATTCCTATCTTCCCGTGTTCAGATCGAAATACTTAATTAATTTGTCCAGCAATGTAAAAATCAAAATTGGAAAATATTCACTTAACGCTCGTCAACACAAACGTAGTAAAGAGTCGATAGAGCCACCTAGGCGAACGTCTGCCGCCAAATAGCGGTCACGTGGGTTATGGAATTTTTACTTCTGGTGGTGACCGTTTTGGAGAATTTTAAAAAAAAATAGCGCATGTAATATTCGATTTATTTTTACACAGACTGTTAAATCTAATATTGATGTACTTTCGGTTTCCGATCTACATCGTAGTTGCTAATATTTAAAAAGATCTACGAATGTTTGTCGGCACCACTTTTTGAGCTTCGGTCTTCATTATCCAAAGCAATTTATAGCGTTTCTCTGGCATATTTAGCACTGCCAACTATAGTTTGTTTACATTATGTGAAAAAACCGCAATTTTTCACGAGGTAAACATTTTAAAAACGAATTCCTATAAAGTCACTTGGGCAGACAAGAAAAATGTCCGAAACTAAGCGTCCGGTTTAGGACGCCATGTTGTTGTTACAGAGGCGTAGCGACCCTTCCCGGCGCCCGGGGACAAACTTTTCGATTAGCACCCCCCCCCCCTCGAGATTTTGATTTGCACCCCCCCCCCCCCCCCCCTCGAGATTTTGATTTGCACCCCCCTCAACCTTTCAATTTATTTTTCCAACCCATTTTGGCGCCCCCTAAGCTCGGCGCCCGGGGACATGTGTCCCCCCCCCCCCCCCCCCCCCCTCGCTACGCTACTGTGTTGTTAGCAACCAGAAACGCTTTCAAGTTAGTTATCCTTGCTATAATAAGTATGCATCAAATACTCTCACCAATACCAATCTGAAGGGTAGATCGATGTGTTTCGCGGGCTTTTATAGCCTTGTAAGATACCTATCATCACATGGCCAGGTAAAAGATCACTAATGATTCTCAATTAGCCTAATTACGCAGGAAATCAAGGCCAAATTGTGAGCCCATTTGAAATAATATACAACCCTTTTAGCGTCTATTGCGCATACTTCCGTACAGCATCCATCACAATAGCGATGACGTCACAATTAAAAATTACGTGCTTTCAGTGACCTTTTTTGGGCGCCGATTTCTTAAAATGGTTATAAAATAATTACAATATTTTTTCACTAAACGATCAGTCTAATAATAGCCTACCGAACAGTGCCATTTGGACACATAACAGACCATTATTTAAAGTTTTTAAACAACTCAAACTATACCCATGTTTACGTTTGACCTACATTGTCGGAAGCAAATTTTAATTTTTTTTTCTGGCAAAAATAGCTTTGTCATCTTCAGATAGCTTAAAATACGCAAAAAAAAACGCCATTTTTCGCGTGATAATTATTTTTAATGTTAATGTTAAGGTGGTCTCTCGAACAAAGCTGAAAAAATTGCCCAATCGTAGGCCAAGGTGTGGTAGCCATGTTCTGGTTAGCAACCAAGGACGCTTTCGAGTTAGTGAGCCTCTCTAGTTAAAACTAAAACGCGTGGTGTGAGAATATTTTGTAGACATGCCTAGGCAATGTTTTTTTTTATGATAGAGATACATCTGATTATCAGATTTAAATTTAGTGATGATCCTAGACATCAAGACCTACAACATTGTGATAGTAATGCATGGGTAAAAACTTACAAAAACTTAAATGAACAAAAATGTTTCTTCATAAGGAAGCAGATCTTATTTTAATATTTTTAGATCTAGATTCTAGCTACTTTAGGTTCAACAACTGTTTCAGAAGTCTGTTCAATATATCCCGCCTGTTGAGATCATGGTAATGGGGATAAAGTGTAAAGGTTGATGCAGGATTTTTTTTAAAAAGTGACTGGAATCTAGATCTAGATCCATGTGGAAGTGATTGTGCATTGATGTTAATATAAATGTAGGCATTTCGACTTCCGCTGTTTCGATTCGGTACGACCGCATCCTGACTTTTTCATCGTACTTGTTGAAATTCGCCATTTTTTAACATGTTAATTCTCGCCATCGGAATCGAAGAATAAAATGTATTCGATGTGAATATTTGAGTTGAATTTCATCTTTTATACATACTAATAAATGAATTAGCTCCCGTTTTACATTGTCCGATACCGAAAGCGATCACCGATAATAGCAAATATTTGTCGAAATGCCGACGCTACCGAACTGGCGCATTGACAACTAAATTTCAGATATAAATAATCCTTTAAGTTGCATGAAAATAGGCTTAAATAGCATGCCAACCATTTGGATAAATAGAAATGTCGATTTGAAGGGTTTTTAAGCACGGGCCAATGAGGAGTAGCGCGATAAAACTCGTAGGGGTAGGAACGAGAAAGCATGCGTAATTTCATAATGGCGGCCGGGCTACGAGATATTAATAGATATGCGCATACGATGTTTTTTAATAGCTGTTTGTTTTTAAATGGACTGTTACAATAAAATGGGCTTTAAAATAAATATAATGTAGATCTAAATTATTAGATTAAAAATGGAAAGAATGTAATTAGGCCTAATTGCTGCCTAAATAAATTATAAAATTTTAAATTAGCCAGATTTTTATTAACCTTCTTAATACCAGGTTAACTAGATCTAGCAAACTAGCATTAACGAATTGCAGATAAATAGATTATAAAGGCATTTTTAAGTAGAAAAAAATCTATATTTATTGTAAACAGTTTTAAAAAAATAGAATCTAGATCTAGATCTAAATGGAAATGAAAACACTAAAACAATAATGGGTCTAGAGATGTGTAATTATATATATATATATATATATATATATATATATATATATATATATATATATATATATATATATATATATATATATATATATATATATATATATATATATAAACTATTAGGCCTTAATGTAAATACTGACAGGCCTATTTGTAGTATCTAGATCTATAAAGTACTATAAAGGGCCTAAATTAAAAATAATAATGCCCAATTTTATAAGCTGCACGGCATTACAGTTTTAGTTAAAGGCAACTATAATAGAAAGAAAACATGAACACTTTAATTAATGTCATTTAAGAATTTATCAAAGGATATGTCAACTTCACTAAACATTTTATAAATAAGAATACTGTGAAATGTCAATCTTTGAGTTTTAGCACACCTCAACACTTTTCATCAGAAACATTACAAGAACCAAAATTTTCTAAATTAATAATAACATTTTTACCATGTTATACACGGACACAAATCCAATGTTTATGGCAAATCGTTAAGTATCTTGATCATATTGTGCTTTATTTGACTTGTAAGTTCTAACTCTATACATTACCTGTACAATATGTATACTAGCATTCTTATTACTAACACCAGAATCAATATGTAAAGTTTAATCTTTATTTTTATAGTAGCAACAAAGAAGTGTAACACATTAGCCTGTAGTTAATCATCATAGTCTAATTGCGCTGTACCATATTCAAGTTCACTATTTATAGTTTTCCTCTAGCTATGTTTATTTTACTTGCATGATTGTATTTTTTACATGCTCTAGTCCTAATATATAAAGTTTCATGATGGTATATGGAATAGCAACCTAGCTGTGCAGTCTGGAAATCCTCTTATGGCAGTCACTATAGAACAGTGCCACACCCCTTAATTTAACTTCATTATTTCTAGTTACCTCTTTTCTAATTTTTATTTTATTTGTAGACTTCTATTGCCTATATCATTGAGTACAAATGTGCAAAGTTTTATCATTATATCTTTAATAGCAACATTGGTATGCAAGTTTAAAGCCAATCACACGTCTGGAATGCAGGTTACAATGAAACATAACAAGTTAAACACATAACTTTGAAAATTCATATAAAAAAAACTATTAGGCCTAGAATGATAAATTTGATATTTTTATCAATGGGGTATATTATAGGATTAATCTGGGTCCATTTTATCATTCTATGATAATTAGGAAAAATTTCCCAATAGGCCTAATAAATGTAAATAAACGAATAAAACTAGATTCTAGGTCATGCATGTGCAGTTTGTAAACATACTCATGCACAGGAGACAATACTAAAAAAACAGTCTCTTTCCATTAGATGATTAGGTACTTTCCATTGTGTAGTGTACACACTTCTTCTGGCAAGAATAGGCCTTTTCAAAAATACTATCGATAGGCTTATCACTAAATTATAGTATTAGTTCTACTGGCTAACCAGGAGGCACGGCCAGTTGCTAATGAGTTACTAACAACAATATGGTAGGCCGTTCGAATTCACAGCTTCCGGGTTTGTTGTTTTGAAGCCATCTCACTTACCAAAAATGGCGACCAGTTTCGCTTTCACTAATGGGTAGAGGGATAAAACTAATGATTACGAGGCCATCGTTAATTTTAGAAATCTGAACTATCCGTTTCTATTTAAGTCTGTTGTTTAAGAATTGTCGGATCTACTTTTGGCCTAATTTCTTGGTTTGTCTCGCAAGCGGTGCCTTAGTGAAAGTAGCTCTATATAATTCTTATCTTTCGAATCAAATAACTATAAAATACCTCAGCTATTTTTAACCAGACTATTGCTATCTTTTACTTGAAAGCATTAATTTTACACACGTTACAATAAACTGGTAATAATTTATTGTAGGCATGAGATATGCTCTGTAAGAATAATAATGCCATTTTATTATAATCTTTTTTGGTGAACACGAAGCGCGGGAAAATGTGTGACGCGCAAGAATCCAATCATTCGGCTAGATTTATGACTGTTTTTTATGTCACACCTAAAAATAGAATGTTTACGCTTTCTTCATTGATGATCGTTTTCATTATTTTTTTAAACTGAAAGTATGAATTATTAGTTAGATTTCAGGTTTTGTAACTTGATATACTTACCCTTTATCAAAATTAAAAGCATAGCATGCTGATTGTGAACAAATATAGTCATAAAACACAAATATAAAGTTACAAACAATGCGATGTCGGGATGTGCCACACCCCCTCAAGAAAACACGTGTTTATTAATCTGTTTATCTCACTTTACAACAGTAATTAAAATTAATTTTCAAATTTTTATCACTTATTGGGTAAGATTAAGAACATGTTTACTAAAAATGAAAAAAAAACAAAAGCAAATTCTGTTTTAATGAAGGTCACGGGTCAAGTTTTTTTTTCCTTCTGTCACGTTCAGTGGAGGGTGCCACAGGCTGACCTGACTTTGGAATTTTTTTCAGTAATAATGACTTTGCACAGAAAGTTAAAATATGCTAAATTGGCTTAGTTTACTAGTGTGCAAGCTATTATTGATACATTTTTAATAAAAAAATCATTCTGTAATTCTCATCAAAAAGCCTACAATATGGCGTCCACACTGGACATACGACCTGATGTGACAAGTGCAAGCTCTTTTTTTTTTTTTTTACTGTAATCTGCAATTTTAAAAATCTGCCAGTCACTCTCTTAATCTCATTGTTTGAGTTCAAGACTTTTAATTTAAAGAATTTTCTGCCTTTTTATGTCTAGACCTAGTTTTTAATTAAGAAAAAGATTTTTTAAACTGAAGTATTTCAATTCCCTAAAGTATTTTGCCTTAAGTTTGTTATAACACTGAAATTGATCTTTGGTAAATTAGGAATTTGTTTAGGCCTAATTTAAACTTAGGTGAGACAAGCTTTTACTAGGCCAGAAATGACATAACATGTTTCCATTCATTTACTTTCATGTAGAGTAAGCACCTGTTTGTACTGTTCGAGCATGCAGCTGGATATGCTCTTTTTGCTGTTAAAGAATTCGATGAAGTTTCTGCATTGCTTCCACAAGTTGAAAGTAGTGTCACAGACATAAGCAAGTTTCAGTCAGTTGTTAAGTTGTCTGCTTTTCAGGCCTTTAGAAATGGACCAAATTCACTGGATAACATCAATGCTATTGCAGCAGGTAATGTTTTGTAGACTTAACTAAGCCTGTTAACCCATAATTACTGATGATGTTAGATATGGTGTCTTCACATCTTGATTTTTTTATGCATGTTGTTTTTCTTGCATTTCATAAAATTCCAAATGTATTAGTTCATTTTATTATAACTCTAATGAAATAAATTGCAGGTGAGTTGCACCCAGATCTTCAAGCCTTTCTTGAAAAAGAGGTTCCTGCGAGCAAAAAGAAATTTCAAGTGATCCTTGGTGTTGGAGATGCCAAAATAGGAGCTGCAATATCAGACACTTTAAGCATCTCTTGTCAACACAGTGGTGTTGTGGTTGAGCTTATGCGAGGTATTTTTTTTTGTCTAGCACAGGTTTACTAGTTTTCAAGTTTAAACAGTAGGTCTATAAGAAATATGCTTGTTTTAAAATGAAATGAGCCAGTCATATATTTTTTTCTGCAGGTATCAGGACACATTTCCCCCATTTTATTAAAGCGCTTACAGAATCATCTGCTGGTAAAGCTCAGTTGGGACTTGGTCATAGCTATTCTAGAGATAAGGTTAAATTCAATGTCAATCGTGTGGATAATATGATAATACAAAGTATCAGTTTGCTTGATCAGCTGGATAAAGACATCAATACGTTCTCAATGAGAATAAGGTAAATTGGTTTATACAAATTATTTTTAAAATGTTTTTAATCAAAAATATATTTACTAATGTTGAATATTTTAAACTGTTACTTTTATTTCAATAATTTTTTTCTTCCCAGAGAATGGTACTCCTATCATTTCCCAGAGCTTGTAAAAATTGTTAATGATAATTACATGTTCGCACGTTTGGCTAATTTGATCGGTGATCGTACTAAACTTGAACCAGAAATGTCTGAGTCAATTGAAGAAGTGGTAATGGACAGTGCTAAAGTGAAAGCAATCTTTGAAGCGGCAAAGTCATCTATGGGTAAGAATTTATCACTGTGTTTGTATTGTTAAAACATTGGCTTATAGGTTTGACCAGTTGATTTTTTTAAATCTGCAGTAGTAGCTTTTTCATTTTGGTATGCATTTTTCAATTTAAAATATGCTTTTTTTGTTATCCATGTTTTTTGTATCTTTGGTTTTCTAAAGTATAATTATTTCTAAGTAATCAGCATTTTAATCCTTATTTTCTGACAAAACATGCTGATTTGATTTAGCAAGAGACCATAATTGTGCTCAATATCATATGGTTTATTACTGTACCTCTTATTTAATAAAAATGTTTACATATAATTATAATAATTTTTAGGCATTGACATTGGGACCATTGATCTGATCAACATTCAGATGTTTGCTCGGCGAGTTATCAGTCTTACAGAATACAGAAAGTCACTCTCAGAATACTTGCACAGCAAAATGCAAAGTGTTGCTCCAAATCTTGCTGCACTGATTGGTGAACAAGTAAGTATAAATATCTTTGTTCAAGTTTTTAACCAGCAGATAATGATCAGATGTGTTTTTTACTTATGACTTTTTTTTAAAGGTAGGAGCAAGGTTGATCTCTCATGCTGGCAGTTTAACGAACTTGGCCAAATACCCAGCCTCAACTGTTCAGATTCTTGGTGCTGAGAAAGCTCTTTTCAGGTATTTATTTTCAAATATTCATTGGTTGATGTTTTATTTCAAGAGATGTATTTTCCAATATTTTGAAATTTTGCCCTTACAAAAAAAATTTGATTAAAAGAAAAAAGCAAAATTTAAAAGAACTATCATTTAAATTTGTAATTGCACTATTTTCTTAAAATATTTTAATTTCCACCTGGTAGTAGTTACAATGTCAGTAAGTGTGGTCACAAACCCTAGTTTCAGAATAGAAAATAACTCCCTTTATATGTGGTTATTTACATTTCTGTAGAATAAAAACCTACCTTAATTACTATATTAAAACTTTTTAACTATTAGAATGTAATTACTTCTGGAGTTTAATGTTGCAGCTATTCCAGTTCGATATGTTCTACTTTTTTTCTCTAATTATCTATTGTGTTTTTCTTTATTTAGAGCACTTAAGACTAGAGGCAACACTCCTAAGTATGGCCTCATCTTTCATTCAACCTTTATTGGACGCGCAGGTGCAAAAAATAAAGGACGTATATCCAGATACCTAGCAAATAAGTGTTCCATAGCATCTAGGGTTGACAATTTCTCAGGTAAATAGCCTAGATTTTCAGTAGTTATTTAACTTAAATTGTATTGCCTATCTAGTAATGTCATTTACACCTGCTTTTTTTTTTTTCTCATCAGACATCCCAACTGCAGTGATTGGTGAGCATTTAAGGCAGCAAGTTGAAGACAGACTGAAGTTCTATGAAACTGGAGAAAATCCTGCCAAAAATATAGATGTCATGAAGATAGCTGTTAGTGAAGTAAGTGACTGTACAACTTATATGTCTAGCAAATGTTAAGTAGTGAGTGGGGGGATTAAAGGATAGAAGGAAAGAAATAAATGTAAAATTTAAACATTGGTTTATTTATTCTTTGAAGAAGTAACTGGGTTATGTTTCTGGTGTTAATATTTGTTCATTATTATTCATCCAGTGAGTTGTCATCCAGTTTTTTTTCTAATTTGTTTTTGTGTATATGAGGATGGATGAAAGTTTGAAAAGAGCCGCTTCACCCCAGCATTTAGGCCTCCCTTTTTTTCTGTATTTCTATTGTCAGGCTTGCTAGTTTTGTCTTGAGTATTAGGTTATGTAGTATATGCCACTGTATTCTAGTGTTGTGTATTGGAGTTCTAGTGTCACATTCTAGGCTGGTTTCTCTTTTAGTTTCTGTTTAGGGTAGATTATATAACATTTTTATTGTTGCTTAACTTGAATGGGACTTTGATTTTCTTGTGATTTTAAACCTGTTTGTGGTTGTATATCTTGTGACGTACTTGACAACCCATAATTTGTGTCAGCATGTTTACAGTAATCTTAAAATTACTTTGAGGAATAAAAGTAAATAAATAAGAGATGTTAAAGATGTTTTATGTGACTTCATTTGTTTTTTTTTCCCCCATTTTTTTCAGGCTGAAGAAGCAAAACAGAAAGTCTTAAAAGCACACAGAAAACAAGAAAGAAAAGAGAAAAAACGAGCAAAAGAGGTAGAAGCAAATGGGGAAGATGAGCCAGTGAAGAAGAAGAAAAAGAAGAAGAGCAAGGACGAGAATGATGAGAGTGTAGTTACTGAGGTGGATACAAGTGTTGCGTCTGAACTTGATACTACTGTAGATGGGGAGAAGAAAGCGAAAAAGAGCAAAAAACAAAAGAAAAAGAAGGGAGATAACTAAACTTAGTACATCTGTAAATTTGTGTCATTGAAATAAACACATTTTAATACAGTAGCCTGATTTCAAGCTTGTTCTTCAAGAAGATTTGTGAACGTTTTTATAAGATGTGTACACTTAAATGCTGCACAATTGTTGCAACTATACATAACCAATGAACAATTTTTGTAGTACATTTTCTGCTTTGAAGATTTAGTCATATCTGGATGGATCTATTGCTTGCCTTTTAAAGTGTAACTGCATTTAAACCAAAATTAATCTCTTGATGTTGAATGTAACAACCTTGAATATTCACTAATTTTGAATATAATTGAAAAATTTGATAATTTTACAATGTTAATCAAAATAAATTCATTTGAATAGTTTTGAAAAAACTACCACATTAGAAATGTTTTGTATTTGAGTTTTTAAGATTTGACCCCACAGACATAGAGACTTAATCCAACTAATAGCTTCAGCAAAATAAAGTTAGTACAAATTTTATTAGACATGTTAGTTATACAAAAAAGTGTTAAAGCTTTGACTTGCAATGCCTATTGCATAAATAATGTAAATTGTGCTGAAGTTCATCTTAAGCCCATCACAGTATCCTTGTTCTAGGCGTGTTCCTCAAGCAGTCATGAATAATTGCGGAATATGGTCGCTAACTTCAGGACTGAATGAAAAAGAAAGTGTTAAAATAAGTAATCTGTTGAGTGAGTGTTGATAGTAATGGTAGTCTCCTGTTAAGGGTAGTATTGTATGCATTCATATCATAGCATTCTTAATATTCACAGAAATAACTAAATAGGTAACAAATTAAGCAAATTTGAACTAGTCTTGTGGGAAAATATACCTTTAAAAGCCCTTCCAGAATTTTGGCGCAGTTAATGCTTGCTGCCAGTGGCTTGACTGTAAGACCATATAGGAATCTGACGAAATTGGCAGCCTTTGTTGAGCAGGAGCGTTCAACATTCGCATGAATACACTTCAGTAGGTTATCAAACACTCTGTAGTTTTAAAAAATGTAGTGTTGCTTTCAGTATTGATTATTTGTGTAAAAGAGGTGTGTGAGATGAGTTTTACTAATAATAGGATGAGACATTGTTGAAATGTGGGGTAAGAGTTTTAAGGTGTAGGGTATGTGGTGGGCCGGCGCATATGGGGTGTTTTTAGGGGGGGGGGATATTTGGTTTGTGGTGTTGTGCGTTTCCTTTTTATATCATTTTTAAAACGTGAAATTTAAAACTTATTTTACAAGACAATGTTTTATGCCTGTGTTCTGTCCTCCAAAATGTATCATTCAAATTTTACACCGCAGCGATGCACGGGTATGCAGCTCGTAGTGTATTAGGCTATATCAGATTCTACTGTGTTGTGTTGCTGCTGTTTTCTGTTGGTGTGTTGTATAGTATCATCTTGTAAGGTGTCTTGATGTTTGCAATAAAGGCAGGTTTCTAGTCGGAAATGAGGGACGTGGGGGTCGGATTTGAACGCCCCCCGCCCAACTCTCTCCCAGATATAATCACTGGCCAGATTTATCTATATTATGTTATATAATCAGTGTTTCTTCCAGAATTTTTCTCCGGGGCGGGGGGGGGGGGGGGCGGACACTGGTAAAAGTATATGTTTTCTATATAAATTCCATTTCGTGAAGAAACTGATTATAGTGTGTTCTCGGAGCAGTGTGAATTCAACCCATGGACTACTCACTTGCAGAATTTGTCGTGACTTTCGTTTAAAGTTTTGATCTGAAGTGTGATGATTTCTATCTCAAGTTTCATGGCAGAGGAGCACTGGTAGGTTCCCCACTCGAAGGCATCACGCGAGAAACAGCCTGACTCAGACATCAACACTGGAACAAGAATGGCACTTCAGTCTTTAGTGTGATTTTAAAAAATATTTATTGAAAATTATAATTTCTTTATTTATATTATGTTATAGAACTACAGATTGACTTTTAGAAACTTTGCAAAATATCTGAATTTTAAATACTTTAATCTATTTTTTTATGTATAGAAGACACGTAGTGTTTAATCTTTAAATATTTGCGTGAAATCCATATTAATATAAGTAATATTTCAAGTTGTTTTTTTTTTTTTTTTTTTTTTGTGGCCGCCAAAAAAAAAGAAATGTTTTTACAATTAGTCACGCCGGTCAATACAGCTTATTGTTTGTAATGGTTTCCTATGTTATTTTTTTTTCATACGTATTTTAAAAATTAAGATTATTAATTTTAAAGTGATTATTTTCTAAATCTTCATAATTCTTTAGTAAGCGTGAATTGAATAATAATAAACAAAATCAAATGTTGTTTTAATTCGCTTAGTAAAAAATAAATGATAAATAACTATAGTATAGGTGGGACTCCTGTTCCCGATAGGCTATTAGAATGTGATCCCAACTATTTAAAGCCGGGCGATAAAGCATGGAAGTAGTTTTAAAGTTTGCCTATCTTTCACACTGTAGTTCGCGTAGTGATTGGTTTTTTTACGCAACAGCGTGGGTTAGTTACTATATCATAATAACCGCTGTATTTTTTTTTTTTTTTTTTTGTAACAACACAATCAATTTACGCGAGAAAAAAAACTATTTTGAAAAAAAAAAATAACATTGTGTTTATTATGGTCGGATTTTGGACCCCCTAAAATGGCCTGGGCATCCCCGCATAACGGCGTCTGGTGGCATGGTAGTTCCACCCATTGGATGGGGCCGTGTGGGCGGGGAGGGGGGGGGGAGAATAAACATCTTCATTATAGGTTTTAGAAATGTGTAGGAATAGTAATTAGCAGCACTGCATTGAAAAGATTGGAAAAAGGAAAATACTGGGGGAAAAAACAAAGCAACTTGAAACAAATAGCCTAATAGATATGACATGAAAATGATGAATGATATAGAAAAATATTTCTTACCGTTTCTCCCGCCATTACAAATGTACTGCACCATTTCGTTAACAATGCTCGCAGTTAACTTTTTGGTTGTTTGACAAGACGTTCTAGCCACGCAATTGTTCAGCTTACTTTTCTTGCTGCAGTGGAATAAAAACCATCTTTACCAAAAACTGACAAGTAATCATCTTGCAGGTAGAATTTTTTTTTAAAACGTAAGGTTGCAGGCCCTTCTAATCAGGAAACACGCGGAAGCAGGCGAGTGCTCTAATTTATGTAATTAGCTTTTAAAACAATCTATCACTGCATCCGTCAACATTGACAGTGCCGCGCCCTGACGGATCCAACCCAGTTTCTAGCGCCATTTATCAAAATTAGGCCATCTAGAACGGGTAGACGTGGTTTAATTGGCCAGATAGGCATGTGCTTTAATACTATACTAGACGACCCGTTACCTATTGGGTAAGTCTGTCTGTCTGTCTGTCTGTCTGTCTGTCTGTCTGTCTGTCTGTCTGTCTGTCTGTCTGTCTGTCTGTCTGTCTGTCTGTCTGTCTGTCTGTCTGTCTGTCTGTCTGTCTGTCTGTCTGTCTGTCTGTCTGTCTGTCTGTCTGCCTGTCTGCCTGTCTGTCTGTCTGTCTGTGGGCAGAAAAGCGCTTACAAAAATACATGCTCTCAGTTTCCTCCCCACCGTACATCCCAGAGCCCCACCATACCCATCCCGTTCCCCATATTTTTTCATAACATGGCGTGCTGCAGAACACACACAAAAAACTACTCCCCTGCCCCATTGGTAAACATTCCACACCTCTCCAACCCAAATGCCCCCTTCCCCCAGCACAACTATACTCTCCGACCCCAAGCCCCCTAATTGACGCCACCACAACCCCCACCACCAATCCCCTACGTCTCCCCCTCCATTGACAAAAACCCACAATCTACATCCTGCGTTGAACCATTTTTTATTGTTTAAATTGGGAATGATCGAAATGGTCATTACTAGTAAGCTTTACACTAGAAAGCGCATACTACATATGATACCGCTTCGTCTTGTTGTGAAATCAAAATAGAAAAATAATATTCTCCCCCTTTACGACTTTTAGAGAACTCTGATTCTCTCCCTTACCACAATAAGTCAGAAAAGTTTCATACCCCTTCTCCCAAAAATGAAACGTCATTTATAGACGGCCGCTAAGCATGGTTTAGGACTACATGCAAACATTTTGACTTGTTTGCCGACATTATAATGTATAAAGCATCCTCCTTGAATTCACAACAGAAGTAAACTTAAGTTAAGACAGACTCGAGGTCCTAGTACAATGTAGACTACCTGCAGACATCATCAGTGTTTCTTCCAGACTCTTTCTCCGTGGGTGCACTTGAAATTTTCGGGGGGGGGGGGGGAGGGGGGGGGGCGGCTGACAACAATTTCCGGGGGGGGGGGGGGAGTATATATTTTCTATATAAATTCTATTTCGTTCGGGGCGGGGGGGGGGGATAATCGGGGATGCCTGGAAGAAACTCTGGACATCATGACCTACCTGCAGACAAAGTTAAGTAACGTATCGTACGACAAGGTAGCAAGAGCTTGATTTAATGACTTACCTGCAGACAAAGTTAATTAACGTATCGTACGACAAGGTAGCGAGAGCTCTAGATTTATCGTGCTCTATGAAGTCCACAAACATGGGGAAGTGGTCAAGGCATGCCTTTAGGTGATCACAACCTTTTTTAGAACGGTCTTTTGTTCCATCTGAAATATAGAAATGTTTAACTTATATCAACAATAGAGTGTAGGCCTATTTTACGTATCGCTTATAAACAAGAAAACGAATATATTTCATATTCTGATGTGGACGTCATTAAAACTGGCTCCATAGTCTAACAGACCATTGGATGATTGCGCATTGGAAATTCTGAGCGGTATGATAAGAAGAGCCGAATCTCGCCTATGTATCAGACGCCCTCGCTTCACACGGTTCCCAGAAAAAAAGCGAGATGCCTAGAAGAAACTATCCACACAGCTTATGGACCCAAGAAACAGGACGTAACCAGAGTAGTTTGTCGTATTGCGTCTAAGGGACTCCACTCTCGTGTGATTTCGAGTTTTCTCTCCTAAATGGATTTGCTGTCCACAGTCGACGAGCCTCTTCCGACCAAAGGTTCGAACTCGCGACTTTCGGATTTGCAAACATGCAACCAATCCGATATATTTACGTCTTCATCAACTATTGGACAGCATTTAAGTTGTGTATTTCTATGATGAAAGTTGTTGAATGTATATAGCCAAACGTTAACGGCTGATTTTTAGAAAATAACGTAGTTACAGAATTGCTTTCTTAAGTGAATTGCCTTTGTGTGTTTATGCGCGCATATGTAGAATGAAGATGTGTACAGGTGAAGAGATAAAGAAAGTTTTGGAGAGACATCTCAAATGGTTACCTGAAACAAAGCGCACATGTAGCAAACCTACATCAAATAACATTGATGTAGCCAAATCAAAAGAAAGCTAACAGCCTTGTCTGATTAGAATAATCTCTTAAATTTCATGATAGTTAAAGTAATGTTGGTATTAAAGTTAATTAAAAGCACTTTCCTTCTTTCAAACACAATAAAGGGGAAACAACTGCTGTTCCAGTAGGGCTCAGCTTTGATCCTATGTTCAGAAATACAGTTAAGTTGGGTAGTATTATCAATAATGTCGATATAAATAATCAAAATGGTTTATCCCTTTTATGTGTTAACATTAAAAGAAAGAGAATTAGGCCTATTATATTATTGTAAAAATATAAACGTATACTGCCAACCGATTTTTTGATGATTACTAAGAGCAGTGTTTCTTCTAGACTTTTTTCACCGGGGGGAGGGGGGTACTTAAAATTTCCGGAGGTGGGGGGGGGGGGTTAAAAGTATATAGGGGGGATGGGGCGGACTAAAGTTTCCGGGTGGGGATAGGGCTTACACCAGAGGCGTAGCGGGGGGGGGGGGGGACGACACCATATGTCCCCGGGCGCCGACCTTAAAGGGCGCCAAAATGGGTTGGAGAAATAAATAGAAAGCTTGAGGGGGGGGGGTGCAAATCGAAATCTTGAGGGGAGGTGCAAATCGAAATCTTGAGGGGGTGCAAATCGAAAGTTTGTCCCCGGGCGCCGGGAAGGGTCGCTACGCCTCTGGCTTACACTGTTAAAAGTATATATTTCCGATATAAAATTCCTTTTCGTTCGGGGGGGGGGGGGGGGGGGAGACTTTTTTGGGGCGGCGGAGCCCCCCCCCCCCCCCCCCCCCCACCAAAGAGATGCCTGGAAGAAACACTGATTCAGAGAACACATTAAAAGTTATAATCACGTGAAACTAAATTACTATCAACAAAGGGCTGTAGCTGTCACGTAGACCTATACAAGTATAGTATTGTTAGCTCGTGTGTCCATAAGTTAGTGTCTGGGACAACAGGACAATTATCCATTGTTTGAAGACTGTGCTAGCAGCCAGTCAGGGAGGAGACGAGTACCACTATCAATCGTCGTGTAAACGAGTTTCACCGGTTTTCTATTTCGTTAGTTAAAACACCTCACGTACACAAAGACAACTTATACAATAACAGTGATGGATTTAGAAGAGGGAATGTATGGTTTATCCTCAACTTTTCAATCGAGGCTATTAATAACTCACTTTTTTTCTTTCAACCACCCCCACACCCCGATATTTACACAACATTATGTTTTAAATCCACTAAGGCATCATGGGAAAAATACCGCGTCCTTATCTCTCGCCATTATTATGGAACAATTCAATTTCACCAACTTTTTAACACAAAAGTCTTTAGAAGAACAAAGCTTCAAAGCTTTATTTGTGAACAATGTTAAAACTTGAATATATATTCTGGGAAGCGATATATATATATATATATATATATATATATATATATATATATATATATATATATATATATATATATATATATATATATATATATATATATATATATATATATATGTATATGTATATATACACACACACACACATATATATATATATATATATATATATATATATATATATATATATATATATATATATATATATATATATATATATATATATATATATATATATATATATATATGTGTGTGTGTGTGTGTGTGTGTGTGTGTCTATCTATATATATTCTGGGAAGCGAGATATATATATATATATATATATATATATATATATATATATATATATATATATATATATATATATATATATATATATGCCATATTTGCTGAATCATTAAAAATATAAACGTATATACTTACCAGAAGCTCCGTAATGAACACAAATCAAAGAAATTATCCACAGCCTCAAGACACTAACAGTAGACAGCATGTCTGAAGATAAAATTTAATGATTTCCGGTAGCAAGGTTTTATTTCAACAATTACCTGGGGAAGATTACAATAGAATTTATATTTTTTTGCACATGTAAAATAAAGGTTGCCCGTGTTAGACATGCCTGCTTTGCACTCACAAACATATTGGATCATCTAGATCAGTGGTTCCCAAACTTTTTGGAGTAGCGACCCTCCAGAAAGCCCTTCTGGGGGCCGCGACCCCCAGTTTGGGAACCACTGATCTAGATGTTATTCAACTCGAAGTACGACGTTTGTGCACACCCATGTCAATAAATGACATTAAAATATTTAAGTACCATCTCCCCCACCCGTTCTACTGCTAATATAATACATTGGTACTAAAAAAACGTGTAGCATCCATTTTAGTTGAACAATTGCTACTATAAATAAATAAATTGCAGTGAATTTAATGAAATATATACCGGGTATGATTCTAGTAAGCTACTTGATCATATTTTCTCTTGCTTTTATATTTATAGATGTATTAACGATATACGCTTTTCTTATACATTATGAGAAATCAATTTAAAAGTTTAGCACATCGGGGATCATTGTATTTTGGAAGTGATATCTGATATTTTTCGTCTAGAATTATATATTGTTGCTTTTAAAGTATGAAATCCTAAGTCTGATAGATGCCTTTGCTATGATTGTCAACTCTGCATTAAGTAATTTAGAGAAGGAAAAGAAAGGCGATTAATTGAACGGTAGGTTGCGAGATATTTATTTTCTACCATCTTGAGTAGATGCTTAGGTACACATTTTAAAAGAATCTATACTCGCTGAAGATTTTGTAAACTATTAACGACTTGATAAAGACTTTGACTTATCATTGAATTGATAAACTAATGTGAGAACTTTAACATAGGCATCAAACACACAATACTTGAGGATCGCTGGACAGGAAAAAAAAGGTTAGAACTGGAAGTGTAATACGAACATTGCAGGTTAAATGAGAAACGACGGTACAATCTGATACTGCGTTAAAAGAAAACAATGTCTCAGCCCGTTGTGTCAACTTATCAATTCAACCTGAATTCTGAATAGCAAAAAATGTGCAAAAAAATAATCTGACACGTAGCACATTGCAGTATACCACCATAAGCCCACATACCAACACAATCATGAGCCTACCTTTTGTGTTATACATCATATGCATAATCTTAATTTGAATGAGTATATATATATATATATATATATATATATATATATATATATATATATATATATATATATATATATATATATATATATATATATATATATATATATATATAACATGTGGGCTTAGATCGAAATACACTTACTTTTAATGAAAAAGTAAGTTATTAATTAACTATTAGCACAAGCTTACATAAAAGGAATTAAATATAATTGTACACTTACTAAATGTAACTATAGTGATTTATAAAAACAATGTTATATTAACCACTAACAGTCCGTATATATTACGTTAACTATAACACTTCACTTAACATCACAATGCTATTCGGCGAATGAAAACACCAGAAGCCACAATGCAGACCCACGTAAGAATAAATCGGGCAGTCTTACCTTCAACCTCGGAAAGTTGCAGCATTAACTAAACGGACACTAGTGAGAGGAAGAAAAAAAAAACCACAATTCGTCTCTGTGAGACGGCTTTATCGTATCTGGGGACTAGCCGGCCTGCGAGTGGTAGATGCCAGAGTTAAGACCAGACACGCTGGGCATACAGGTATTGTTACCCACCGCACAGACCTCCAGCCCGATGTTTATAGAAATACTGGAAATGTTTTGAACGATTAGCGGATACGATCCACGCTTAATCTCTTTTAAAACACACAGTCGCGGGCAGGCAAGTTGAATCAAAACTTAAAGACACCAGACACCAAGTGGGGTAGCCTAGTTTAAACATAATAAATAACTGCCCTAATTGTTGCATGACACTTTATCTCCCCCCCCCCCCCCCCCTCCACCCGTTACACTATTTTAAACAGATTATGTTACTTACAATAGGGAATAGCTCTTAGATTGTGTTATCAGCATGAAGAGAACTACTTTGATAAAAATGGGAGATTGGGGGGGGGGGGGGGGGGGGGGGGGTTAACCAGGCCATTTATCCACTTAAAAAACCTAACCCCTGCATTTTATTTTCCAGAATTATTATCAGCAAATTCACTTTTTAAAATATCTGTGAATATGTATCTCCAAATCTAAATTTGTGTACATGAATATCTATTTTCCTTTTTAGTATTTTTTTGTTCGTAACCCCAGTGCTAAAATAATATAAGGCACCGTGTGAAAAATGAAATACGATATTTTTGAACTATACAAGCGTTATTTTATTGTCCAGTTCAGCGACAGCATAATTTCTATGCGGCAGTGGGAACAATTTTATGATGTGCTGATATAACTTTAGACCATTGTGGTTTGAAACGAAGGTGTCAACTACAAAAGGTCTTGCGGTGTTATCTCCCTATCGTTCTCTGACAGACCACTAAACCCGTTGGCTTGTTTACATTTGGCATTTGCAGGGTTAGTTAAGTGCGTTGTTTATTTGCCAGGACCGCGACTTAAAGACGCATCAATCAAGGGAGGCTATAAGACAAGGGCGATTTGGAAGCCAGTGTTACTTTTATTTTTCTTGACACTCTTCGAAAGTTGCTTTTATACCTCTTATGTCAGACATAAAAATGTTTTGGCACACGAGGCACTCGAATGTATTAATACTGAGTATATATATATATATATATATATATATATATATATATATATATATTCGTCTTTTTAAACTACTGAGTGAATACATTGATAGGTGGATTTAACAGTTTAACTTTAGGAAAGTAACAAGCCAAGCAGAGTTTCTTTCAGGCATTTTTTTCTTTGGGTTGGGGAGGGGGGCAGACTAAATTTTCAGGTAGGGGGAGTAAATATTTTCAATTAAAAAAATATATTTCATTCTGGGGGGGGGGGGGGGGGAGCAGTGCCTGAAAGAAACACTGAAGCCATGTGATGTTTCTGTTCAAGGGTTAACCGTACTTTTTGACCCCACTTATTTTGGTCACGCAATGATGTATTTTGCACATAAACAATATATTTTTATTTATTGAGCCCAACCACAAGTAGTTTTACAAGCCCATCTAGATCTATGTAACATGTCTTGTTTACTTTTTTTTTCTACAATGTCCTTTGTTGTATATGTATGGATGCATTCGTATTTCTTCATGTTATCTCTATATAAGGTAAACATAACAGCCAGCAGACGCCATTGGATAAGATATTGACTCTAAAACAACAATAAAAAAAACAACAACACAATATGGTCCACGTTTAATGGAAGTAACCGCTTGTGTTCGTATATCTAAACGCCTTTTACCACAATAAAACAACAACTCGTTAGGGAGCTGATGGTTCATTTACAACTGATTGTTTATGATTTTCAAGACAATTTATGAAGGTGTTTAGTCTCCATGATGCTACTACTCTTTAATAGCCAATAGTCTTACTATGTAACAATAGCAGATGTTTAGGGTTGTGGGGAAAAAAAATCTTATTAGAAATAATTCAGGAAACAATTTACGTAGTTTATAAGTTAGCGAAAAATTTTAATCGGCTGTACTTGCTTTGTAAAAAAATATTTAAAGAAAATCCTACGTTATGTTTTACTAGCTTTTGTTTGAAAGCATTTTATTTCATTGTTTTGGCTGCGGACAGCATTGTTGCACAACTCTTCTGCAATCTACAGGTATTTCGAATAAGAAATTGCCTTTTGATTGACAACAAAGCTACGATAAAGGACAACTTTGACCTACTTGGCGCCTTGAACAAGCGTTTTTGCCTCTGCCTCTTTTTAGTTTGGAAAATAAAAACAAGTGGGACGAAGTGGTCGAATGGTAGAGCGTTTTGTCTCGAGTTCGGATCTCGGTTCGGACTTGTGACTGTAGGACGTCCCTGAGTCCACCAAGCTCCGATTGGTACATGACTTTAGTTGGGGAAGGTAAAGGCGGCTGGGCAAAGTGCTGACCATACCATCCCTTCAAGTAACACATGAACTCTACTTCATCTGCCCAATAGATCGCTAGGTCAAAAGAAGAATCTTTTTTTTTACATCAATGTTACTTTTTAAAAAAATATCTTTTCAAAATTCTATGTTCATCAAACTATTTAGGTAAAAAAAAAAACAGATTTTAAAAATATTTTCTCTTAAATTGAGTAACGTCACATTTAAATGAATAGGCTCTGTCTTTCTCTTGCTGTGAAGAGGAAATATATAGTAACCAGTATAGGAAAAGTAAATTATTATACAAAGAAAAACACACAAAAAATAAATTTAAAAATAACAATTTAACTTTACCCACCTCTCATGACTGGTGTCAGGCAGACCTCAATCTAGCCCAGTTTGTTATATGCCTGTATTTTTTTTTTTACTGCGAGTAGATTAAAAATACTTCTTGAGAAATGTTTCAGTACATTTCTTACATAGGCCCTACACAGCAGTTCAATTAGGCCAACTTTTATAAGTCATAAAAAATGAGTTAAGTTGTTATTTATCATTTTATTTCTTTATTGGTGGTCATATATGAATAACTTCATTGGTGGGAGGGGAGATAGGGCTGCCATGACAGTCTGTGAAGAAGGGGGAGTAAGGAAACGTGACGTCAAACTTTAGCATTTAAAAACATAATTTTAACTACACTAAAAACTTCGCGATGTTTTGCCAAAATCAACCAAGTTAGCACACTGACATTGGATATATTTTTTCAATTTACGGGTTATATCCCTTTAGTATAGTTGAAGAAAATTGTTTTTGTTGAAAGAAATTGAAACTTTTTTTTTTTTAAAAAAAGGCAATAATATAAAGACAATAAGGGCTGTATGGATGTCATTTTAGGGATGGGGTGGGGAATGACGTTGCGTGACGAGCTGATAAAAGTTGGTCTAAAATCTGAAGTTATTTATGGACGCCCGCTAGAACTAATGTTCGATTTATTATCGTACCATAGACCTTGTCTAAACCAGACATTAAAATAGGCCTACGCATGTTACTTCAAGTTTAGTCAAGCAGATAATTTTTACAACTTCACTGAATCTCCAACAAGAAAAAAAAAAGATATCTTGCAACATTTTAATCACAAAGTATAACAACATCCGCAGCTCGATCGAGAGAAGGGGGGGGGGGGCGCTCGAGGGGTTCTAGTTAAAAGGATATTATTTTATAAAACGACATAGAAAGAAGCACAAAGCAAGTTGTTTTCGGGGTGAACAATATTTTGTCACGTTAGCGGTGTGTATGTCACGTGACTAATCTATTTTTAAAACTGACAATATTACATGACTAATAAGGATAATAATTTATATATATAGACTTAATTGTTTTTTTTTAATGTTATGAATCTATGTATAACTATTCAAAGTAAGCTTTATTTAATAATAAGCATGACACCGAATAATAAGTAGCAGTGTTGTGTGACTATGCGTGTCCTTGTAGTATGTGCTATTTATTTGTATAAGAAGCAGAGGCGTCGCGAGGCGGGGGCTGGGAGTGCGGGCCGCACCGGGTGACACCATTTAGGAGGGGGGGGGGGGGTGACACCAAGGCGAAAAATTGCAAAATATATTGAAGAAAAATGCTTTTTGCCTGTTCAGATATTGAATAATTAGTTTAAAAGTCGTATAAGTACACATTGACCATCTCGACAATGCATAAACACACACATAATCACTCTCACACACATACCTACCCCCAACCCCCTATATATATATATATATATATATATATATATATATATATATATATATATATATATATATATATATATATATATATATACTTTTCTTCCATTGGTGTGTGTAGGAAGGGGGGGGGGTTGACACCGGGTGACACTCGACCTAGAGACGCCACTGATAAGAAGTGTTAATTCCACCATCAAACCACCATGTAATAGCTCCTCTGGTTCTCGGCTTGCTAAAGCACGGAACAACATGGATACTTGTGCCAAATCATTGAACGACCGTTAGCTATATGAAACCCATCAAAAGCAAAAGACCGATTACTGTACGTTGTTACAAAAACTACAAGTGAACCAGGTCAGTATCCTGCTAGGTGATCTTCTTACACGGTGTTTTCCCCCACCATTTTTTGTCTAGGGAGAAGGGTGGGGCAGAGTTTCTTCCAGGCATTTATTCGGGGGGGGGGGGGGGGGCGGGGGGCGTTGCTCCCTCGAAGAAAGTCTACCGCCCCCCCCCCCCCAAACGAAATGTAATTTATATAGAAAATATATACTTTAACCAGTGTCGCGCCCCCCCTCCCGGAAAATTTAATCCTTCCCCCTACCAGAAAATATCAAGTGCCCCACGGAGAAAAAGTCTGAAAGAAACACTGAGTGGGGAGGGGGGAGGGCAATTGAAGCTTTCATAGGGGAGGGCGGACAGTGATTAGAGCACTGGGTTGGGGCGGTGGACGCACAGTCACTATACCCCCCCCCCCCCCCACTCCCCAAACCCCCACGAAGAGATGCCAGAGAGAAACTGTTTTTCCTTGATGCTGAATTAAAGGGAAAGTACCCACCATCTCCTATCGATGTGTGTGTGTGTGGGAGGGGGGGGGGGCTGATATTAAACAAAGAATAAGATAGATCTAGTCATCTTTCTTTTGCGTGTATTGAACCACTTAATCTGAACCGAATGCAATAAAGATGCAATAAATAATAGTATAAACTGGGAATACAAATTTGCGATGGATTATTGCTTAGAACAGTCTTTCTGAGCCACAGGCATGGCAATGGTCTTTGGAAGTTTGTCCATGGCGCTTTTAAGGTTGTCCCTCTGAAGATGGAACGAAGTCGAAGAGTGGATATAAAAAGACATCTGCAAGTTTACAAATGTATAGAAACTACACGCTTGTGAGAAATATCCACATTCTCTGCCAACAACAAAATTCATGACTTCGTTTGTTGTATTAAGAATTTTTCTTGAACAGCAGTGTATAACATATAAGCTCCTTTTAAAATCGATTTGAAATCCAGTGTTTTTCTGAGTATTTTTGGACAACCCATCATAGTTCTTAGTTGCAGTCTTGCTTGATACAGCTGGTCTGGAATAGGACCAACAACTTGCTACAAAGTAATGCGTACCCGTTTTATTTTAATTTTCTGATGGACGGTAGCGCTCTTTCATTGCAGTGTTAAATTATAACAGACAATTTAAATAACTTAATCTATTATATAAGTATAAGCACGTGGATTTACTATTGGAATACTCATTTTAGGCATTTTGTGTATGAAAAAAATGAAGATACAGTTTAAAAATTCAAATTTAATTTTTAAAAATTATAACCAATACAGTTAATGAATTAAAATAGTTCCTGTAAAAAAAAGTATTCGTTGTTTTTCTTGATACATTCCCTTGTTTTGTAAACAATGAAGTGCTTCAGCACTGACGTCATACAAAACTCCACAGAGTTCTATTTTAAAACTGTGGTTTACCCCATCCTTAATTGTTGGTTTGTCGGATTAGTATTTTATGATAAAATCAGACTAATTTTACTCATATGGTTATATTTATGAGTGTAGATAAGATGTGTAATTAGTAATTATAATTTATATAATTTATATTAGGTTTTGATGTAGATTAATTTTAGAGAACTAGTTACATTAATAAGCAATTGGCGAATATTCTTATGAAAATCTGGCAGACTGCTTGCACATTCCCATTTCCGCTTTCTTAATATCTGTATTAATTTTAAAGGATAGAATGGCTAGACGCCGAAAAATACTTAAATTCTCTGGATAATGTGATATTTTGGAGTATTGTGTTTCTTGTTTACAAACTAAGGCTTCGGAAAACCATCTTAAATGTACATGATGGGGAATTCTGACAGCCGCAACCTCGACCATGGACACAATCGTTATGATAGTCGGGGAACTGGGCTGGAATTGCAAAGGAAACCATCGGTTCCTGTACCAAGACTACCAATGCCAGACGGTCAGGAATTGGAAAGGAGATTTACCAAAGTGCTTGTATGTAAAATTTATATAGATCTATGTTTAAATTAAAAACATTTGTCCTGTATGTCGTCTTAAAATCTGACACTTCAGAACTAGACATATCCAGAGTGATGCCTAGAAAAAAGCAGAGAAGAGAACTTCTTGAACTAGAGTTAGAGATCTAGATCTAGGCCTTCAGTTAAAAAAAAATTATAGGCCTAGGGCCTAGATTTATATCAAGTTTAAGTTTAGTTTAGAAGGCCCTATATAGCCCCTATGCCTTTAAAAAATATTTTTGTTCGTTAGTGGTAAAACAGCTCCTAACTAGATCCTAGTTCCTAGATTAGAATCTTGAATCTACCATTGTTTTAGTTACCGTTTTGTCTAAAGAAGTTTTTTTTAATTTATGCTACTACTAGATCTATAACTAGATCTACTAGCCCTACACTACTCAACTGTGGGTCATATAAAATAATACTATCTATAGTGACTACTAGTATAGTGAATAGAGGCCCGATAGTATACTGTTCAGTTAGTTTAGTACAGTGTGTTTAGCCTACTGAATCAGATGCGTGACTCATTTTTTTGGTTGGTTTAAAACCAAATTTTGATTCTATCTAGACCTATACCCCACCCTTGGTCTTGTCTGTTAATTTACTGCTAATATTGAATAGACAGAGTGATACTGAAATTATTTCTGACACTGACTGAAATCCTGTAACTCTAACAATAGGCCTACTTCTTGCTAAATTAGTTTATCTGCTACTGTAAGTCAAGTAAGTGCTATATTTTTTAAAGTCTAGCTACAAGATCACCAAGACTATTTCATGGGAAACACATTTTAACTATTATTATTTCATTATGCTAACTAGATCCTAGTTCCAAGATTAGAATCTACCATTATATAGTTAGCTCCCAACTAGATCTAACTATAGTAAAAAAAGTTACCTTTTTGTCTAAAGAAGTTTTTTTTATTTATGCTACTACTAGATCTATAACTAGATCTACTAGCCCTACACTACTCAACTGTGGGTCATATAAAATAATACTATCTATAGTGACTACTAGTATAGTTTTGTCTTACTATAGTTAGATCTAACTATTGATAACAACTGCCTATACTATTACTGGCCAATTATGGTAAATAGTAAGCCTATAAGAAAAAAATTAGCTGTGATGGTTTGCTATTTTATAAGATTTTGCATTTACTTAGTTTTTACATTTTTACCTTTTTATGTTTTAACAAATAGTCAGCTATAATAGCATGCAGTGATAATTTGCTTTAGGCAAATTCACTTAAACACAATATTAACATTGACTATAGAATTAGATTGCCATGTTAGATGGTGATGTATATTCTAAAAGTATGTTTATAGTCAAATATTGTATAATTTTGGGATGAATAGCCTATAAGTAATGGAAAATAGTACATTTTTTTGCTGGGGTCAGATTATTCATTTGAAGAAAGAGTAAAGATCATCAGATTTTGTGGCATAGTTGCTGTTGTCAAATCCTTTGATCGGCTTTCAATTTCATTATTCTTACACTTCTGTATGCTTTGGTGCAACCACATCAAGCCAGAGATTTAAAGAATTGGTTTTCAATTTAATAGAATTTTCTACACCAAAGCAACATTTTTTTTTAAATTTTGAAAACTGATTTAGTTTTATGTAAAGAAAGCACTTCTTATTTATATGCTGATAAATGTCAGTGTCTCATTAGTTTGTTATAAACTTTAAACACATAAAAATTGCATATAGAGAAATATCTATTATGTAGAGAAAAAAAATTATTTAAATTAGTTTGTGAGGAAAGTTAATAAGTTTCATTTGCAAAATGAAATAAATTACACAGCTAAATCAAATGTGATCTTGGTGGTGGCTGTGTGAGTGTTGAGTATGGTGGGGGAGGGTGGTGAGGTGCATCAGACAGTTTTTCCTTGTTGAATTTCACTTAAGACTTTGTATCAAATGGAAAGTTTGATATTGATTATTAATATTTCAAACTATAAATGTGTTTAAAATATAGTAGTGACTGTATAGAAGTGGACTAGAGCTTAAGTTTGAGAAGAGTGTGTTTAGGAGGGGGCAATAGTAGGTATGTGAGAGGAGTGTTGGTGGTGGAGGGATTTAGGGTGATGTACGTGTAGTGCATTAGGCAATTTTGAGTTTTTTAATACATATTATGTGGGGAAAAAAATAAATCAAATTTTTTTAAAATGTGAAATTAATTTAACTACTGAAATTGCAACAAATTCATACAGTTAGTATTTTAATACCTTTGATTACTTGTTTTATATCGGTGTCATTGAACCCAAATTACTGCTTTTTGCTTAAGTTTTTAGTAAGTTTAAATACCCTAATTTTTTACTCAGATTAAATGTAGATTTTCATACCTCGAAATGAAATGTGTAAATCCTTATTTTAATCTATAAAGTGAGACATTTTAGTAAGCATTTGAATCTATTAACAGTATTATTTTTCTTACTATTGTGATGAATATAGTATAGTAGGAAACTGTTTAATAAAACAAATCCTTAGATATATATATGTGATTTTAGTTTAAGCAATAGCTATTGATTACATGTTTTGAACTTCTCTAGATACCTCTGTAGTTTTAAAATGGATTTTGGTAATAGTAGAGATTTTTTAAACATGATTGAATTAAAAAAAATAAAAAGATAATGTAACTAATTTGCTAATTAAATGTTTTAACAGCTTGTGGATAAATCAATATTTAAAGCACTTCATTATGTCATTGATTGCAGCACGCACTGGTTGATTGTTTCACTCTAAAGAAATGCTTGTTACATATTATTAATTCCTTGTTGTTTTTTTGTAGATAAAACAATTCATTCTCTTGAACTTTTTTATCAGATTTTATTTTTTGATAGCATTATTTAAACTTGTTGAAGATGAATAGACAAACTGCCATTTTTTTTCCGGTGTGGTTTTAGCTGTGTTTTTCCCATACATATATAAGAATTTAAAAATAATAAAAAATTATAATTACTCTCTAGACATCCATGGATTTGCCTCCAGATAAGGCAAAAGTACTTAAAGGTTATGATGATGAGAGAAAGTGGGACTTAATATGTGATCAGGTGAGCAGTTTTCAGAGTTATGGTTCATTGGTTTAACAATTTTTGAGGCATTAAACTAGTATTACAATCTAGCAATCTTTTTTTATCAATTACAAATGCACATTAGTAAATTTGGTCAAAAGCCTTTTTTTTTTTTGTGATTCATAAGTCAATCTACTAGTTTTAATGATCAAATTGTTAACAACACTCCTCATTCATTGAGTTTGAGGAATAGTACACTTATCTATTAGTATTAATTTTTAAATAGTTTATTTCTTTTTAAAATCTTACGCCATCTTTATGTAGGAACGTGTCCATGCTAAAGATCCTCCTCATGCCTACCTGGAAAAGCTTAAGGCATATTTAGATCCTAAGGCAACTAGAAGCTCTAGGGTGAGTTGAATAGTATTGCTTATTGTTTTGGATGATTGTCCAGGTAGTGTTTGCATTAAGAGATTCTGTTTTGTTACATTTTATTTTGTCTCAGTCTGTGGTATACAATAAAATTCATAGTTTTGCATCATTGTTTTATTTTGTTTGAGTCCATTTTCAAGCCAGAAACAACTTAAAAAGCATGTTCAAATTGTATTAGTTGTTTGCCAGGAAAACATGAGTGTAACCTAGCCTCTAACATCTCTTCACCAGTGGTGCTATCCACATTAAAATGACATTAAACTGTGCTGAGTCATTCAAATTTATAGAATTCTCAACTTGGCTGACATGTTCAGTTTCTACTTGATAATTTTTCATCCACCACCCCTTCACCTCCCACTTACACACCTCCCCCACCCCCTCCCTGCTCTTGCTTCAGAGATACAGTTCATTTCCTGTTTTCATTGTCAGTTAGCTACAATACACTGAGTAGGCCTGTCTTAACCAATGTCACATTTTTAAACAAAACTTGTACACACATGATGGCCAGCTTCACACTACAAGGGTGTCAGCTGTAATTTACTTTGCCCCCTGTCATTGTCTGAACTCTCTGCTGTGGTAGTTTTTTTTTTTTATCTAGCCAGGGAATACATACATATACTTCTGAGTGCACAGCAGTGTACATGTAATGAGTTTATTTTAGATACACTAGAATCAAGTTATCAAAAAAAAAAGTTACAAATTATTTTTATATTTTACTATCTAAAATATGCTTAAACAATGTTTTGTTTCATTTAATGGATAGAAGTTGTGTAAAATATTTATTTATCACACACTGCTGACACCATGATAATGATTAACAAGTGTCATGTCCTTGCTTTATGGTAGTGTGTTATGGATAAGGCTCAAAATTGGGAAAACACAAAATTATGGATAAACTTAATTTATTTAGTATCAAATTAAAAAAAATAAAATGAATGGTAATGATAATAATAAGTGTAAATATATGTAAAGTAATTGCTTTTTAAAAAAGGACCTAGGTTTGTTAAGTATTAGTTTAAAAGACAACACAAAATAGGAAAGAATATAAAACCATATGAAAAAAAACATATCTTTCCTTTCTAAAACAAAACCCACACAAACTGATTTAAAGTTTTCCAGCACAGATTATGTCAATCAGTAGATTAAACCATACAGATATACACATGCAAAAAATTATGTGTTCTCAGTTTTTTTTTGTTTTTTTTTTAATAATTCGTTTAAGATCCTAGAGTGTGTTCTTAAAAATCTTCTAATTCCCTGTGGTAATAATGTTATCTTGCTCTTAAAAATTCGTTGAGGTCACTAAGAAAATTAATCTTTCTATCTCCATTTCTGTTTCAGCAAGCTATGTGTATAGCAATTCATACAATGGTGTGTAAATTTATCTTTCTCCGCATGGCTCTTGATGTCGGGAGCTTACTTTAAGCATATTTTTTAAGTGCTGGCCGTACAATTTTTGTTTGTTTTTGTATATCACATTATCTGAGGAATTAACCTTTCTCACATTTGAGTTTACATTATAATCGTTGATAGTTCTGCAGCTACATAAAGGAGGAGTTTAAAGAGTCGCTGGTCTTTGTGTGCTTTGTTATTTTTTGGTGTTGTAGATGTTTTTTGTTACACATTTTTAATATAAACACCGCAAATTTCAATGTTGTTTTGTTTGCTTGCCGCTCTGACGTCTTTATTTTCATATATATCTATATTATATATGATGGCTACATTGATATTTGTTATATACGATTTGTGTGTGTATACGTGGGAAAGCGATATCATATTTTTTTCTCCCCTCCCCCCTTTTTTTGATAGTACCTAACTCTTACAATCCAGGTCCACTTAATCTTAAGTTGGAATATCCTGTTTGCTCTACTTGTTGCTCAACACGTATGTAACCTACTGTTGCTTGGACTCGTGTCAGTTTTCTTGTAGAACGAATGGACGGTGGGTGAGAGAAACGCCGTGGTATAGTGTCGTACTGATTGAAAAAAAATTCTGTGAATGAGTTTATTCACATGTCCGCATTAACCCGCTTCAGCTAGTGTTAAAGCAATTTTCTAAGTGGTTGAGCTGCTTGTATAGAAGATGATTCACGACGCGTTGAATCGCAGTGCAGTACCGCCATACCAGGAGTGGCTACCATTGCAGCGACAGATTTCACGAGGATGGGTCGCTAGAGATCCCCCGCTTTTTAATCACACGGAGTATGGCTTGGCCTCGTTTGACACCGTTTGACCTTTGATCTTTTTCCCTTCCTTGTCTCCCTTCCCTTTAATTTACTTCTCTCTTCAAGATAGCAGATGTTAAAAAAAAAATACAGCACAACTGTCTGCTAACATTAGGCTTAAAAATGAGTGTTAAACAATACGAAATTAATGTAAATGATTTAAGAAAGACGATTACCAAATACCATACCTTGGTGGCTTATTGCATGTTCATTGTAGACCTGTTTTTTTTTACTTTGGTTTTATGTCCACTCATTCTTCTATCAGATGGAGTGTTTTTCTTAGCCTTTATCTCTAACTACTTTGAATTAAACTGTTATTTTCTCGGTTGTTTCTAGATTCCAGTTCCATTCATTGTAAGTATTCCTGTCCTTCTGGGCATGCAGCCTTTCCATGCTGCTCCGTGATTTGTTGTCTGTAATCGATTCTTCACTCATCGTCTCTGCACGCGTAATGTGTTTCCTGTCAGTCCGCGTGTGTACTGATAGAAAAGTAACCGCATGTTGTTCATGTATTGTATCCTATGTCCACCTACGCCCAGTTACAGTATAGTGCACGATTTCCTAGACTGAATGTCGTGATTCAGAGGTTGTAGATGTACTCTTAATATCAATCATTTGTTTAACTTTTTTTGACTAACTAAACTTTATAAACATTACTTTTATTCATGCGGTGATTAATGAACAATAACATGTAATGTTTCAATGTATTTTAAAATCCGGTATGATGAATGGTGCATGCCAGTTTTTGCTTGTACTAAATGGAATGTATCGTGTGTCGTGAATAACTCGGCCGTCTCGCCTAGTGACTGGTTGGAGATGGTCGGGTATAGAAGAAACACTTGATTGGTTTGAGCGTGTTTGTGTACACCCACCCTACCGCTCTTACTTTCCCTGTGTGTATGCCCGGTTGTTCTAATGGGGTTGGCTAGCGAGCAAACCTACGCTCATCGTGTCTAGTGCTTGTAACCTTCACCTTCTAAACGAGGTCAAAACTTTTTTTTTCTACTTGTTATTTATTCGTTTTCTGAGTTCAAGTTTCATCATTTGGTTTAACTATGTGAGGCCCACGAGTACTCGTGTATTTGATATTATCACAAGTGGAGACATAAAAACATTAGATTTTTAGCAGAATTATCTGTTGTTAATTTATATATTTGATTTACCTAATTCAATTAGCTTCTGTTCAAAGGACTCGTTAATTTTTCTCCTTTGTCAACTTTTCCCCCACAACACAGCCGTCTGTTCTAAACATTGATATAACAGACACACTCAAAACCAATTACAAGCCTTCGGGTCCAAAGTAAATTCACAAGCCCGTATTTTAATGTGGTCTGCTGTAAGGGGAAGGGAGGTAGTTTTTTTAAAGTGCATTTTGTGGATCTTTATTGTATGTTGGAAGGTGTGGTATCGGCAAATAGGCGTAAATTGTACACGGCAGAGGCGTTAATTATATTCTTCAGACCACGTCTTTTGGGGAAAAAGGCGCAGTTGCCTAAAATGATTTGCGATTTTTCATAGCATGGGAAGTTAAACATTCCATTATACGGTGTCGGTTTATTTTAGTTTATTAAGCTGTCCGTTGGATGGGAGACATTTTTCGATGACAAAAATGTATGAATTAACGCCAGCATTACAAAAGCTGTACTAGATGCTTCACACATTCTTTACAGTTTTAATGAATTCTCAGTATAAACTTTGTTTAAATTTTCTAGTTCAAATCTGTATCCAAATGCTGAGATGTTTTGCCCTTATTTTTAAATCAATTTCAATTTGATGAACAGTTTTGAAATAAAGTTTCACAATGAGAAGTTGTACATTTTGTTATCCGTCCCTGCCGACACATCAACAGACGGCATCTCGATTGTTTAGGCCTACACAATCGGCCACGCTTCATGCACAGGGATAGTTTTACACGAGAGAAATGCTCGTCCGTGCCACCAACTACACCAGGCTAAGACTTACTCAGGCTATTATATAGATCAAGATCTAATTTTACATGGCGGCGTACGGAAAATTGTGGACAGTGGCTGCTACACGATACATTTGTATATTGGCACACCTCTCTACCTGACTCTGTTTTGGGCAGCTCTCTTTATTTGAGAACACGTAAGCCCATCAGCCATTGCTTCTCCTTTCACTGTTCTTCACGGCATTGCTTTGGGCCTACTTTACTTTCCCCCCGGGGGTTCCATTCTAAAGCTAGCGTCGCGATTATGTAATCTTTTCTCAGGGCGTGCCGATCCACCCCCATTTGCAGGCTTCACTATCCCTGTTAATTGGCTTTTATTTACAGTTGTGATTAAAGAGTTATTCCTTTTTTAAATAGTTAAGTTGCATATTTTACTTTCGTTTGCACTTACACTGAAGTCAATTAATATCAAGTTGCAACATAATAACCTGCACTGTCCAAGTATTGATTACTAGAATCTAGAACAGTACTGTAAAATTATTAAAGGAATATCACTTGAAATCTAGAAACGAAATATGGAAAAATTGAAAGGGCGTGCGTGCCAAACCTCGCCACCATTCGGTACATTATTTTGACAAGTATCCCGCACGTTTTCTGACGTTGTTGTGACGTCACATACATTTCTTAAACAATATAACTGAAAGTTTTATCAAGGACAGTGAATGATAGCGCTTATTTGCTATATGTTTGTTCGGTATAATTTGAATTCTTAAATCAATGTAGGCGTTTGAATAGCTAGTAAGTTAGGCCTTTATTAGTCTTCAATATTGTATTATTTTTTGTAATATCGTGGTTATCATTTTCCCATAGTTTTAGTTAAGTTTTAAAAATCACAGTTATAGGCCCGATTTTGTGGCGAAGGGTTATGACATGCACATCTTTACACACACACAAAAATGGCTCCTCGCCTAAATAAGACCTCAATATTCCACAACCACATAATAATTATAAATATATTTTTTTTAAAAACCAATGCTTTAGTTAATTCTGAGAAACACAAAAGATGATTTGTGTAACATTCATGAAGGCCCTCTCCTCCACCATGCCTTCCCCCACCCTCTGAGGTGACGTCATTTCTGGACCACCCATAGGCTTTAACTTTCAGTACAACCAGCAACAAGATTCTAACATGAAGGACGCTTCTCTCAACTTCAAGCAACTGGGGGGGGGGGGGGGGGGTTGGGGGTTGGTGAGAGGTCTTTATTCACTGGGACTTCCTTTAATTGCTGTAAAACAATTTACAAAAACATTTCTTAAGTGTTTAGTAATTTGTGACTCAATTTTTAAGTGCTGTGCCTAGAAATTATTTTGTAGTAATGTTCCTTGCATTGTTTATATTTAATGTAGATCAACCCCATCAGTATGTCAATATTACATGTGATGTAATAGTATACTTGTAATTATATGTACTATTGTCCAATATTGTGCATGATTAAATTGAATTAACATCTAAAAAAGTGTTAATATTCTTAAACTTAGACTTGTATTTTTATGTTTTCTTTTTTACTGGCTCTGAAAATGTCACCAGAACTAAATGGACTACCACTTGAATGAAAGTTTTATTAGCATTGATAACAAAGTCATTAATTAGCAAGCATATGCTCGTTTCACTTTCTGGTTTTGATAATATTTGTTTTGTAAACAAGTAAACATTTTAAATTGTAATGTTTTTTTTGATACACATCAACTGTTTTCTACAGAAGAGGAAAATGTTAGGGGATTCAACATCAACCCAAGTCCTTAGAGATCTGGAAATTTCACTTCGGACCAATCATATAGAGTATATTAATTTTTGCATACATTAACTTTTTACCTAACTCATAAAGCAGATTATCACGTGGGTTATTCAACATTATAGAATCAATACATTTCACCTTGATTCCTGCTCATTGTCTTATTGAAAAAAAATATTGCAATCATTAGTTAAAGTTAGTTAAAATAAAACAGAATATTTTTTTTACTTCTGTTATCCATTTTGCTTTATGAAAAGTATAAAAATAATTTTTAAAATGTTCATCTATGATTCAACCCTGTAATATTTTATTTTTAATAGTTAACATGTAGATACAACTTTTAAAAATTCCTCTAGCATGATTTAAACTATTTTCCAGGTGGGTTAGAGAATTCTTGAATGAACACAACAAAGGTCTTGATGTCCTGGTAGATTACTTATCCTTTTCGCAAGTTGTTATGAGGTATATAAAAAAGCAAATCAGAACTTTGCTTTACATGTGGTTATACCACCTCTTCTATTTATATATTTTTATTGCATATTTATTATCAAATTATCAAGTCTCTTTAAGACATATCAATATGAAGGTCAGATCAGGAGCAGAGATCCCCAACCCTTGTAGACTACTAGAGTCATCAGTTTTCATTATATACATTAGGGAGATTAGTTTTAATTGACTTGCATTCTCTCTAAAATACATTTAAGTTTCAATCTGTTATATTAAAAAATAAAATTGCTAAACAGTTATTTGAAAACCAACTAATCACTTATGTATTTGACTAAAATGTATTTATCTTATTATTTTACTATTTTTCAAATCTGAAAAAGCCTAGCCAAAAACACTTGCACATAAAACAACTTTCTATTCTGATATATGCTTGTAACAGCTGCACTTGAATGTATAATTATATTACAGGATTGATACATTTAAAAAAATACATTTTCAGTGTCCCACATATAAATCAACAAAATATTTAAATTATAATGAGGTTTAATTGTAGTGTGATATGAAGTATGAAATTACGTTATTAAAAATATTATTTCAGACGAGAGCAGCTGTTAAATAATGAAAAAACCTCGAGTTTGGATTCCGGATTAAGCAGAAGTCCTAAACGATATCTTAAAAGATCTAATACAATTGGTTCTCCGCGCAGCTCAAAATATATTAACAAGTTAAATATGGGTGAAGCTCGAGACGATGTACATGTGTGCATAATGTGCTTACGAGCAATTATGAATCACCAGGTAATTGTTACTAATTAACTTCTATAAATTTCTATACTTGTGAAGTGTGCTAATAAAAAAATACTGCTTGAATTTTATTCTATTTAATGAAATTATTTCTTAATATTTCAGTATGGTTTTAATTTAGTGATAGCCCACACAGATGCAATCAACTGTATTGCGCTCAGTTTGAATCATAGAAGCCTAAGGTATTTCTTGATTTGGCAATACATCCTATTCATATTTTTAATGTGCTATATTTAGTGTAGAAAGGGTATTAATATTAATACTTGTAATTGAAAAGGTCATGTATTTCAGATATTAAAACTTTGTTGTTTGATCAAAGTCAAAGGAAAATATTAACTTAAAGACATTTTTAGACCACTTTTAATGAATGCTATACTGATTGTGCACAGCTTTAATAAAAAAAAAGTAATGTGTACTGTGCAATATTTCAGGACGAAGGCTCTTGTATTGGAACTTTTGGCAGCTGTTTGTTTAGTCAGTGGTGGGCATGATATTATTCTTTCAGCGTTTGATAATTTTAAAGATGTAAGTATACACAGATGCTTAAATAGAATAAAGAAATATGTACTATTTTAATAGATCGTCCAAGCTGAAATTAACTATCTATACCAGACATTGTTGTGAGCTATCCTAATAGAAATTTTATTCTAAGAACTATTTGATAAAAACATAAAAATCTTCAAAGCCATTTAAAAAAAAAAAAAAACCAACATTGCAGTCTAGCTATTATTATATTCAAAATATGTAAGCCTGATTTTATTCAAGCATTTAAAACAATGCAGCCAATATAAATAAATTAAAAAAAAAACAACAACCTTAAAATACATTTTTATAATTTTAATTTTCTAACTTAAAAATTATGATGTTACACATTTTGTCATTAAAATAAGTGAACTTGAAATACATAGATAAAAATTACTTTAAACTACTAGCATGCACATTGACTTCCTGGCCTAAAAACATTTATAGATACCTGTAATATAAATATGAATTATAATGGCATAGTTTACTGCAGATACTGCACTTTCAAACAATTGTTAAGGAGACAAAAAAGATTTCATCTTCATTTACAAGTTAGAAATTTCTCAATTTACCTGGTTAAGTTATGAATTTCTCCTTTTAGGTGTGTGGAGAGCAGCACAGATTTGAAACTCTTATGGATTATTTTAAAAATTATGATGAATTCCACATAGATTTTATGGTAAAGTATTCAAAATAATTTTGTACTTTTTTTGTTAATTATAGCCTGTTTAAAAACCTGTAATATGCTAGAAAATTATGTTGTTGATGGTGGAAGGATTAGACAAATCTAAGAACATGTGTACCATATCGAAGACACAAAGCCTTAAAACTCTGAGCACTGTATTATAATATTTATATAATTAACCTTATTAAATTATTTATTTCTTTTACCGGTGGACATTTTAAACATTATTTTAAAAGATTGTATAAGAAGTTCTCAATATTTATACATTTTAAAAACATTGTACCTTTTTTTTCAGGTTGCTTGTATGCAGTTCATCAATATTGTAGTCCACTCCGTGGAAAACATGAATTTTCGAGTTCATTTACAGTATGAATGTACTAATATTGGTCTTGATGACTATCTATCAGTGAGTTTAAATAGAATGTAGCATTTTTCTTGATGTTTTGTTTAATGATTTTAAGAAGGAAACACTATTTTTTGCTTAATTTAATGACTGTATGTAAATGTATCTTTAGAAATTACGCAACACAGAGAGTGATCGACTTGCAGTGCAAGTCCATGCTTATCTAGATAACATGATTGATGTGGCCCAATTGCTGGAAGATTCAGAAACAAAGACAGATGCTCTAGAAAAAGTGGCAGAACTAGAGGATGATTTATCTCATATTACAGAAAGATTAGCAGAGGTTGAGGAAGAAGCAATGACCAAAACAGGTAAATTGTACAGATTATTTTGTTTGGATGCTTTTTTATAATAGATTTTTTATTGCAAGTTACAATTACTTTAACATAATTTATTTATATTTTTTAGTGGAGTTAGAAAAACAATTATCAGAAGCTAATGCAGAATTGGAGGACCTTAGGGTGAGTTCTGCTTTTCTGTCTTTTTATATTTTAGGTGTCATATGTTTTACTTTTAGAATCTTCAAGATTTTTTTTTATTGTTAGGGAAAAGACTTTATCATAACCTCTGTTTATTGCATGAAAGCTGTTAAAATAGAGTGAAGTTACGCCCAACAGTACATAGGTTTATCATTTAAAGGGTATAAGACATAAAAAGTTATTTAATGCTTTTTTTTATTATAGGAGTTAACATCTAAGCAAGAGTTAGAGATGAATATGCTTCGTCAGACTATGATGGAGAAAGATGAAGAATCTAGGCAACGGCTTAGTATGCTTGATGCTAAGCTTTTAGAATTGGAAACATTGAAATCTTTACCAGGTAAATGTTTTACATTTATTTTAAACAGTATAAAATTTTCTCTTATACTTCGATAAATTATCCTGATTATACGCTGTTTTTATCTCCATTTTAGTTCAATTTTTTTAATATCCTTTCATTATAAAACTTTTTTATAAAAGGGAATTTTATCTGTTTACAGATATTTCAGCTTATATTTCAGTGCTCATAATTGTGATAGTTTCTAATTTACTTGCAGGTGGCAGCTCTTCAGAAGGATCTCCAATAAGAACTCCTGCATTGTCCCCTGTTTCTGCACCACCACCTCCACCGCCTCCCCCACCTCCTCCACTTCCTAATGCTCCAGGAGCTCCACCACCACCTCCTCCCCCAGGCATAGGCATTCCTCCCATAGATGGTTAGTATTCTATGATTATCATTTTAAAAATATTTAATATTTGAATTTAATTGAGCGTGCAAAATTTTGACATAATTGCTAAACTAATCTGTTAATTTATGTTGAGGCTTAAATTTGTGTTGTTTAAAATAAAAACTATGTTCTCATTAAATAGCAATGACCATAAAAAAGAAAATTCAAACCAAGTATCGGTTGCCAATTCTCAATTGGACCCCACTTAAACCACAGCAGCTCAAAGGAACTATCTTCTCAGATCTGGATGATGAGAAGTTATATACTGTAAGTCTGTCACTAGACATAGTTCCCTTAAGGAAAATGTTTTACTGTAAAATAGAAACTGATTAAATTATCTTATAGGTTATACCAATACGGACATTTTAAAATCAAGCCTATGTGTATATTCAAGTATTTTTTAAACATTGAAATTAACATTATATTTTCTAGTTATTAACATTGTTTTAAAATCAATCTCACAGGTTATAGATTTTAATGAATTTGAAGACATATTTCGGTTGGGTCCTGCTGGGCCTCTAGTAGGAGGAGGAGATGGCACACCCAAACTGCTCAAAAAAAATAAAAAGCCAGAAACTGTATCTTTGTTAGAAGCAAATAGATTGCGTAATGTTGGTAAGTAAATAGTTTTAAATTTAAATAAGTCAAACAGATTTTAAATAAATGGTGTTTTATAGTTAAATACTTTAATGTCCAAATCACTTATATAAACACAATTTTATGCTGACAATTTCTTATATATTCATAAAATGGTTTTTAAAATAATACAGAAGTTTTATAATTTTGATGAAGTTTGAGAGTTATTTTTGTTAAGTCACATTCATTTTTACAACTTGTATAATAATTTTTTTCAAAGCTATAACCAGAAGGAAAATTGAATTATCAAATGATGATATTGTAAAAGCAATAAATGGGTAAGTAGTAAATGTATACAAAGGTAAAAATGATCCAATTGCATTTGAAAGATCAAAATAATAGTAAACTATTAGTAAAATAAAATAAAAAGATCATCCCATTTTTAATAATGTACTATTCTTACATTGTTTATATTCCATTTGTTCACAGGCTGGACCTAAAAAAGTTATCCTTAGATGTTGTAGATATTATGATGACTATATTGCCTAATGAAATAGAGGTATATTGTTTGATAATAGTTTGGCAAAACTACACTTTTCTTATGAAATCTTTTTTTTTTTTTCTCAATGAGCTAGTTAATTGTTTTAAAAATGAATACTTTTTTCTTTAATAATGTTTTAAATATTTCAGAAACATTAGTTTTGTAATTACATTTATTTTTATCCCTGAAGAGATCCTAATGGAGATAAACATGAAAGCATTTTATTTCTTTCAGACAAAAGCATATAAAAACTTTGAAAGAGAGAGACAATCAGTTAATTCATTATCAGACGAAGACAAATTTATGTTACAGGTAATCTTTATCTATTCCTTATATAATTATTTTTTAAACCTTTTTAAAATACCTTGTGGCACATTTTGAAAAATGTTTAATTTATCAATCGATTGTTGTTTTTGAAGGTGAATGGACAATATTATTGTTGTAAAAATGTTTTTCTTAAATTAAAAAACCCTTCAAATCTTTAATTAACAGATGGTTAAAGTAGAAAGATTGGCTCAAAAACTTCAGATTATGAGCTTTATTGGTAATTTTTCAGACAACATACATCAGCTACAACCAGTAGGTTTTTCAAATTACTATTTTACTGTAATTTTTGCATTTTGATAAACAGTTTTATTTCTTTATAGTTTTCTTTATGAATTACATCTTTTTAAATTAAATCATTTTCTTTTATAATTCAATATTATTAGTATAAAAATATTTTGATTATTAATATTTTCTTGCATTATTTTCAATTTTAGCAAGTAAATGCAGTTATTGCTGCATCTATGTCATTAAAAAATTCACACAAAGTTCGCAAGATAATGGAAGTAAGTTTTTTAAATTTGTCCTTATATTTTAAATTTACTGTGACTGTTAAACTTGAAAAATCCTAATTACTTTATACTTGAATCAGCTATCATTTTTACTTAATTGCAGATCATTCTAGCTCTTGGGAACTATATGAACAGTAATAAAAGAGGAGCAGTGTATGGATTTAAGCTACAGAGTCTTGATATGGTAAAATTCTTATGACAATGTTTATATAATTCTAGAGCTTAAAAAAATTACTGATCTAAGGTAATTTGTTGCTTACAAAATCGTACTTGCACACAATGACACTTATCAGTTATATACTGAGCTCTAAGACTTTAGTGAAACTTGAAAATGAGTGTACGTAATTGAATAAGATGTTCATTCATACTTTTTATTTAGACTTGCTAGGTAAAAAAAATTTTTTGGCAAAGGCCTTAACTACTATACTGTGTTTGTAATTATTAATTTTTTTAAATACTACTTTACTTGTTCTTATGCTTAAAAATTATTATTAAATTTAAGTTTAGTTTCATGATTTTTTTTTATACGAACTGATTAGTTGTTAACAGTGAGTTACTAAACATTTTTATTTAAATTTCAGTTGGTAGATACGAAATCTGGAGACAAAAAGACAACATTAATGCATTTCTTAGTAATGACAGTGCAGGATAAATTCCCAGATCTTTTAAATTTTGATTCAGAACTCAGATTTTTAGACAAGGCAGCTGTTGGTGAGTTCTCTAAATCTTGTATTCATTAGTTAACATCATTTTGATTTAACATTAATTAATTGTTAAACTCATTGTCTGTATTTTAAAAATAGTTTCAATGGAGAACATCAACACTGACATACATGAATTAGAGAGAGGAATGGAGCTGACAAAAAGGGAAGCAATTATTCGTAAAGACTCCAGAGACTATCCTCCCATTTTAAAAGATTTCCTGTCCAATGCTGAGGAGAAATTTAAAAAACTGTTGGGAGATGTAAAAACTGGCCAGGTAATGATAATTAAAACTATTGTTTTGGAAATAGTTTATTTAATAAGATGAGTAAGTGTTGCATAGTTTATTTATATTCTTCGGAATATTAATTGTAAATAGAACTTAATTTTTACTTTTAAAAAACAAATTTAGGACTCATACAAGAAAGTGGTGGAGTTTTATGGTGAAAATCCAAGAAGCATATCACCTGCTCAATTTTTCTCACAAATAGTCAGATTTGTGTCTAGTTTTAAGGTTTGATTCTTTCTTCTTCAAAGCTCATAAAATGTAAAATCCTACTTTTATAATTTTCTTTTATATATTTTTAAAAATTTTAACATTTAAATTTAACAATAATTTTCAAAATAATTTTTAAGTAGCTCATCATTAAATAAAAATAATTTTTTATTTAAAAAAAATTCAGGTATTGAAATTATTGAAAATTTTATCTAGTGAATTTCAGAGTGTGCTATTTTGGTTTAATGTTTTACAGCAAGCTCTTTTAGATAATGAGAGAAGAAGAAAGCTAGAACATGGATTATTGGAGCCTGACGTACAACCTGTAAAGAAAAAGGACAAAAAAGTAACACAGGTAATTAAACAGAACCTGTTTAAATTGACCAATAGTAGTGTTTTTACCTTGAAAATAAGACTACTGTAAAAAAAAATTATTCTGCATCATAAACATTAGTATCTGTACATTAATAGTTTTTTTTAGCTCCTCCCTGCATAGTGCAACACATTTTAAAAATACAAACAATTCATGTTTTTTTGTTAGCATTGAGTTATCAGTCATATTTTCAGAACACAAATATCATCACATAGGTTAAAAAACTGTTGGGGTACTGGGTATTCAGTGAATTCAGTTGTTACACTTTTAATTATCAAATTTATTATTTGTTCCAAGGAGGCCATGGTAAATGAGTTAAAAAATCGTAACCGGGAAAGAAAAGAACAAAGAAGGCTGCTAAAACAAGATGACATGTATCATGGAGCTCTTGAGGACATTCTTTTAGGTAAGTTGCCTTTAAAGTAGTGTTATGTGAATGTTCAGAAAATTAAACCTGACATAATTTGTATGGTAGTGATTATTTCTGTCAACTGAGATAAAATAAGCAACTCACTTTTTTCCTCTTAATGGGCTTTGAAGAAAAAATAAACATTCTGCTTATATCCTCTTAAGGTTTATAGTAAAGAAACTTGCTTATTTCCTCTCCCATACCAAAAAAAAATGGCTGAGTTAAAAACAGAAATGCCTACATAACATATATGGAGATGCTATTTCATTAATTTACTTTAAATTCTTTATCTTCTCTGAAATAAAATCATTATTATTTTTTCCTTAGACTAACGCTAGCCCTAACTCTAGTTTAGATAGTATGCATGTAAAAGTTTATTTATCCCATTTGCACTATAAAGAAAAAAATCCACAAAACTATCCCCCGTACCTTAAACTTTCTGTATTGCTGGTAACTTTCCACTCAGCAATGCTGACACTCTGTCTGACAAAATTAACTATTTTGTAAATCTGTCAAATAGGAAGTTCTGTAATTCTAAAAATATGTATGCCTATAAATAGAATCTAAATATAGATTGCTGTTCATTGAAATAAGCTTGTTTATTTTTTCTTCCATTAATCATAATAGACTATCAATTTTTACATTTACAATCAATCTACCTTATGAACGTCTATGTTAAATTAGCAAGGTTTACACTAGTTTATTTTAGTTTTAAAAACTGATACCAAATTTTATGAAGTAATTAATTAAAGTTGTTGACAGCATTCTAGGATAAACCAGATGAGCTTTTTTATGTTTATCAATGGCTGTTTCCCCAGTATTATAAATTGTGTGCACTGCAAGCTAAATGTAGATTTACCATATATATATATATATAAAATTTTGCTAAATTTTCTTTCCCTTAGATCTAAAAAATGAACCATACCGTAGAGCTGACGCCTTACGAAGAAGTCAAAGAAGAAGAGCAGAAAATTTAATTCAGGCTCAACACAGTGGATCAGGAGATGTCTTTTAGAAAAAAAATTGTATTATATAGAGAGTTTTATTGAATTATATCACTGAGAACTTTAGTCATATACACCTATGCTGTCAGTGTGACGATGGCAATTAAGTTCACCAAGTTGTTAACAGTAATGTTAGGGTAATTTTAGTTCACCACTACAATTTTATATAAATCATGACAAGATAGAAATGTATAATATGTACAAACACAATTTGCTGTGGCATTTTGCCAAATGTTACCAATTATGAGTTTCATGTTAAGCTGAATATCAAAACAAATTAAGTTAAAGTTTTATATTTATAGTTGTGTACTAATGGTAAAGTATTTTATGAGGAAGGCAAAAGTAGAAAAATATATGAGGAGTTATTATTTGCTGGTTATGTCTGGCTTTTATCATAAATCTGAATTTTTGTTATATTACTATGAATTACAGTAAACAAAATAATTAATGGGATTTTTGTGTTGCTATTAAATAGCAGTTTTAAGGTAAAATAAGTAAAAAAATAATTTGCAACTAAGTACACTTTTTTGTTTTAGTAAAAAAAAATTTAAGAATACTCTTGGCTCAATTTTTTTTGTTTACTTATTGTTACTTTTGTAATTGGACCATGATATGATTTTGATTTCAAATTTTATATATTTGATACATTTTCAGAAATATTGCATTTCTTTTAAAAAAAAAGATTTTACTTTCCAGAACATTGTTGAAAAATAAGTATGTTCATATTTGTAGTATACGAGTACTTCAATTGCTGTGCCTAATTATACACAACAAACAGATTGCTTGCAGCATGCTATCAATTAAAAAGTGCACTTTATTTTAACTGATATTTGATTTCCATGTTTCACTGCCAGTCATATAACAATTACACAATATCTTTGTATAATAAGTTATGGATAGACACATTCAATATGCTTAAAAAAAAATTATGTAAAACTGGTGCATTCAACCAAAATTTTGTAAAATTGTTGGGATGTAATTTTTTTATTCTGATGAAGCTAGATGTTTGTTAAGCTTAGCTTTAATATTTTCTTTGCTTGTTAAACGGTGCCACCAGATATCAATTTTAACTCGTACATTTCTATGCAATTTAAAAATCATTAGATGTCTTGTCCATTTTAAAAGTATTAATGAGACTTCATTTAAAAGCATTACTTCTGTTCTTGCCATCCATATGCTGTACACTTCTGTAAAAACTAAGTTACACAAGATTATTTTGCTACTTTTTTTTTAAAAGAGTGTAACTGATGAATGTTTCAGATCAAAGAACACAGTAATTTTAACTCATCTGTGTAATATAAACTGCTTCAAATATTGTTTTATTCAATTTTTTTTTGGTAACCTGGTTGCTAGACTAGCTTATTAAGTTGTAAGTTTTTTTGCTGTGCAAATGTTTTTACGGTCTGTTCAATTAATGTTTTGCATGTTGTTATCACATTACTGTTTCTAACTTATTATTTTGCGAGAGCGATTTCTTTCTGTACATAATTTTAAACTTAAATTAGTTGAAAGTATGAGTTGTCTGTAGAAGAAAACACCAAAATTTTCAATACTCAGTGTAGCCAACAACATAGCTAGCCTTGGCATGTACAAGGGCGCTGAATGCAGTTCGAACAGATGAGATCAACTAGTCGTTCACATCCTGTACTCTCGTTAGAAAAATGTCACATTGTCCAATTTAACTAGTTCTAATTATGAAAAAAGTTTATTTATGTTTGAATTATGCTTTTTGTTCATATTAGATTTTAGTTAGACACTAATGCTTTCAGTGCTGATAGCAATTGCAAATTTGTGGCTATGTTGTGTTCATCCTCAACTGTAATAAGTATTTCAATGACTTACATTTTCTTTCATTAATATAACTCATGTGTGGGTTGTCAACATCATTGCTAGGCCATTTTTTAATAGAGAAGAAAAAAATGGTCATCTAGTTAACCAATTTCATTCAACATTATGTTAACCTAAAAAAAATCTTTTTAAAAATTATATTAAACCAAGGTATTGAAAAATTTATTGTGAATTGAAAGGAGTATTTAATCCAACCAACACTAATTCAAGTGTGCTCTTTTTATTATATTGTGTAGTTATTTAAAATTTACAGCAAACTCTTTATAAAAGTTGTCATAAGTTTTTGATAATGTGAAATTGTTTTAAGCTGAAATTATTTAACTACTGATTCATATTTCTAATGCTGATAAATTTTATCTCTGAGTGATTAACGCAAAGTCTAGTTATTGATTGTAAAATTTTTCATATTTTCTCTCTGCTACTTACATGTCCTAGTCATAATTCTGTTTTCTTTTTTTTTGTTACATTTTCTCGTGTGCAATGAATTTTAAATTGTTTTTCGCTTGCTTTGGTCTTCATAAAAATAAAAGTTTATTTTTATAGTCCCTCCTTGATGGCAGTCTATTTCATGAGACAGGGTTTTAAAAATAATTTGTTTATGGAAAAAAATTAAATTTAAATTTTCAGTGATTAAAGTTGTACTATAATCATAGCTATTTGTTCTTTTAACTTAAAAATTCATTCTTGGTATGTAAATAAGCTAAAATATTGCTTTTTATACCAGCTTTTTACTGTTGTATGATAAACTATAGTTCAGTATAAATATATTAGATTGTATGTATGTAGTTATTCAAACTGTGCTTCCCATTGCAAATGTAAATATATAAAAACATATACTGAGGTTGAAGTATGGTGTGGAAGTGTTTGAAATAGTTTATTCAGATTGTTCTTTAATAGTATTAAACATGAAGCTAGACATGCTAAATCAGTTTTTGGCTTACTTAGTCATGGTTGCAATTTATTTCAGGTTTAAAACAAAGTTATGACATAACGTTTAAAAATTTTACCTTCTCGATCAATAATTCATTGTATTTTATAATAGATTCTATTTTTTGTAGTAGCAACCATTAAGTGTTGAAGATGAGTTAACACCTTTGTATTTAAATAGGACTAGGGACATTTAATAAATCTTGTGCCTAATTACAATGAATGAATGAACTGATTGAATGTTGTACTTGTGTACATCAAATGAGACATTTTACAAATTGTTGTTGTAATTGTGTGAATGTACTAATTAGAAAAAACGAAAGTGAATTTTTTCATGTCTAAATATAAATAAATGACTGCTAATATTTTATTGTATCTTGTTTAGTTTATTTGACACATTGGTAATTGGAAAAACAAATAATGAGCAATCTTTACATCAGAATCAATTAGTCTTTGGCAATTAGCAGCAGAACTAAATTGTTTAATGACAAACAAAGACTAAAAAAAAACCTGGTATGGTAAATTATAGTATAAAATAGAGTAAAAATTAAAACAAAACCCATAAATTATCAAGTTATTACATCCACCAAAAGGTTATAAAAAATTATATTTTTCTCTGCAGTTAAAGATGATGAAATTGAAGTGTTTGCTGGTTTACCAAAAAATGAATAAATACAGTAAACAATAAAAATGATTCACATTTCAATTAAACTAAGTTTAACCTTTAAATCTGATGGCCCTTAAGGCAGATGAGTAGAATTCATTTGAATTTGTGACTCAATCATATTAAAAGATAATGGCACCAATATCACCTATAGTCTAGTAGGGTAGACTCAGATCATCCTAAGGACATAATGCCTTTTGTGTAGTATAACAGCATTGTAAACCTAATTTATACATAATTAACAAGAATTCAAATATATTCACTGCCAAGAGATTATAAATTTATAATATATCTTTATAATGACCAACAGATATTGAAAGAACAGAAATTAAAAAGTTAATATGGAAGCAAAAATAGGTATATTTTCAAATAAGATTTATAACAGAAACATTTGCATATGTTCAAAGGCGACCAACATTTGCATTCATCTGATATAAAATTTATTAATTATGAAAAATAAAAAGAATTATAGACCTTTACATGTGATACCATGTCATTAAATGCATTGTCTATTAAGTCTATATGTTAAATATCTGATTCAAAATAAATGAAACAAAATTCAGACCTTTCTGGTTGAGCATTTAAATGCAGACTTTTTGAGTGGGAAAAAAAATTCTGTAAAAATCCCAACCTCTTATTTATTGACTAGTATGGACAATCAATATCTCCTCCTTCAACGAATACTGATTTAATTTGGCTGTAGTAATTCAAAGTATCAGCTCCATTCTCTCTGCCCATTCCAGATTTCTTGTACCCACCAAACGGAACACCCACAGGATAAACATTGTAGTTATTGATGTACAGTGAACCAGCTTCGAGATTGGAGGCTATTCGATGAGCACGCTGTAGGTCTCTGAAATATTTTACAGCACACAGTCAACTGATTTTATCTGCTCTTGGATTGATAAAACTAGTTTCCCGATCTGACAGGGCTTCAGAAATTACATTGAAGTTGGTAAAGACATTGTAAGTTTACATACTAAGTAATCCCATTATTAATACACCACCGCCAAATAATTCAGTAGATTTTTATGTAAGTACTCACCTAGTAAATACACCACCGGCCAACCCAAACTCTGTATTATTTGCTCTCCTTGTAACTTCGTCCTCAGTTTTAAATGTCAGCACAGACATAACGGCACCAAAGATCTCTTCCTTAACCACAGTCATTTCATCTTCACATTTGTTTATTATACATGGCCGTAGGTAATATCCACCAGCAAGGTTAGGATCATCCATGTTAACACGATCACCTCCATACACAATGACGGCTCCCTATAGATTGCAAATCAAGACATTTTAAAAAATAAACTTCAGTCATAGGTTAATATTTTTATAAAATGCCATAAGTTGGATGATGTAAAGCAATTAAGTATATGTCTTTAAAAATCATAATTAAAGTATTTTGTGTAGTCCATTTTGGACAAATTAAAAACATTTATTAATTAGGCTCATAACTTCTTACTTCTTTTTTGGCCACCTCAACATAATTTAGGACTTTTTCTGCATGGTTTTTATGGATTGTTGCTCCAACAGTTGTGTCTGGGTGCCTTGGATCTCCAATCTTCATCATTCTCACTCTGAAGATCAGTTGGGAAAGGAACTCTTCAGCTATACTTTCTTCAACAAACACTCTGGTACCATTAGAGCAAACCTTATAAAATAAAACAAAACTGCCTCAAGCAAATTTTTTAAATGTACAATTTTTTTAATATATAAAAACAAATGACTACCTAACATTACTTTTTGAAAACAAAATCTTACTATGAAAAGAGTATCTTAGAATCGCTATATTTATATTCTATTACATTATCTTTCCCAAAATACAAAAGCAAAATTAAATATTTGTGATGTCAACTTGAAAACTTAAGTCAACATTCTGAAAAAAAAATTATCCCACCAGGACTATTTAATAAAGTGTCAATCTGTTATTTTCATTTTTGTAAAAAAAAAAAAGATACTTTTAAAACTGATCTTTTAGCACAAAAAGGCTTTAAAAACATCCTAAGATTAAAATGATAAAAGCGAGTTTTCTTCAAAATCAATCTGAGGAAACTCAGAAGGTTTTGCAAGCTAACTTATCATTTTTGTTTTAAAGATAAGATTTAATTTTTTAATCTCTGAGAAAAAGTGCAGTAAGACTATACGAGTATTTAAAAAAGGACCAATTTAAGTTTTTACTTTACCTGTCCCTGATTGGAAAAGTTTGCTAACATTGCCCCTTTAACAGCATTTTTCAGATCTGCATCAGCAAAAATGATGAGTGGAGACTTGCCACCAAGTTCAAGTGTCAAGTGTTTTATGTCCTAAGCAAAAAAAAAAAATGAGACATGCAATAGGAACAAAATATTTTTTGACTTTTGACTTTGTATGCTATAATAAGTATAATTTTAAAGTTTTATGTTTAAAAGGATGCAGTAACTATTATGTCATATAACCAAATTTTCAGTATGTATTATTTTTTAAAGGCAGTATTTCTTTTTTTCTTTAGTCTGGTCCTATATCAGCATGAACTTTTGAAAAATATAATATGCATTTTATAATAAAACAACTTTTTTTTTAGTCAAAGGTCTTCCAAAGATTTTTTTAGATTACAATTATAAAAGTAAATGAGTAAAAGTAGTTTACCTTAGAACACGCAGACATGATCTTAGATCCAGTGTTAACACTACCAGTGAATGAAATTTTATTTATCCCTGGATGTATGGTCAGTAGCTGACCTGTATCAGATGTTCCCTGTCAACAGGCATTTTTATAAATAAGTCAGTTCATTTATTAAATGCTAAAAAAAAAAGAAATAAAAAGAAATGTCTTAGAATAAGATTAATCTTAAACAGCAGTTTTTCAGTTATCAACAATTTCAGCACTGTAATATTTTCTTTTTGATAAATCATACTACTACTGCTAGAAATAAAAGGTTAAGAGAGATGGCATATACCAAATGTTAATTGTTTTGCTTTCCAAAAATGTAAACATTTGAAATTATTTCTGAGTTTTTGATAGGATGTTGTCTTAATTCTACGTGTAGTGGAATTAGTTTGAACAAGGTTGAGTCATAAGAATCATATTTTAAAAAGTAAATTACCTGTACAATGTTAAAACACCCATCAGGAAGTCCAGCTTCTTGATAGATCTCAGCCAACATGACAGCTGTAAGTGGTGTAAATTCTGATGGCTTAAATATAACTGTGTTGCCACATGCAAGGGCAGGTGCAGATTTCCATGTAGCCATTTGGAATGGGTAATTCCAAGCCCCAATAGCTCCGACAACTCCAAGTGGTTCTCTTATTGTGTAGGCAAAGCTACCACCATTCAAAGGTAGAAATTCACCTAAGTAAAAAGTTTTATAGAAAAACTTGATCTTTTAGTTGAGTGCTTATAAATAACTGATATTTCCCCTGGAAATTTGTAAACATATCTGTACCAGTCAGAGCTGCAGCCAAGCCTCCATAATAATCCATGCTGTCTGCACAACCTATTATATCCAAACGGGCCTCCCATATTGGTTTTCCAGTGTCGAAGACTTCAGTATAAGCTAGTTCTTCAACCCTGTTCTACAATTATATCCACAAGTAAAACAGCAATAGTTTCAATTAATCAAGACTGTAATTCACAATAACTAACTGCTTAAAATGTTTTTTAAAACCAGTAAATGGTGATAATAAACTAAAACACATATGGGGCTGTTGTGAGATAATCATAACCACATAAAAAAAAATTTGTCAGTTTAATGATATGGGGTCATCCATAAATGACGACACGCTTTTTTTGACGATTTTTACCTCCCCCCTCCCCTCTGTCACAAAAAGCCAGACCCCCCCCCCCCTAAAATGACGTCACACCTCAGCCTACAACTCCCCTCAAAATTGCAGTTGAAATTTTTTTTTAAACATCGATATTTTTCCAAAATCTTGTCTGAACTCGAGTATTTTAATCAATTCCTATTACAATTTATTAAAACAGTTATCTAAAACGCAAAATAACGTCTAAAATTCGTTTTCTAACATTGCTTTTTTATAATGCAAAAGTGTGACATCGCACCATCTGAACCCCCACTCCCCCTCATCACACACTATCACAAAATTACGGACCCCCCTCCCCCCTACGAGTTTGCCGTCATTTATGGATGACCCCTATACAGAACAGGTTTAAACTAAAGATATGTATAGATATTTTTAAAAACAGGAGTGTCTAATACTCTGTTACATCAAGTATGCTGACAAATATGGCACATAATAAATAATATTAAAATTTCAACTGTTAGTCAATTACTCTGATTATATTGGCAGCCCTTCTAAGAACTTGGCCTCTTTCAAATCCAGACCACCGAGACCAGGCTTTAAAAGAATTTCTTGCACAGGAAACAGCATTGTCTACATCTGTTTTATCAGAAACAGTAACTTCTCTCACTTTTTTCCCTGCATATAAAAAGAAATCAGATTATAAATTTATTTCATGTGAGTGATTGTATTTTGAAATTATGACAAAAAAAACAGTGGGAGTTTTTTCATTAAATAAATAAATCTATTGTTTTTCTTTAATAATCACAATGTTTTGTTAAACTTGCTTCTTTCATTATCAGTTTATGTTTACCAGTAGCAGGTGTTACTAGATCAAATGTTGTGTTTCCTGATGAATCAAGCCTTAGGCCTTGTACAAAGTTCAAAGGCAAGGTAACTTGAGGTGAATTCATTAGATTGTTTTTTGCAGCACTTAAGCTGAAGCTCCTTGCTGGTGATCTCAGCATTATTGAAAAATACTTCATGGTTATTCTGCAAAAAACAATATTATGATAACTCTATTTAAAATAGTTATTTAAGTCATTAAATAACTGACATCTAACACTATTAAAAGCTTTTAAAAAATACAGTTAATTCTATCTGTTCCAATAAATCAGTGTTGTATTTTAGTTGTTACTAATGTTAGCAGTAAACAGCTTGTAAAGTTTAGTTTAAATGTATTATTGTTCCTCTTGTTCTTAATTGTATTTGTAATATTGGATCTGGATGGGATTTCCTCCTACACAATTTTCTTCTTGTATTTGCAACCATATCTTTTGTCCATAAACTACTTTGAAAATACCTTCTTAAGGTCTTATTAATATTATTACTTATTTTTAATACTACCTATTACTATTATTAATATTAGCGGGGTGATGGGTTTGGCCTCGGATTGTGTACAATTTTATTTTTAGTGAGGAGTAACAGACAGACTAATTACTATTTAGTAATTGTGTAAGTCACTGCTGAGTGACTGTAATTAAATTTCTTAAAGACTTGACAGAGAATAATGCATTGGTTTGAAGTTTGGATGACTATTCAAAATATAGATCTATAATTATTAATAAATTATTCATTAAAAACATATTGCTAGAACTAGGTCTAGATAGATCGATCTAGAAAATCTAGATTCTAAAATCTAACTACAGAACTACACTTTCTCAGCTTCTGTGTTTTCTATTTTTCTGTTTTGTGCAGGCCAGATAAATATTTTAAAATTTCACTTATAAAAATAAAGCTCGGCGAACAAGACATGTAGGCTTTTTATGTAGGTGGTTTGGTTAAAGTTAAGTAGAATAATGAATTGGTAACTAATTTCAAATTTGCATTTAAATCTAGATCTAGAACAGATATTTTAAAATTGAATTTTAGAACTTTTAACATTTTCAAATCATATTATGTAACTTATTATGATAACTGAGCAATTAATTTAATACTGACCCGGATTTGTAGGAGAGTTATAAATTAAAATATTTTTTTATATTAGGCACTAGATCTAGATCTAGTAAAAAAAAAATTCAATTCATACCAAGTCTTATGGAGGCATATAGATCTAACTATGACGCGCGTAAAGTGAAAAAAAAAGTAAATTTAAAATAAATTTAGGATTACGCCGGGAGAAAAAATAGAGGTTAGTAGTAATCACTAAAATATCACGGAATGCAATGATAGCGTCCCCCTTTTAAAAAAAAATGATTTCTACCCAATGGCCAGGCAAGATAGATAAAGATGGAAAAATAAATGCGAAGGAATTTTTAACTTATAAAGTTATATATCGACTATCGATAAAATATGATAAAAATAGATTTTGTGAGAATGTAGGCATACACGAAGAGCACATCAACAAAGTGTACGTTTCTGGGCATTGCATTGCACTAGCAGCTCTCGCTGAGACATATTCTAGCGACATATGTCATCCCGGTATCCAATCTCTATTAATAAACCTGTGATATCCAACATCCAAACATACCATTTCTGAAGTACTGAAGTCTATACCAGAATGACCTATATTTTTTTTTAAAGTAGATCACTCAACGTCTTATTTTTCTTTTGCCTCGTCACCCCTAGCTGGAATATGGCCCATTAAAAAATTAAAAATATCCCCAGAGACCTCTTGGTTGAAGGTTTGCGTAGGTTGCGCCCTATCCAACATCTCTTGACTTCTACGCCCGCAGATAGATCTAGATCTAGTTGTTTGGTCCCTTTACAAAGGTTTATGTCAGGCTAGCTGATTATGAAAATCTGGACCTTCTCAATGGTTGCCTTAGTCATCATCCAAGGCTCTGATCAACAGGGAAGCACAGATTTCACATTGGTATTGAACCGTCGCACCTTGTGGTTAAGGACAGCTATCTGGAAGCCCAAATATTTTTAAGCTGAATCAAGGCGGCTTTTGCGTTGCCAGTCTTTGATTAATTATTGACATTCGCGGATTACCTCGTATTTTGTCAAAATGTAACTTATGCTAATCTCTCTTTTCATTTTCAAAAATTAGGTCAATGCACATGTTCTTCTGCTCACACATTGCATCTAATCAAACAAACCATTGCTTATTCTTTTCAGTATTCTTTACTTAGATAGGAAGAGTGAACTTACGACGAAGAAGCTCGTCAGACAAAGCCAAAGGAATCAAGATCAATAAAATATTGTATATTTGAAACGACATCCATAAAATAATATAATTAAAAGTGTTTAGTTATTCTTTAATATTTGTTATTGTTTTTTTGTATTAAGACAATGTTAGGCCTAAAATGTGAATGTGGTATCCACTGATAATAATATTGATGTGTGATTAGACTATGTGAATAAAGAAAGTTAAATAGTGATAATGGATTGTTTCCCCTGCTTTTATATTTCTTTATATAAGGACCGGTAAATCGTTACGATCCACGAGCAATAGATTAGGCAGCACAAAGCTCAAACATTGAAATCTACTAGACTATGTAAGTGACCATGTAATTATACATTTTTAATTAAACTGTTGTTTTAATTAAACTGTTGTTGCTACTGAATGTCCTACTTTTAGTACTACTGAATCTGTTTGCAAATACTTTCAAATAATGAATAAATTAAATTGCAGTTTACACTTTGACTTTTTTATGTTGAGACAATGAAAACTACGATTGTTGTACATTGTACACTCAATGTCAATGTGTGAATGTACCTTTACTAGTCTAGATCTAGAATTCTAGATCTAGATCTTAAAATATAAGTCCAGATCCTAAGATTCTAGATCTAGATTAAAAATAGATTCTAAATTTAGATCTAGATCTAGAATCTAGCCTATATCTAGAAATTTAGTACAATATTTAGAATCGATTCCAGATCAAGCTAGACTAAAATCTACATTAATCATTAATATAATTTTAGATTCTAGAATCTACATCTAAAATTCTAGATTTGTATCGAGATTGTTTTTTCTTCTTTTGTCTACAAAATTAAATAATCCAAAGTCCAAATAATAGCCTAGGTGATTGATTAGTGTCTAGATTTAGATCTAGATATCTTGTCTTAGACTCACTGGACTGTATCGGTGTATCTGATTACTCTGATTAGATTACTGGGCCTTGTCATTCGCCTTTTTTTTTAAAACTTCGCTTTTTAGGTTAGGCCTAGACCTAGTAATTTTAATTAGTCTTGTCCTAGGGCTCCAAGTCTAATGATTAATGATCTCTAAGTGATTTTGAAAATATATACTAGACTTCTTCCTAGATATAAATGTTAAAACATAAGATGTATAATAGTTTATTCATAGAGATAAGGTGTAAATTACTGTAAATTAACTGCTCAATATCTTTAAAATATTGTTAAAAATATTTTTATCATGCAAACTTGTTTGCTTTTATAAAGTTTTAGAAATTATATGGTAAAATATATAGGGCAGGGCCTACTCAGTTTATTTAAATTTAAACATTAAATTGGTGGTTTAAATTTATAGGCCCTACTATGGGTTTGAAAGATAAATGTGTTTTTATTTAAATGTAAAAACACATTGATATTAAAATGAAAGACATAAATGGATGCCATTGATTGAATTGACTATTTAGTCATATTTATTTCACAGATTTACAAAAAAAAATAAAGAGAATGACCACTACTTCTAATCTTGTGTCTGTTAAATGGCTGAAAGAGATGATGGTTTCTAGCACTTTAAAGTTTAGAATTTTAGATGGATCTTGGCACCTGCCTATTTCTGGAAGAAATGCTGCTTCTGAATATAAAGAACAGCACATTCCTGGAGCTTTGTTCTTTGATATTGATGAGTGTGCAGACAAGTCAAGAAATTTACCACATATGATTCCTTCACCTGAATTTATGGAAGATTATGTGGGTGCATTGGGAATCACCAATGATACCTATATCATAGTTTATGATAATAACCCCCAGTTTCCTCTGTTTTCTGCTCAGCGAGTTTGGTGGATGTTCAGGTTGTTTGGTCATACCAAAATATCCATCTTAGCTGGTGGTTTGCCAGAATGGGTGTCTGCAGATGGACAAGTAACAAGTGATGTTATACATGTGCCAAGAGAGAAATTTGTAGCAAAGTTCAATAAAAATCTAATCAAAACAATGGATGAAGTAGAAAAAAACATAGAAAACCCAGAGTTTATTTTACTAGATGCCAGACCTGGAGGTCGCTTTAAGGGACAAGCACCAGAGCCACACCCAGGTAGCTTTGGTAGATTTTAATTGATTTTTTTTTTTTTTACTTCGACAGTTTTTAAACATTAATAAGTACAAGACTATACCATATCTTGCCTGTTATGAATAAAACGAACTTATTTGAATGTCAACTAAATATTGTTTGAATTCTTTAAGCTTTGAAGGTTTTAATTTAAGTGTGTTTACTAATTACAAATTTAATATCACTTATCAGATACCAAGCCAGGATCTATAGTTGGGTCGATCAATATCCCTTTCATGAACACCATGAATTTAGAGCAGAGAGTAATGAAATCTCCAGAAGAACTCAAACAGTTGTTTGAAGATGCTGGAGTAGATCTAACCAAGCCCATTGTTGCATCTTGTGGATCAGGTAAATTGTGTGGTTATAAAATTAATTATTTAGAGGCAAACCTAGTTTACAGGAGATGACTATATTTTTATACATATTTCCTAATTTCCTAACTACATTAAGATTTGCTTGAAAAATATTTATAGAACACAACTTTAAAAAAAACTATTTTGTAGTAAAAATATTCTCCTTCATTAACATTTGAATTTGTTAGGGCTACCATGCAATAAGATGTTAGTGCTAGTGTTGGATTAGGTATTTTTTTTCTTCTGACAACAATCAAACATACTATATTGTCTTTGTTTGATTTATATATAGATATATATTTATACATACTTTTTGATTTATACAAACATGTATGTTTATGCATGTATTTGTATATTGAAGGATAGAAATATGCTTGTTTATTTACAATTTACATGTTTTTATTGAAACAAATTTCATCCTACAGGAGTTTCAGCATGCATACTAGCTTTAGCTGCATCAATTGCAGGCAAAGATGATGTTGCAATATATGATGGGGCTTGGACAGAATGGTTTCATTATGGACCAGCACAATTCAAATTAAATGTTCCAGAGTAGTACATTGTTTGTGGGCTTTTATATACATTTTTTTTGTTTGATTAAAAAAAAATCAAATTTTTTTATTGCCTGAAAAAAAATGTTCTTTATTCTTATAAAGAACAACATATGTTAGTCCAGTTGATAAGATTCCAATTATTCTTTCCATTCCTAGTATACATACAGTGGTACCTCTTTAAATTAACACAGCTCTGACTACATATTTTGTCATGTAGAACAAACTGATTTTATAGAAAAACCAGTGCATTAAACCAGACTGCAAAAAAAAAAAAAAGTGAAAAATTGAGTTTGGGGGTAGAGTGGCAGATTAGTTATGTTTAATCTTTCTGGTATTTATGCAGATTTGGAGTGTTATGGATATAGTGAAGTGTGCCTAACCCATTATCTTATCATTTTTATAAACTAAGTAGGGGATGGAGTAGTCAGATGATAGAGCATATGACTGCTAACCCTTAAGTCTAGGGTTGGATCCATTGCATGGCCACACTATCCCTTTATATATATGCTGAGGCACTTGAAACAGGTAAACTCTACTTCACTAGCTTGATAGACAACAAGGAAAGGGTACTGTAGTTTTAGTTACTAATAAACCAAGTCACTGATTTGATTATATTGTTGTACCACTACAGTTAGCCCCTCCTCTTCCAGTGTATTCAAAGTGCAGTCTCCAAGGCCAAAACATGTGTGGTATGATAATAAGAAAATAGAATGAACTATAATAACACATCCCATAACTTCCTATCTGTCAATTTATAATTAGTTTCACGTTTATCCATGTTTGTATTATCAAATAGGTGCAACATCTAACACTGGTTTGTCACTTTGTGGTTATTTTTTGTGACTGAAATGATATTGTTCTGATCTCATAAAGAATAAATCTATTTCCCATATAAACTAAGACTATAGAATTATGTGTTCTGTAGAACAAACACCTTATAGAATGAAAGGGCAGCCATAACAGATTGACATTGTTATTTGAGGTATCACTATGTAAAAAAAAATTACATGATTCTTTTATTGTAGACAATTAAAAAAAAATTTTTTAGAACATAAACAAATCTTGTGTTATTTTTCACAGGTGTGTTTGCACATACACAGTTTATTTTCTGTTGTTAGATTTTTTCTGGCAGTTTACTGTTTTTTTATATACTTTTCTGTTGAAATTTCTGTTTTAAATTTTTACTGCGCATTCTTTTTCTTCATAGCACATTTTTGAGTGAACCTTAGTACTTAGACAGAGAAACTCGTTTTTAACCTGCTTTTATTTAACTGTCGTCATAGATCGAAATGGGCGAGCGATCTTTCTGGCACTTCTAACTTCTATTATACGTGCATCATCATTTTCATGCAATTCTATTGTATTAAAAATTTTAAAGAACTGAAAAAAAGTTTCATAAAAAGGTTTTAATAACAAAGCTGTATGTAATTTATTGTAATAATGCACTAAAAAGGAGAAAATAAATAATTTTCTTTAAATATATAATCATTCAGTACTATTTAAATAACTATAATAAAGAAAAGCATGGATCTCTTCCTAAATATTAGTAAAGGTACCCAATAGATAACAAAGTGACCCACGCTTTGCTTTATAATTATTTAAATTGTAGTAAATTATAAAAATTATTTATTGTAGTTTTTTTTTTTTTATTTTTTTTCTCCTTTTAAGTTTAAGTGCATTATTACATAAAAGTAAAGCTTGTTATTAAAACATTTTTTATGCAATTTTTTTTGTAAGCACATTCATGGACACGCCTATAACTGTAAGAGTAAGTGAGTGTTTGCACAGCACACATGGACAAAAACACAAACATTTTATAAAAGAATGGACTGAATAAAACAAAGGCTCCTCAACGAATAAAATAATAAGAGTTCAACAATCTATTAGAGCAGGGGTCTCCAAACTTTTCAGTCCGAGGGCCGCATAAACTATCTAATTTCAGTTCGGGGGCCAGTTTCTTTCAGGCATGTCTTTGATTGTTCTGGGCAAAGATCCTCAGCCATAACCAACAAACGTTTTTTCAGTGGAAAAAAAGATCAGTCTATGTTCTATCAATATCAAGTCTAATTAGGTTACAAGCAACACAGAATTCAAGTACCCTAATGTTCTAGGTAGAACAAAATTACCAGAATGAGGCCTCAAACCACTCTGTCACACACCCTTACGTACCAGTACAAAAAACAAAACAAAAAAACAAGCACAAAATGGACGATGGCAAACAATTAACAGCATGATGAGTAAACTAATGGGACAGGTCATTTAGTTAGTACAAACAACATTAACCTATTCATCCCCTTCACTACACTCTTCCAATTATTAATGTATTCTTCTTTTGTGGCCAACTCAATAATCTACATAAGTAAACTGATAGACATATCTAAGATTGAAGTTGTTGAGAAAATGTGGAACCGAATGACTGCTTTGAACTATGTATGAGCCAAAAAAAAGGGAAGAAAATGAGAAAGTTGCTCGGGTCTCTGTTCCATTTTCATTATAATTTATATGAAGAATTTTTTATTTGTTGGCTCCACCAACTCCCTGCAGTTGAAATGAAGTCATGATGTTGCATCCCTCTCCTAATAGCTATATTTCTAATTTTAAAATTTAGGATAATCCACAAAGGACGTCACACTTTTCATCTATTTTAGTATCCCATCATTTCCATAGTGTATGGCGTGATTTAAAATGAATGTAGGCGCCATAGTGCTGATGGGGAGGTTTGTGTGCACTGTGTAACATAACTGCTGGGCGCCGGCTGATGGGTCTGGTGCAGTTTGACCATTGAATGAAGTAGCAGCCCTGACACCCTCTCAATGGGTTCCAGGTGCTAAGAAAGACAGTGGGGAACTCTAGGTGCCAAACCTCACTATACAATACTACCATGTACCATCCCAAATTTCTTAATAGCAGAAACCTACGCATGATTATTCTTATTATTCTCAACAACTTCCCAATGCTTCATGGCGATCTGAATGATTGGCCTCCATAGATTTTAGTTTACCCTTGCCATAAGTTAAAGCATACAAAAATGCCACATCTTCATCACGTCCAACCTGCCACTCAGTTCCAATGGCCCACATGCTCTTTATTTAGACCAAAAGTTTAACTTACTTAATACCAATTATTAGTAGCATTATTTAACCTTTATATTAATTATGATTAGTATCTATATATATAATTATCTTCTTGGAGACAATAGAAAACACCAAGCTGTAAGCGCACTCCCTACTACCCCCACCCCTACATGGTCTGGTGAGCTGTGGTTCACGCTAAATGTTTACAATTGTAGAGCCGGGTTTAGTGACGGCTATTAGGGGCAGATAATGTAGTTTGAAACGATTTTAAACCTAGGGGAGGTAACTAAGAGGAGTTTGCCTTAAAGGGAGGGGGGTTGGGGGAAAGGAGGGGGGTATCGTCCTTAACGACCATCTGATAGTGTTTTAAAGCAAATATTTTCAGTGGCAGCATTGGTACTGTCGAATTCACAAATTATGAATGTCTGAAAAGTAGAAAATAAAACAACTAAATAGCGGCGTATGATACGCCACGGGCCGGCTCGTTATGTTATAATTTTACTGTGTCTGGAAATTCCAAATAGCTAAGTAACTAGAATTTACTAGATCTAGATATAAAATATTAAAAGACTAATAAAATATTAAGCCATTAATACATTAAATTTTGGCCCACTTTTCAAATTTAGTTGGCCCCCTACTTTTAATTAAGTGTCTTAATCGTGTTTAATTTTGATTATTGGAAATGAATATGATTAGGCATATAACAGATAACATTTTATTTTTCAAAATACGTTTGCTCTTACGGTAGGCTACAGCAAAAGTACAATTTCTCTCGAAATTTAGAGAAACCATTTAACCACAACAATAATAATCCTTGACCTAGATCTATCTCAGGTTCGATGTTATAATATAAATAATCTATATAGGCCTAATATAACTTATATTATATAGATTATAGGCCTATAAATAGTATTATATAGGCCTACATACTATATATACGGCATGGACTATAACACTAAATCAGCCTGTCACTGTACTTGAGTACTGGTAGATCATCTGATATTGTAATTTTAAATTTATTGGTAATCTATCGTTTTAGGTACGTAAAATCGCCCGCGACTAGTAATGTGAAAAACAGGTGACTCCTTACATTTTAATAATTATTTCACATTTTGAGGAGGATTTATGTTTTGAAAAATACCAAAATATTTCCTTGTTTCATTTATGTACCGGTTTTTAAACAATTGAATTAAAACTTTTCAGTAATAAATGAACACCAGCGATGTTTCCAACAGATGCAACCATGCTCATTTACTATAGCAGACATCTTGTTAGTTTTATTTTTATAGACTTATAGCCGAGATTCAGGCGGAAGTCACTCTATTTTACAAATGGCTGCTGTTTATATAGCAAATCTTGCTTGCAGACACTACTGTTTAAAGTCAATTTCTGGACTATATTGATATATTTAGCCATTGATTTAGGTTCATTATTCATGTATCTATAATATTTGACACAAACATATCACAATATACTTCTATTACAGCCTTGACAATGAGGTAACGTTTTCGTACATTAATAGCCGCGGGCGATTTTACGTACCCAAAACGATAGATTACCAATTTATTCAGTATTCAGCTGATAGTGATATGCCTATTACTATTGATATTTTTATTTTATTAATTTTATTATTGAATGTGATAAGCAACTCCGTTTTTCAACTTTTTCCCCTATTTAAAAAAATAAAAAGTATTTTATTTTTAATTTACAATTAGAAATCTAGAATCTAGATCTATAGCTCAAACTGAGTCATCTGACAATGTCAATGACACCTAGACTAGATCTTGTTTGTAACTGGTCTGTTTTAAAAGTTAGACTATTTATTTAGAGCATTTTCTAGTCTAATTTAATTTATTTGAGTTAGACAGCAGAGAATATTTCAGAGTAAGTTACTTAATTAGTACTTACTTACTTACTTAATACTTACTATTTCTATTACTAGTAAAAAAGTAATATTAGTAAGTGAAGACTCTAGGCTCTAGACCAGGGGTCTCCAAACTTTTCAGGCCGAGGGCCGCATTAACTATGAGTTTCTTTAAGGCGCCCCACCCCCTCCTGAAGAACGTCTACCGCCCCCCCCCCCCCCCCCCCCCACGAAATATAATTTATATAGAAATATTTACAAATTTCAAGTGTCCACTCCTCTACCTTGCAATTCAATGACCTCCAGCTGCAGTTCATCTTTGCAACTGGCCACATTTGCTTCAAATAGGCTTTGAAGCAGTCTCACTTCTTCTGTCTTTGAATCCAAGTCATAGAACCTACTGAAACTGCAGCTGGAAGTCTTTGATGGTCATATGTAAATGACGTGGGAAATTCATTGTTTGCTTCAGCAGTAAAGAAATTGCACTGCTGAAGCTGCGTCAAGTTGTTGGCCTGTACTTGTTCCAAATACATGACAAGTTTGAATCTGAAGGCCTTTAGGTGGGTGTATAGATAAGAAACTAGATTTCCCTCTCTTGCCGTTTTAGGTTCAGAAAATTTAAATGACTAGTTATGTCTGCAGCAGAGGCCAATTTCTATACCCACCCTAATGAACACAAGAAGTTGAGGTGGAACAACTGTCCAGCGACTCATCCATTGCAATTAAAAAATGGCGAAGCTTGCTTGCATATTTCGCTATTGGAGTCACGATGTTTTCACCAATGTCTGCAACACGGCGGGCAATGGTATTTGCACCCAAAGCTACATTTTCAAATTGTTTTGAATTTTCTGTGCAAAGTTCCTCAGTCACCTCTAACAACATTTATTCAGTGGACAAAAAGATCGTCGCGGGCTGGATGAAATTACCCCGCGGGCCGTAGTTTGGAGACCCCTGCTCTAGATCTAGTTAGTAAGTTACTAGTGTAAGTCAGACACTCACTTCTTATTTTAGTATCAAATCCATTAAGTCCAAGTGTTAGGGTGCGGCAGTAAGAGGATATTTAATTTTATTTATTAATGATATTGATATGTGTCTTGCAGCAGCAAGGATTAGGCTAGGGTTAAAGCCAGTGGTCAGCTGTATTGATGCTTGCTACTCTTAATAATATTTTTCTTTCTATCTAGGTTTACTGCAGTGCATTCACTTCAACCACTGATTTACTTAAAGTATTCCTGTTAGAGAAAGAAACATCAATAACTCAATAACAGTACTGATATATTTATTTTTGACTTGGTTTTATCATCCAAGCTCATACATTTCTTTTTCTAGGATGAAATCATTATTTAAAAAAAAATATAATGCATAACTAACACTGTAATGTGCAGCACTGAAACACTATAATTCCCATTCAATATAAAATGGCAAACAGAAGTGATATCTTTATTCGTTGTTGGTGTTCAACTTACTACAACTATTCTTCTGGAAAGTGGATTACTGGATTACTAAAAATTTCCCACGAAGCACTGCTATTTCAGTCTAATGACCTGAAAATAGTAGGCTCTGAGCCTAACCCCCTTGTACTGTTTATACATTTATCCCAGATAAAAGGTATTTGCAAAGCAGTTTCTTCATTCATTTATCCAGCAATAAAAATTACCACAGAAAACAAGCAAGAACACTGGTTTTCATCTTTTGAGGATAGAAACTCAACCTTTCTAATTTTGCAACACTGTGTTCAATCAAAGTTATTCGACAAGACTGATGATTCACAAACAATTGTCACTACACATTCATCAGATGTATCTTCGGCTTCTTTAAAAACAAATATTGGCACTAAAATTTTACACAGTGTTCATGATTCACACGCTACTTTACAAAAAGCTGCTAATAAGCTGGTTGAACAAGGAGAGCAAATTAGGAATTCTGCCTTCACAGTCCAGCTCATTCATGAAGATTTAACTGTTGCTGAGAGGATTACAAAAGGTCTAAACTCTTGGTTTGGTCGGTGGCGTCTGCCACCTGTTACTAAAGCTGAAGAGTTGATTGTGGTAACTGACAATGATATTCCTGAGGTATGGGACATTGATGCTCTGTGTACTCAAATCTCTGGAAATAAATATGATATTCAGAGAGAAGGTGTTTTTCGGCTGTCCAAAGATGGTGTAACTCTTCTTGATATGAAACAAAAGGTGATTATTTTTTTTATTTCCTGACATAAAATTGATCATAGATTGATTTGATTTACAGATGTAGTTAAGTATTATAACAATATGTTCCGCTTTTAATTTTAATATATTAACACATTTAATAAAAGACTGTTGTTTTGCTGACTGGGCAAGGCTGTAAAGCTTTGCTGCTATTGTGCAGAATAACTGTCTAGCTCAAAAATAACATATTTTAGTTTTTTGAGAGATGCTGTTTCTCTTCAGCTATTTAAGTTTATTTTTGCAGTTATTCAATAAAATAATTGTTTGATATTATAATTATAATATAGCTAGCTGAATTTTTATTTTAGAAATTGGTTAGCTGCATATGGTCGAGGCAAATACTTATGGTTATTTTGTTATATCTATATAGTCCTACTATCTGTATACCTTACATGTTCTAATTGCAGTTATTAGTTGATTACCAGAAGATTTGTAAGCTACAGTATCATTTTTTCATTCACTTAAAGTGAAACCAGTTTCAAAGAAATTTTGTAATTCCAACTTTATATGTGTGCCTCAATATCAGTCAAAAAATATTCTTTTTTCATTTAGATAATTCATCATTTCAAATGGTCTGATGTCTCCAGTATTCGTGTAGTAAGTCCCTGGGAAATCCTTGTGGTCAGATTTCTCATTGGCCAACCAGATTTAAGCTATGGAGTAATAAGTATGCATATGCCTAAAATGCTGATTAAATTGGAAAAGTTATCTGGCAACAAAATGGATTACATGAACCCACCCAATTCTCAGTATTGTGAGAATTCGGAACCTGTTTGGACAAAGCCTTGTAACATGGCCAGCTCCAGTAAAAAGGGTGAGTTATTTATTTATTTTTTTTTTTTAAAAGTTCTTCCATTTACATTTTTTGTACAAAGCATTTTTAATCTTTTTACTATTATTAGTTGGTTTTTTTTTTAGCTATTTAATTTTTGAAGCCAAATATGGCATGAAAACTAAGCCAATAAATAAATATTTGTTGAACTTTTTTCCACAGCTCTACTTGTACCAGAAAGCAAACTGGCTTCTAACTCTTTTATTAGTGATGAGCTTGGAGTACACAGTGGACAGGTAGAGCAGAAAGAGTTAATATCTGACATGGAGGTAGCTGAGATCGGTGATGTTTTAAAGAGCTTGAAATCTATGGCGCTGCAAGTACAGAAAGAACAGTGTGAACAAATAGAAACAATCGACAGACTTACAGAGTCTGTTGTAAAGGCTGATGATCGAGTCAAGGGCATCAACAAAACAATAAATAAATTGTTGAAATAATTTAGAAATACTTATGTACGCTTTGGTTGCATTAATAAAACATTGGAATGGTTTATTTTAAGACCAATGTTCATTTGTTTTTTGAGGCACTTTAAGTGTAATATTAATATGGGGGGGGGGGGGGAGGGGATGTCAGTAAAATAAAATCTGTTTTAGTCATCTTGGTATTTGAGGTAAAAGTGCATCCAGAATACAGTATCAAACATCCAAATCTGTATAAAAGTTCTGATACTAAATTGTGTCAGTTTTACAGGGGAAAAGTTTCACTTTCAGTGAAGGTAATTTACATACACAAATAAAAGATCAGTTAAATATTTGGTAAAAATGTTTATCAATGATTTATCTTTTTTTTATTTATGATCCCCATTTCCGATTACTTAGCCAAGCAAGGCCTAAACCCTAGATAAATCTTTAATCTGAATGATCCTACAGTCATCAAGCGTGATAATTTTAGTTCAGAAAATTTTCAGTTAGCTACTCATTGTGATAATTTAAGTTCAGAAAATTTTCAGTTAGTTACTCATGCCTGATTGGATAGTAAAAACTGTAGCACATCTGACAGCAACAGGGCCAGTAAGGAGATTTCATGCTGGTTTTTTTATAATGCAGAAGTTGCTGACCACACCAAACAGTGTACTGGACATTTCCACACACTGTACTGGACATTTCCACACACTGTACTGGACATTCCACACACTGTACTGGACATTTCCACACACTGTACTGGACATTTCCACACACTGTACTGGACATTTCCACACACTGTACTGGACATTCCACACACTGTACTGGACATTTCCACACACTGTAATGGACATTTCCACACACTGTACTGGACATTTCCACACACTGTACTGGACATTTCCACACACTGTACTGGACATTTCCACACAATGTACTGGACATTTCCACACACTGTACTGGACATTTCCACACACTGTAATGGACATTTCCACACACTGTACTGGACATTTCCACACACTGTAATGGACATTTCCACACACTGTACTGGACATTTCCACACACTGTACTGGACATTTCCACACACTGTACTGGACATTTCCACACACTGTACTGGACATTTCCACACACTGTACTGGATATTTCCACACACTGTACTGGACATTTCCACACACTGTACTGGACATTTCCACACACTGTACTGGACATTTCCACACACTGTACTGGACATTTCCACACACTGTACTGGACATTTCCACACACTGTACTGGACATTTCCACACACTGTACTGGACATTTCCCCACACTGTACTGGACATTTCCACACACTGTACTGGACATTAATAAAGAAATAAAATTATTTTAAAAAAATATTTAATTTTGACGTGCCATACTTTCCAGGGTCCTCATCACCCCACTTTGGTAGCCCCTCCCATGGGGTTGTGAAGTTTCATGGAGGACTTTTTATGCCAGTGATAAAACTGTTTGAAGTTTAAAGAGATGTATTAAAACAGGAGGGTATATACAGATAGACTAAATAATACAAAACGTACGGTGTACATAACAAAAGTTGTGGATCTGCTGACAGATCATAGAATTTTAAAGTAGAAAACTGGTTACTTCCCTTTACCAACAGATTAATATTGAAGGGTGGGGTTTTAATCGTCACGCACGAAAAAACCCAAGAGATGACTAAAAGTAACTTGGGAAACTTCATTTTAAAATAATCCTTCGAGGCTACTGTAGTTTATAATCATTTGATTTTAAAAATATTGAATACATTGCACATACACATTTTATGCCCTGCCGGCATCACTAGTCAATATATGGGTGTCTGTGTAAGAAAGGGTGATAATAATATGTTCAAATAGGTAGGCTGATTGACAAATGATTAACGCCCTTGTCGTTTGCGACTATAAAAGCACCAATGCTTCGATAAGCTTCCCGTGTTTCAACATACACTTAGCGCAGAGCATAGCTATCGTTATCTGAGGTAAGTGTTAATAAAGTGGTTTATTATTTGAACTATGGTTTGTAGTTAGTTATTGTTGAAATAGCACTGCTGATATCGTCTGCAAAATATTGCAAATTTAAGTTTGCCGGGTGCACTTAAGTAAGAGAGTTTCTGTTTAATATTATTATTAGTCTTTGTCAAATGTATACGCTTTTGACAATATTTTTTTGTTTTTAAGTTAGAAATACAATTTGTTTTAAATAATTGTTTATTTTGTAATTATACAGTTACATTAAGAGTTTCTTGCTTCAAAATGTAAATAGTTTATTAATCAAACATCATAATTTATGTGAATCAAAAGCTGGTACAAACTGTAGTTATCTTTAAATAGTGGTAATCAATACAGTTCTAGTGGCCTCGACCTTGTGTTGTAAGGCAACAGTCACGTAGTGTTCTTCCAGACACATCGATTCAAGAAAAGTATTTTTTTTTTAATGCTGATCTTAAACATCTATAAATTAAAATAAATTTTTGAAATTATTTTTGAAATGTTGGTTATCAATGTGGTTTTGTAAAATTTATTATTAGATTATTAATTTAAAAAAAAATATTTTCGCTTTGTAGTAGGACTATTTAATACATGTCAATGCAAATTAATTCGTTTATCAATTAGAATGTTACATATTATCTCTGTTTTCAATTATTTGATTTGGATACATTTATTAATTAAATTATTTGTTAAATGTTTGAAACACGCTATCAGTATACGTTTTTTTCTCTTAAATTTATATGTACTTTTTAAATGTTAAAAATTCTGGCAACATTGGTCACGTACAGCCTTGAATTTAGAAAAACATGGGGTGCGCATCGCTTACCGTATTAAAGCTGATAGAAACTACACAAACGCTGAAAATAATTAAAATTAAAGTGACAATTAATGATTCCTATTCTAGGTATTTTAAAATCAACGACCATACTCAATAATAAAAATAAAAATATTAATTTTTTTGGTCGAAGTGTGTTAAGTGGTCAAAGGGAAACAACAAGATATTAATTAGATGAGAAAAAAGGATTTATGTGGTTGCGTCCCTTGACTACCATGTTTTTTTTTTCTATGTTGATGTAAATTCTGTTTTATACCCACACACACACACACACACATACAATGTTAAATAAGCTAGTACTTTAAACAGAAAACTTGAAAGAATAACACAATCTTAAAACGATATTTGGTTATTTCCATAGTTTTCATAGTCTATTATTTAATCAAATGTTTTAAAATAAATATGTTGTTGTTTCCCCTTGACCATGAATTTTATTCTAAACCAAATATTAAAACTGTAAATTGGAATTGTCGATTGAAATTCCTATACTTTTATCATATTCATGACAGAAAGCTACTTATCAATCTGCAAACGCTATATTTAAGGTTTTAAAAACTGCATTTATTTATTTAGTATTCAAACACTAGCATGGTGGTTTATATTAGGATACTTCATAATATATACAGGGTAAATAGATTTTTGATATTTTAAGAATCTTATTTTAAATAAATACAATTAATGTTCAAATGGAGATCATAAATAGTGGGCACCTTAAAGTAAAAAATATTGACTATTGACCGTTAATTGTTTATTCCACAGATTTACAAAAAAAAAAAGAAAATGACCACTTCTGCAAATCTTGTGTCTGTTAAATGGTTGAAAGAGATGATGGTTTCTAGCACTTTAAAGTTTAGAATTTTAGATGGATCTTGGCACCTACCAAGTACTGGAAGAAACGCAGCTTCTGAATATAAAGAACAGCACATTCCTGGAGCTTTGTTCTTTGATATTGATGAGTGTGCAGACAAGTCAAAAAATTTACCACATATGATTCCTTCACCTGAATTTATGGAAGATTATGTGGGTGCATTGGGAATCACCAATGATACCTATATCATAGTTTATGATAATAACCCCCAGTTTCCTCTGTTTTCTGCTCAGCGAGTTTGGTGGATGTTTAGGTTGTTTGGTCATACCAAAATATCCATCCTAGAAGGTGGTTTGCCAAGTTGGTTATCTCAAGGTGGACAAGTTACAAGTGATGTTATACATGTGCCAAGAGAGAAATTTGTAGCAAAGTTCAATAAAAATCTACTTAAAACAATGGATGAAGTAGAAAAAAACATAGAAAACCCAGAGTTTACTTTACTAGATGCCAGACCAGAAGGTCGGTTTAAGGGACAAGCGCCAGAACCACGTTCAGGTAGAATTTGTTTGTATTGATAACATAATTAAATTTCATCAATCTCAGAATATAACTTTAGCTTTAATTTAATAGGAAATTAGACATATTTTAAAATATCACAGCACTTAATTATTTGAAATTAAAGTGAAAATTCATTAAATAATTAAAACTTGAAAATATCACTTGACAGATACCAAGCCAGGATGTATAATGAACTCGACCAATATCCCTTTCATGAACACCATGAATTTAGAGCAGAGAGTAATGAAATCTCCAGAAGAACTCAAACAGTTGTTTGAAGATGCTGGAGTAGATCTAACCAAGCCCATAGTTGCATCTTGTGGATCAGGTAAAGTATGAAGCTATAACTCTAATGTTTTGTTTTATTTTAAAGCTGAACTTTTGAACAGAATATTACTAAAACATTTGTAGGCCCACATATAAATTTTCTAAATACATGTAAAAGATTATCCTAAACATATTGTGTTCTGCATAGTATATGATGATTTTTGTAAAATACGTTAAAATTTACATAAACAGTCCTTACATATATTTATATATATAAATGTATGAGATTATTTATTTATCTGTATCTCGAAACGTTTCTTTTGACAGGAGTGTCAGCATGCATACTAGCTTTAGCTGCATCAATTGCAGGCAAAGATGATGTTGCAATATATGATGGGGCTTGGACAGAATGGTTTCATTATGGACCAGCACAATTCAAGTTAAATGTTCCAGAGTAATGCATGACATTGTAGGCCAAAATATTCTATTTCTGTCTGAATAAAGTAACCATATTGCCTGTATTTTAAACATTTTAAGCTAATATTATTTATATATGAATAAATTCCATTATATATATTCATATATATATGCATATATATATATGCGCATATATATGCATATATATATATATATATATATATATATATATATATATATATATATATATATATATATATATATATATATATATATATATATATATATATATATATATATATATATATACACTATACACATAGATATTTATGTTGCAGAAAATATTAAATAGAAAAAAACATCCATCTATAATGCTAATTTCTGTTCTTGTCAATATTGTGAGGATTCAGAAATTTTTTGAAAAATGCAAAAATCCTTGTAATCTGTCAAGCTCAAGTAGAGAAAATGTCTTGATTCTTTTTTGTATTTTTGTTGTGAAATAAAGTTAATATAATTTAAAACAGTTGTGCACATAAATATTAATTTCTTTAGTATTATCACTAGACTCAATATTCTTGTTAAAGGATTTATTATTTATGAAGTCTCAAAACTAAGCTAATCAAGCAACATAAGTTGAAATTTTTTACTTCTCCTGTTGTACAAGAAAGTAAGTTAGCTTTATACTCTTCTATTAGTGAACCTGGAGTCCACAGTGGACAGCTGGAGCAGAAAGGGTTAATATCTGACATGGTTGCTGAGATCAGTGTAAAATCTATGGCACTACAAGTACAGGGTTGTTGGGCAGAGAGTGTATGATTGCTAAACTAAATGTCCCGAAATTGGACCCTCGGTCAGATGCTCGTTAGCTGAAAAAACTCAAATAAACCAGTTTTTGCTTCAAAGAATTTTCTTGGTAGAACTAAAGTGATGGAAGAACATCGAGAAAATAAAGCCGGCTAATAGTTTGATTTCCTTTAATACACTATTTATGATAATAACCCCTATTCCAAATTCGTTCATTTAACAATTCATCATTGCCTACAACAAATGAATAATTAGGAAATAATATTTTAAAAGAAACTTTATTCTTTAAAAACTTTATTCTTTAAAAATAAAGCACAAAATGAAATTCAACATCCACAAAATAGAAAATACACATTGGTGTTTGTAAATTTCTGTGTATAAAAATTCAAACTTATTTATACTTGTATGAATAATTGGAATAGAATGTTTAAAATATATTATATTATATATGTAATTTTAAAGTAAATTTTCATGAAGCCTTGTACAGATCTACCTGAAAAACACTGTTCAGTCTGAAAGGAAATTCTCTCTACACTTCAAAATGTTTTTGTAAAAAATATGTTATCTTAGTTTACACAGTAAAGAAAAAGAAATTGATAGAGTTATCAAAACATTTGTAGTGTTTACTTTTTGTATTTAGTCATTAAAAAAAAATCTAATTAAAAACAAAACATTCATAGATCTATATAATAGAATATCTGAATTTTGTCATTCTTTGCTAAATACTTTACCACGATGGAAACAGAGTTATGTAATAAACATATGGAAGAAAAAACCAATACAAATAGCAGGATTCCAAAAATTGTTTGTTTAATTAAAACAATCACTGTCCAAATAATTCAATGCACAGAATAAAAAAACAACTTTGTTGTATGCCATTGAGTTAGCAACAATGTATTTTGCAATCATAACAAATATTATTCTATTAAGTAATAATTTTTATAGTTCCGTTGTTTTTGGTTTGATTGGAATGTAATTTTTTTAAAAATTTTGACATCAAATTACAAAATAGCTGAGATGCCTGACCTGTTGACGCCTTCTCATGCCCCATTTTGCTGAAGCCGCAAAGCGCTCCTAAGAAAAGAATTGGCCCTTCTGATTGGCTCTCTGGGCGAGGGTTCAAACCCTTGTTGTATATAGTCTGCCTCTTTCAGCAAAAGTGGCGGCATTTTCAACCCCTGGTTCGGGAAATTTAAAATCCCATCACCTTTGGTTTGGGGTGTGTCGGGTATTCCCGACCCCTTGAAGTAAGCCCGTGCCGTGTCGGGGGAGATCCCGGTTGTGGGTAAATGCTTGATGAACTCCTGCGCCATGGCGGTCTCTGCTGCTCTGTTCTCCGCGTTGATCTGACTTGCGTCTTTCCACAAGCTTCTCAGCGTGTGTAGCCTGTCTAGCAGCGACAAGGTACTTACGTCGTTGACCCCAGCTCCCCAAGATGGCGCAGAGAACACGCCCCCGGTGTTGACGGTTGGGATCTCCCCCGCTGCCAACGCCTCGTTAGACCAGGATTCCAACAGACCGCCGATTTTCCAGGATCTGGGGATGTTGTTGTACATAGCGGGGAGGGAGGAGAAAGGAATGAAGAATTTGTCTGGGAACACGAGCAGAGGCACTCGTACGTCGCCCACTGAGCTGCCGTAGGAGTGGCCGCTCATGTCTGGCAGACTGGCCGTCAGACGATGACGTATGGCGTCGAGCTTGCTCTTAAAGGTCTGCGAGGGGTCGGAGTATTCGTTGGCCAGCATTGGAACCTTGCGCACGGTGCCGATCTCATTGATGCGCTCGATGTACTTTGGCTCTGTTTCAATTGGGAATTTTAAATATTTTTTATAATAAAATTATGAAGACGTAACGTAAACGATAAATTCCCTTTGTATTACAATACTTTATTATTAGTAACGTTACAATAGAAAACAGTTTACTAACTGCTACAAATCAACCAACTGAAACAAATTTTTGTTACGACAAAATAAAACAAAAATTTAATTGTCAATTATCCACAAAATTTTTATAACTAAGTTTTTTCACTTTCAAAATAGAACTATGAAGCTATTTAAAATACGACCAAGAAAAAATTTAGGCTATAAAATAGCAAATGGTGATAACAGTTTCCTTTATATAATTTTAAAAGATAAGTGTATGATTTAATCTAATTTGTAAACAGCATATTTCTCTTTTATAGCTGTACACCTATGGGCCAATGTCAGCAAGCTATTATCTATAGACCTATACCAACTTACTAGTGCGAACAAACTATTATCTGTAGACCTATGTACCAACTTACCAATGTGAACAAGCTATTATTTCTAGACCTATGTACCAACTTACCAATGTGAACAAGCTATTATTTCTAGACCTATGTACCAACTTACCAATGCATATACACAGCTGTGAGTAGTAGATCATGTTCTCCGGGCAAGCCACTGGCTGCTGCAGCAAGGGTACCCCAAAACACATCCCTGGTATAGAGGGGAGAATTAGCATTGAAAGAACGTAACATTCATAAACACATCCCTGGTATAGAGGGGAGAATTAGCATTGAAAGAACGTAACATTCATAAACACATCCCTGGTATAGAGGGGAGAATTAGCATTGACAGGACTTACAACCCCAAAACACATCCCTGGTATAGAGGGGAGAATTAGCATTGACAGGACTTACAACCCCAAAACACATCCCTGGTATAGAGGGGAGAATTAGCATTAACAGGGAACACCAAAACACATCCCTGGTATAGAGGGAAGAATTAGCATTAACAGGGAACACCAAAACACATCCCTGGTATAGAGGGGAGAATTAGCATTAACAGGGAACACCAAAACACATCCCTGGTATAGAGGGAAGAATTAGCATTGACAGTAAACACCAAAACACATCCCTGGTATAGAGGGGAGAATTAGCATTAACAGGACTTACAACCCCAAAACACATCCCTGGTATAGAGGGGAGAATTAGCATTGGGACGTACAACACTGTAATCTATTTATCAATTGCACACGAAGGGGGAGGTATTCGGAAAAGTCGACTTCGGATGGCGCATGTGGGCGTATACGGCCTGAGGGTGGTGGTGGTGGTAGTGTGTTTGTGGGGGGGGGGAGTGTCCATGGTATTTATGTTAATAAAGTAGTAACTGAAACAGAAATATAACTAATAAAAAACACTATTTTTTACGGACGTCATAACCCGTTGTACCACTAAGCATAAAAGACGAAATATTTTTTCCCACTATTACTAATCTGTGATCTAGGGGCGAATAACAATTACCCTCTACCCGCCCCTCCTCAATATAATCTAATACATTTAACAGGATGGACGAACACATGACTTTTTTATGTATCTAAAGCATCGTGTTGTGTGTAGCTGTAGTGTGTAGCTGTGTTATGTTGTGTGTGAAGTTGTGTTATGTTGTGTGTAGCTGTGTTATGTTGTGTGTGTAGTTGTGTTATGTTGTGTGTGTAGTTGTGTTATGTTGTGTGTAGCTGTGTTATGTTGTGTGTGTAGCTGTATGTTGTGTGTAGCTGTGTTATGTTGTGTGTGTAGCTGTGTAATGTGTGTAGCTGTATGTTGTATGTAGCTGTGTTATGTTGTGTGTAGCTGTATGTTGTATGTAGCTGTGTTATGTTGTGTGTAGCTGTGTTATGTTGTGTGTAGCTGTGTTATGTTGTGTGTAGCTGTGTTATGGTGTGTGTGTAGCTGTGTTATGTTGTGTGTAGCTGTATGTTGTATGTAGCTGTGTTAACTTGTGTTTGTAACTGTGTTATGTTGTGTGTAGCTGTGTTATGTTGTGTGTAGCTGTATGTTGTGTGTAGCTGTATGTTGTATGTAGCTGTGTTATGTTGTGTGTAGCTGTGTTATGTTGTGTGTAGCTGTGTTATGTTGTGTGTAGCTGTGTTATGGTGTGTGTGTAGCTGTGTTAAGTTGTGTGTGTAGCTGTGTTATGTTTTGTGTAGCTGTATGTTGTATGTAGCTGTGTCATGTTGTGTTTGTGTGTAGCTGTATTTTGTATGTGTTATGTTGTATGTAGCTGTGTTATGTTGTGTTTATTTGTAGCTGTATGTTGTATGTGTTATGTTGTGTGTAGCTGTGCTATGTTGTGTGTAGCTGTATGTTGTATGTAGATGTGTTATGTTGTGTGTTGTGTGTAGCTGTATGTTGTATGTAGATGTGTTATAGTATGTGCTGTGTGTAGCTGTGTTATGTTGTGTGTGTAGTTGCGTTATGTTGTGTGTAGCAGTATGTTGTGTGTAGCTGTGTTATGTTGTGTGTAGCAGTATGTTGTATGTAGCTGTGTTATGTTCTGTATGTAGCTGTGTTATGTTGTGTGTAGCTGTGTTATGTTGTGTGTAGCTGTGTTATGTTGTGTGTAGCTGTATGTTGTATGTAGCTGTGATATGTTCTGTATGTAGCTGTGTTATGTTGTATGTAGCTGTATGTTGTATGCAGCTGTGTACGAGAAACTTACCATGAGCCACTGTGATGACAGCAGCTGACAAGACTATCTGGAGCCACATATTGCACAGACTAACTTGGTGTTCTGTAACAACACAAGAATTCGATCTTTCATAACTCGATCCTCATAATAACATATTAAACTAAGCGTTTTATGGATAGTTTATATTGTGATAATGTTATGCATTATAGAGGTGGTGTACATGTGGTCCCATAGATATATTTTATACTTTAAAATCTCAGTGTATTATTATATAGAGACCAAAGTTGGGTTTCATAAATCTATTCCAGAGTCAAGCAACTCGCTATATCACGAAGAGTCAAAGACAGATAAACGAGCCAAACTTCCTTATGAAAGCGGCTTAACATTGTGACAACATCAAAAGCTGGAAGTGACACTGGGGTCATGTCCAGTATCAAAGTGTACACAATTTATTTTTACGTCACCACGCAGGTGTTTCTACTTGTTAGTATGGCTTATGCCCCTTGCCAGTCAACGCTAAATGTGTTTTTTTTACCTGTTATTAGACTTGTATGGATTATGCCCCTTCAGCTGTGCATGTGTGTGGGTCTGTATGGGTTATGCTTCTTGCTAGTCAAAGATGCTATGTTTTTACTAGTTATTAGGCCAGTATGGCTTATGCCCCTTGCTATGTAAATGTGCTTATAATTATGTATATTCTACAGACATCAAAAACATTTTCGATGATTAAATCCGAGTGTCTTCTAAAGTAACAATATCTACACAATTACTTCTCTAAACTCCATGTTAACACTGACGGCTAATCTGAAATAAACCGCTTTTGAAGACTGCGTCATGTTCTTAAAATTACCGATGCCTAATAACTATACCAACTATACTATACATCTTGTTACGTACAACTTACCAAAAATCCCGAAAAAAAACCTCAGCTGAATTACAGAAGTAGAAGTGCCCAGATTGGGATACGTTAAGATACACCGCTGTGCATCAGCAGTGGGTGTGAGAGCGGTTGGGCAGCTTCGCCTGGCTCTTTAAACTGGCGTGAGAATTTACGACCTCCAACCACAGTCTCGTTTGGACAAGAAAAAAGATGGCCTACAGACGTCTGCTCCAGATTTGTAATAATTTAATCGGTTAGAGTCGGGCCTAGAGAGCGTCCATATTTTACCCGCGCTGACACTTGGGTAATCTTGTAAACATATAACATGGATCCAACGTTGACGGTGCGTGAATGCTAATTAAGACGTTGCAGATTTTCTGCATAAATTGTCGCTAAATTGTCCGTTTGTAGATAGAAACGAATTTACTTTTTTGTTCAAAGTTTTACTGTTTATAATCTACTTTATACTTATCTTTAGTTTTACGGTTGTTTCCAAATTTTACTATTATCTTGAAAGGTGTATAGAATTATACAAACAACTTAAATGGGTATAACGAAAGTTCAAGTGCTAAAACAAGCTTAAAAATAACTAGCCTTATCAACAGGATACTGCCAGTATTTTGGGGATAGTATAATATTATATTTGGGTATCTTACACTGCTTTCAATTGCCAGGTGTTTGTCAAATTAAGAGACGAACTTTTACATTTGCTTTAAAAAAAAACCCACCTGGGCTTCTAATAAAAAAATTTAAGAGTCTGCTAAAACAGAGTTAAAATGAAACAATGTTTTTAACAGACGAATAAGGTTAATTAAAATAGTATATTTGTTTGAGAAATGCTGCACTTTAAAAAAATTAAGAAAAATACAAATGTGTACATCTTTGTATTGTAAGAAGAACAATTTCCGAACTATGTTAGCGCGGCGAGGAAATGTAATCTACTAACTTCCTGGGATAAATCACAACGTCTGAATGCAATAAGTTTACCTCAGTCTCACAAAGTTTCAAAATATTTTTAAATTAAATTTTTCACAAAGATATCGTTATAAGAAAACGGTATAATTTATTTACAGAGAGAAGATCCCTGTTGTATTTTTAATCAGGTGATAGGCTCGTTTAACTCAGCGGCTCTCCATTGTAAGTCCCTTAATACGTTTTGGTCTTATTTCTTGCACAAATTAATTAAAAGTAGCCCTAAAAAGCATTTAGACGTATACTTTTATGACGAGTAGCCACACTCTATGACATACACAGAAGTGATTTGCTAGTAGCCTCAACATACATTTAGACATATATTTTTAAGTCGTGTAACAATATCCCATGACATACACTCTGTATCGTTTTTGTAACATTTCAAGCCGAGCCGAAACATTCCTCTCTCTAAGAGATTTAAATAATTTACTTTCTTATTCTCATCGTTTCACTATGATGGATTAGTCCTTGTCTAAACTTAAGACTAGACCTAGTTAGCAGCAATCATGCATTCATTAATGTCCCGACACACACACACACACAATGTGCTACATATTGTCAGTTAATTCCCGACACACATACACACAGTGTGCTACATCTTGTCAGTTAATTCCCGACACACACACACACACACAATGTGCTACATCTTGTCAGTTAATTCCCGACACACACACACAATGCGATACATCTTGTCAGTTAATTCTCGACACACACACACACACACACACACACACTGTGATACATCTTGTCAGTTAATTCTCGACACACACACACACACTGTGATACATCTTGTCAGTTAATTCTCGACACACACACACACACTGTGATACATCTTGTCAGTTAATTCCCTACACAACAGCTTTATTCCGTGTACACTTGTATCTAGTCATCACAGCTAAGCCGGGCGTTTTTAAATAGCTCACTCAAAGAGGGAGCAAAATTAATGAGATGCACTTTTCTAATGTAGAATGAATTAAATTAATGGTTTTTGACGCTTCGTGACAATTAAACCTAAAGGTTAATGTTATATACAAACTTCAAAAGGTATTTTTAAAAACTAATTAGGTTACAAATGTGATTTTTTTTCAGCGTGTTTTAGAATTTCCATTATCTAATTTTCAAAAATTAAAATAATTGAAAAGTCACTTTAAGTCTAATATATATATATATATATATATATATATATATATATATATATATATATATATATATATATATATATATATATATATATATATATATATATATATATATATATATTCCAACAATTGGTATTTATTTTTTTAACTCAACACTGCATAATGTTAACAACGTGCATATAAAACTCACCTTCTTTTCACAAACTTAACATACAGCTCCACCGCATATCGCGTCCACCTAAACTAAACCTTTTCTGTTTTTCACCAATTTTTTTAAAGCGGTTGCTAAAGGAAGCGTGCGTTGTCTCCCTTCACTGGAGTTACTGTCCCTGCAAGGATTTTCTCCTTTTCCCTGACATGATTTGTACGCTTTTGGAATTTAAATGACAGTATGACAGCCTAAATTAAAATTAGAAATGAAGTAAGAAAACAGAAACTACGACTTTTAGGGTGTTTACAGAAAAAAACTATTTTATTTGAATATTAAAATAATGTTTTTAAAGAAAAATAAATTAAACTTAAAACATTTTTTTTTTGTTTATCTAAAAGTAAACTAAAATTTTATATTTGGATGAAATACATGTTTTATATTTAGTTTGAAATAATATTAGATTCCAACAAAGGAAGCCACAGAGACCATTGTTTTTAAATTAATAATAATAATAAAAAAATAGTTTTTATCTACGATCTATGAATGGGATAATTGATTCAGCCTGTTAAACAATATACTGTGTTTAAATTACACACAATTAAAAAATTACACTAAAATAGTCGCTAGAGCCCTAGTCTAGGCACTAAATTTGGCCATACACTAAAAAATAGGCTCGAAAATATAATACTTATATATTACATCTGTAATATCAAGTAATTTATTATTTAAAATAACTAAAATACATGTCAGCTGTAGATTTAGTTTCATCAATTATATCTATTTTTTGTTTTTAGCACTTGACAGCCATTATACGCTACGGAATAAATGTAAACGTCATACCACGTGACACCCCTCGTTTCTCATGCACAGTAAACCGTTTTATACGTTGTTAATTAAATGCTCGTGTCGTCATAAATTTTTAGCCCGTGTGTACAGCTGGCTTGGTTTTAATTTAAAATTGTAAGGGGCAGACAAGCACATAGAAATGTTGCCTGATATATTTAGGGGCAGACAAGCACAAAGAAATGTTGCCTGGTATTTTAATAAAAGGGCAGACAAGCAAATAGAAATGTTGCCTGATATATTTAGGGGCAGATAAACTCATAGAAATGTTGCCTGATATTTTAATAGTAGGGGCAGATAAGCACATAGAAATGTTGCCTTATATTTTAATAGAAGGACAGACAAACACATAGAAATGTTGCCTGATATTTTAAGAGTAGAGGCAGATAAGCACATAGAAATGTTGCCTGATATTTTAAGAGTAGAGGCAGACAAGCACATAGAAATGTTGCCTGATATTTTAGTAGTAGAGGCAGATAAGCACATAGAAATGTTGCCTTATATTTTAATAGAAGGACAGACAAACACATAGAAATGTTGCCTGATATTTTAAGAGTAGGGGCAGACAAGCACATAGAAATGTTGCCTAAAATATTAATAGTAGGTGCAGATAAGCACATAGAAATGTTGCCTGATATATTTAGGGGCAGACAAGCACATAGAAATGTTGCCTGATATTGCAATAGTAGAGGCAGATAAGCACATAGAAATGTTGTCTGATATTGCAATAGTAGAGGCAGATAAGCACATAGAAATGTTGTCTGATATTGCAATAGTAGAGGCAGATAAGCACGTTGCAATGTTGCCTGCTTTTTAAATAGTTTAAATGAACAGATATCCATATAGAAATGTTTATGCATATGTTAATAGTTTAAGTAAAGGAGCAGACATGCTAATAGTAATATGTTTATAGTTTAAGGAAACAGATGTGAACATAAAATGTAGCTTTATATGTTAATACTTTAAGACGATACTGGAATGACAAGCTGTGTGGCTTTGTAGCTTGGTGTCTCTTTGAAGTAAGCATTTAATTTTAAGGCTTACATTTTCGTCTTTTCTAAACACACATACACACAGACACACACACACACACACACACACACATATATATATATATATATATATATATATATATATATATATATATATATATATAAACCCCGTGTTATTCGAAAAATGTCATTCTTTAATCAGAAAAACAATTTATTATTTTAAAAAATCCCTGTGTTTGTACATATTATTGAAAATTGTCTTATTTTGTACGTTTTAGCGTTCGTTCCAGGAAAAAGCAGACGTGCGCCGTATCACTAACGAGGCTAACGCGAGCAAATAGTCCCATAAAATCTCGCGAGACTGTCAGAGCGTGACAAGCGTATCTTATTTTATCAAAGCTTCTCTCCCGACGTTCTAAGGCATTAAGGCTATTCCCGCTTTCAGATATTTTCTTTTTATTTAAAAGTTATGGCGCAGATATTACATAGTGCAATAGACCCCTACTCCAGGGGCGGATTAAGCTTGAGCGGGGCCCCCGGCTGAAAATTTTTTTAGGGCCTCCCATATATATATATATATATATATATATATATATATATATATATATATATATATATATATATATATATATATATATATATATATATATATATATATATATATATATATATATATCTTGTAATTTAAAACGATCGTTTGACTAACAGAAGTACACGTCTGTAGAAATTTTTAAAAAAAAAGTTATTTTTTGTAAGAGCGAATTTGGGGGGGGGGGGGGGGGGGGGGGGGGCTTAACCGTAACATGCTGCTTGTTTGGATGGTTGCGAATGAGATTTAATAAACAGTGTAGACCCAATGCCTAACATTTGTGATTTATGCTATGGTTACTACCTGACTACACAATCTGGCGTTATCTGACAAAATGACTTTCAAATTTCTGTCTTACTATTTTAAAGAGGGTCAATCGTAGGCCCTAAACGTTTTTGTCTGAATTCTGCTGCTGTTTGTAGTTTTTTTTTTGTGAAGTGAAATTTACTATGGTTTGTAAGTAAAAATTGGGGAGCCCTTAAAATTCGTGGGGCCCCTGAGTGCAACCCTATCAGCCCCCCCCCCCCCCGCTTAATCCGCTACTGCCCTACTCTGTTTATTATACCGTGCTTTCTCTAACCTCAAAAAAGTAAATTCGTAGCCTATAAGAATTCTTTTTACATTTAATAAATGGCGTCCTAATCATACTAAACGGAGGAAAGTACTTGATGCCCTTTACACAGACAAAATGAATGTTTTGTGCGCTCATAAAAAAATTACACCCCCTCCCCCATTCCCCAGCAGAAAATGTTGTTTATGCGCCTATTTAAAATTAACAAAGCCTGTATATTCTGACAGTTAAAATCTCTACCACAACCATGCTTTGACGCATGTAGAATAGACCGAATACATTTGAAAGTGCGTCTTAATAAAACAACTCGCGATAAACAATAGGCCGTCACGTGACTTAAAAAAATAATATCGTAGAGATGCATAGGCCTACAAAAACAGATTGTTAACCAGCTAAAAAAAAATTCACTAAAACAATATTTTTTAAATTTATGAAACGGTTTTCGCTGTTGTTGCAGGAACTATTTTTGTAGTTATGGAAGCTTTCTACACAAATTACGAATTCGGCGACAGTGACAAAAACACAAGTAAGGTCTTGTAAAAAAACAACAGTTCTTTATTTGCAAGTTATACAATCAATATATGTGAATAGCAAATCTTATCTCTTAATTAGTGAATTTTAATTTTAAAAAATATATGAAGAGAAGTGTAAGATTACAAAGAAAGTGTGACTCGTATCAAGATAGTTAAGACGTCTCATTTGCATCTAATTTCGCATGTGCAGACTGAAACTAGGTCAAGTTAAACCAGTTTTTAGACCGGTTGAGTCGTGTACAGAATGCTGCGGTTTTGGGTTTGGTTAGGCAAGGACCAAGTAATAGATGACTCCTTGAGGTCCCTGACTCCTCCCAACTTTGTCCAGTAGTAGATGACTCCTAGAAGTGATTGGCTAAACAAAGACACCGACTCTGCCGTTTCGAGAAATTGATAGGTAGAATTCAGTCAAAAATTGTAAGGGTCTATTCCTTTAGTAAACATCGTGTTTTTCTTCAAAAGGAATTATCATGATAGCGATTTTTATTTGACCTAACGTGACGACACATTTTCAGAATAATAATTGTCTTTTAAGCTATAAAGAAGTGGTAGCTAAATGTCACATTTCACTGTCACAACTTAATTACGTCACGCTTTTTTGACGATTTTTTTACCTCCCTCCCACCCGCTGTCACACATCGTCACAAAAAAGTCAGATTTTTTAAAAATATTGACTGAACTCGGTTAAATTTCTGTTTACAATTTATTAAAACAATTATCTAAAACGCGAAATAACGGTTACAATTCGGTATCAGCTAATACTTTTTAAAAATGCAAAAGTGTGACATCACTATGGGAACCCCTCTCCCTCTTCACACATCGGCCCAAATTTCGGACTCCCTCTACTAGTGTGACGTCATTTATGGACGACCCCCCCCCCCCCCAAAAAAAAAAACAACACTTTTGTTGAACTGTATTTCTAAATATTTAAATAAGTATTGAAAATATTTTTTTGCAATAATTAATACATTCATAATAAATTCAACCATGAAATAAGGATGTTGCCTAAAATACTATTATGTTCTAACAAAATATTAACACACTAAACTTATAGATCTAGCAGCAGGTAGAACAATTACAAAAGTGAGAAGCACTACGGTAGGCCAAGTTTAATTTGTTCTATCTGAAATTCTCACTGATGGAAGATCTAGACATTTATTATTATACACCCGATCCCCCCCTCCCCCCATCTCGGTGAGTATGAGATTTGTTGCATTTTTTTTTCTCTCAATGAATGTGAGATTTGTTGCATTGCTACTTTAAAATTCAGCTGTGTTTTGGTGAGTATTGCTCCTCGATTCAGGTTATTACGGCATTTTACGGTTCAAACAAAATTCTATTTTCTAAACCCTGGTCTGTAAGTAGGGAGATTCTTTCAAAATAAATCAGAGTAGGAAAAGACCATTCTATGTATTGTAAGATAACTATTTCTTTATTAGTCATTATTTTCTTTATATATATACACTGTAAAATAAAGCTAGATTCAATGGACTCAACCGAGAATAGTCTCAAAATTACTCGAAAAGTCCGATAATATATTTTTTTTTAATCATGCACAATGTTAATAAAAACAAATATGATTATAACAATCTTAGTGATGTTTGTTGGACTTTACTAAAGCTTGGATGTAATTGATGTTTTAGTATTTAAGCGATAATTTTAAAAAACACCATTTATTTTGAATTCTTTTTTTTTTTAAAGGAGGGTTTTCGGAATATCGATCACAGAATTTCCGTAGACTTTAGAGTTTAGAGCCAATCAATGTTTGAAAGAACAGGTTATTACTTTGGTTTGAGGAAAATAAATAGAAACGTAGCCTTAAACTAAAAAAAATATATATTTTATTTTTTCAGGGTTTTTACTTTGATTGCAATATCTAAAAAAAAAATAAATAACACGTTTTTAACCGTGTCAACTTGGTAAGGTCCATTCTATAAATAACCCATTAATTTAAATAATGAAAAGTGTGTAGTAGTGTAGTTATTCATATTCGGTAAATTTGACCAACTGGCAATATGTCCACAACATAAAACCATTTTGTTTATATTTACTTTTGCGGTTTTTGTCGGATAAAAAGATCAGCTACTTCCGATTCAACCTTGTGATCAGCTGTGCCACTCGGTGGGCATTGGATTTCTTTTTTATCAATAAATTAAATTTGGCTTTCAATGGACGAATGTACTCTGTCTATATGGGAAAACACAATAAAAATTATTTTAAAAGATTGTAAAGCTATTTCAACACTTATAATAACTCAAACGTAAACACTTAAGTCAACTGCAATAAGTAAAATATAGCACATTGATTCACGGCGCTTGTAAATTGTTCTAAAACATAGTAAAGTAATATGATTATTAAAGGCTACATTATAAATATTTGATTATATTACGAGCAAATTCATTCATATGAGAGCTATTTATTTATCCGTAAATCAATCATGCCCATGGAATTTTATTTTTGTAAGCATAAAAGGAAAACTAATTAATAAAATTAATTTGATCTTACAAAGACTACTGATATTTTCGCTAGCTAATAAATAAGGACAGAAAACTGGCAACCAAGCTCGTGAGTGTTCGTGACCATCACATGATCAACAACTCTGCAAGATGGCAACGACGATCAAAATAAATGCTCATCATAATGGTCCTTTAAGCGATAAAGCCGCTCAAAGAACTCACAAATTAGCCGTAACACGAGATTATATTTCTCAACCCAGGCTTAGTAAGTATTTTTTATTTAAATTTCAAGATTTTGGGTCTTCAGTAAGTTAGGTATTTTGAAAGTGAGAGCGAGTTTAAAAAAATATTTTCACATATGATTTTGCTTCGTTTCAAAGTAACTTTTAACTTTTAATTAGAGTTGTCTTCAGTTTTGTTTCTTAATTACTGTAAAAATTAATACTAATGTTGTTTTATACCAAGAGTATTTGTAAAATAATGGTTACTAAAGCTATCAATTACGGTATATTAAAGAAATTTGAGTGATCTGGATTTCATAATGTTCTGTTGAGACTGCTGTCCTGCTGAGTCTATTCTAAATTTTGTCTGATTCTAAAGTTTGCCTCTACTCTAGATCTATGCATTAGTAAGAAGTTCTTTCTACAAATGCAATTTTTAATCTAGTAACAATAATCTTGCATAGGCCAATTTAGCTTTAAAATTTTGTTGCATTAGATTTTAGATGCTGTTTTGGGACTACAAGAATATAACAAGGCATTTACAAAGAAATTACCCTAGGCCCTACACTCATAAGTCTAGACAGGCTGAATTTAGACAGTTCATCTTTGGGACATGAGTTTTTGATTTGTAGTAATTGCAAAAAATGTATCTCTCGCGGTTAACCAGAGGCATCAAATAAACCATGATGCTGTAGGCCTATATAACTAGTATACTGTTCTTTCATTTGGTTTTTATTTTTAACATAACAGCTTTATTGCACTTTTTATATAATGCATAAAACAATGATCTAATTCAATATTGCGTAGCCCCTTTTTTTAAATTTAGGATTTTACGATTTTTGTTAGTGATTCAACTTGTTGAGGTTGTCACATTTTGTCTTAAACTTGTTGGCCTTTATGCTCTATTCTTTATTTTTGTGTAAAATGTGTTTACTTGGTTAAAAATGGGTTATAATGGTTCTATCTTTAAGATGTTAAATTTTAGACTACTTGTTAAGCATTTATTAAAAGGTCACCTTGACTGTGACCTATGTTCATGCATGATTTGCTTTTGATGGATTTTAAAACTCATCTAGCATTGGATTAAGGTTTAGGTTTGTTATGCTTACAAAATAATAAAGCCTACTGTTCTTCAAACAAGTACAAAAACCTTTAAAACTATTTTTCTAATGGCAATTTTGTTTTATACAGCATACAAAACTGTTTCTGGTGTCAATGGGCCCTTGGTTATCTTGGACAATGTCAAGGTATACTAATTTTTTTTAAAATAATTTTTAACAGTACTGTACACCCTTCTGTTTCACTTTTTAATTCAATTGTTTTTCTCTATAGTTTCCAAAGTTTGCAGAAATTGTTAATTTGGTACTGGCTGATGGCTCTCAGAGATCAGGACAAGTTTTGGAAGTTATGGGCTCAAAAGCTGTTGTCCAGGTCATTATTTTAAGTAATTGTTATAATTTACATCAGTTTTTATCAAGATGTGTACGTTGTGTGTTTGTAACACTTATAATTTGTCTATTTTAAAAAATCTTTTATAGGTATTTGAAGGTACATCAGGTATTGATGCCAAACATACCCAGTGTGAATTTACTGGTGATATTTTAAAGATGCCAGTTTCTGAAGATATGTCAGGTATGGATTGTCCTTTTTGTTTTCATCTTTCCATTTCTCAGTGCATGTTGGCATATTGACATTATTTACTTTCTCTTTGCTAAAGGTCGAATTTTTAATGGATCTGGAAAACCTATAGATAATGGACCAGCTGTCTTGGCAGAAGACTTTTTGGATATTCAAGGTACATTTCTGATTAAAAATTTTTTAATGAGTTTAAGGAGGTCACTGTTTAAAAACACATCATAATTTATTTATTTTTTGCCAGGTCAACCAATTAATCCATGGTCTAGAATTTATCCTGAGGAAATGATTGAGACTGGCATATCTGCTATTGACACCATGAATAGTATTGCTCGTGGTCAAAAGATTCCAATTTTCTCAGCTGCTGGTCTCCCACATAATGAAGTAAGTTTTCTGATACTGTAAACACTGTACATGTGGAAATGATGCCTAAAATGTATTGACCAAAGCTTTTAGTGTTCCTGGGATAACTTTCCCTGTGTGGTTTTAACAAGTATATTGATTTAATGTAAATTCTATTTATAGATTGCCGCCCAGATCTGTCGACAAGCTGGTCTGGTCAAACTTCCTGGTAAAAGTGTACTGGACAGTCATGAAGATAACTTTGCCATTGTTTTTGCTGCTATGGGGGTAAGATTTTTGGTACAGTTGTAATTTTTAGAAAGGAATGTTGCCATAGCATTGGATTGAAACTTTATTTTATGTTTAGGTTAACATGGAAGCTGCCAGATTTTTCAAACAAGACTTTGAAGAAAACGGCTCTATGGAAAATGTGTCACTGTTTTTAAATTTAGCCAACGATCCAACGTGAGTATAATGAAATTTATATAAATTTTTTTGTTTGCCTTAAAACTTCTTCCAGTGTTTTATAAGGTTTAAAAAAATTTGTTTTTCCATAGCATTGAGCGTATTATTACCCCACGTATTGCTCTGACAACCGCTGAATATTTGGCATACCAGTGTGAGAAACATATTCTTGTCATCTTGACAGATATGAGCTCCTATGCTGAGGCCTTGAGAGAGGTGGGTTTTAACCTATATAATTTCTATTTTAAATTCAAGGTGGCATGTGGAAAAGTTTTTTGTTGTTGTTGTTGACAGGTCTCTGCTGCCAGAGAAGAGGTGCCAGGTCGTCGTGGTTTCCCAGGTTACATGTACACTGATTTGGCTACTATCTACGAACGTGCTGGCCGTGTTGAAGGCAGAAACGGCTCTATTACTCAGATTCCTATTTTGACCATGCCAAATGACGGTAACTTGCTTTTCCTGTGTGCTGTTCCTATTTAAGTAATTGTTGCAGGTATATCTGATTTCCTTAACACAATTCTCCCATATTTTTACAGACATTACCCATCCCATTCCTGATCTTACTGGTTACATTACTGAGGGTCAAATGTATGTGGACAGGCAGCTTCACAACAGACAGGCAAGTTATTTACTTAGATATAGATTCTATAATTATTTTTGCTATTATATAGCACTAATCCAGTGTAGTAATTGCAGAGGCAAAAGTGCCCTTTCCAACCTCAAGATTCATGGGGCAGGTCTAGTAGAATTTACCTGTTTAAGTGACCTCAACATATAAAGGAAAAGTGTGTTCAACACTATGCCCAGCAACCGTTACTTTCCCTAACATAAGTTACATACCCATCCGAGCTATGTGAACTCGGATACATCATATTGACTCTATCCTAGTATTTGAACTCAAGTCTTGAACGTTTGAATTAACGCAAGAAATGTCTTATTTGTATTTAATTTTTAAATTGCTTTGACTTACTCTGAGTTTTGAATTTCTGATTTTGTAGATTTATCCTCCTATTAATGTCCTGCCATCCTTGTCACGTTTGATGAAGTCTGCTATTGGTGAGGGCATGACGCGTGAGGACCATGCTGATGTGTCCAACCAGCTGGTAGGTTAAATTTATAAGACCATGACCCCTGATTTTGTCATGCTGTTAAAAAGATAGCTTTTAGAAACGCCATATTGCGACACTGTTGAAAATGTTCCGAATTTAGGAACTTAAGTGATTGAAGTAATGAACTGGGTAGTTTTACAATCGGGTTCTTGTTTATTTGGTGCAGTTTTATTTTGTTTACCCTATCTTAGAATAATACACATTTTGTCCTCATTTAGTATGCCTGCTATGCTATTGGCAAAGATGTCCAAGCCATGAAGGCTGTAGTTGGTGAGGAAGCTTTGACACCTGAAGATTTGCTTTATCTTGAATTCCTAATCAAGTTTGAGAAGAACTTTATTACCCAAGGTGTGTATTGTTAATGTTTTGGAACTTTTATTTAAATTTAGTGTAAAGTGTATCAGATTTGAAAAGTTTATTATCCATAATAAGCAGTCTTGGATTCTGTCTTTTTTGTTTTACAATTACAATTTTCTTTACCTTGCACTCTCATATTTATAGCACCTGGTTCATTCGTTAGTCTATTGAAATTTATCATTTTTCCATTCCACAGGCCATTATGAGAAGAGAACAATTTTTGAGTCCCTGGATATAGGGTGGCAACTGCTACGTATTTTCCCCAAGGAAATGTTGAAGAGAATTCCCCAAGGCACATTAGCAAAATACTATCCCAGAGCATCAACACAAGCAGCCGTTTCTGGCAAAAAAGCAGAAACAACAGCACTCTAAAAAATCTGACCTGTATAGTTTCACATGGATACTTGTATTTAGAAATTATTTCAGCTGTCATCTGGATCATCTCAGTGTAGGTTTCACATAACTTAAATTGTGATACTGTGTCCTACTGTGTAGATATATATTAAATGTTTATTGTGGTTAACCAAGACTGTAGATTTAATTAGTATCTTATCTAGTTGTTTGTTCATATATGGAATAAGAGAACACTTGCTATGGTTAAACAAATTTGGGAAGCTGTTTCATGCAGCCATTTTGTTTCAGCTTTTCATTTTTAGTGTTCATCCTTTTTATGTTCTTAGCAAATAAGTTCTTACATTCCATTATGAGTACATGACTGTTATTCCACAATCAACAGAGACAGGTGTCTTTACATTAATTAATTGCTCTGTGATATTTGTAGACACCATGTCAGCACAATTAAGAGTTTATTTGTTCTCTTGTGGTTTATCAGTGTAACATTTTGGCAGAATGGGTACAGTTTTTGTAGTTGTATTTATTTATTGATGCTGCCAGTCATGACAAGTTCCTTTATTGTAAGCATCAGTTGTTTATATATGTATCACATTTTTTTAAGAATGCAAGGCATTTAAGATGTACATTACTAAGCAGGATATCCTTTATATTTTATTATGTGAGTATGGGGATTCATTTCCTTTTTTTATGTAATCAAAAAATAAAACTGTAATCTGGTAATTTTGTTTTTCACTATTTATTCTCATTCATTCATAATCCTAAACAATAGTTGCAAACCATTCAGTGGGATGTGCTTTACTGTTCAGTTAGTTAAGGTGTAAGCTAGCAGCCATTTCACTATTGTCAGCTTTTAAATTTAAAGTCTAGGGACAAAATTATGCATTTTTTTCTAATTTGGATATTTTAGGAACAAGTAATTTAATATCTTTAGGTTATTGAATTTTGTTGTATATTAATTCATATTGTGTTATTGATGAATGATACAGCTATGGATTCAATCTAGCTTCAGATTCTTTGTAAATTGTTGTATTTAGCCATGAGAATAAAAATACTGATAATTGAAAAATTGTCATTTTTTTATCTGATGTAATATTTTTACACTTTAGGTTTAATATTTGCTTTCATTCAACACACAAGCTAATACAATAAACACTTTATGATTTTAAAACTTTTTTTTATCTGTTTCAATATAGTACACAAATAAAAACAGGATCCCAGCTCCTGTGAAAGAATCACATCAAAATGTTTTAAAACCATATCTAAGAATCTCATATGGGATGTCTGATATGTACATGTGAAAACTATTTACAACTAATTTTAACCCACTGTACATAAAAATTGGGACTGGGTGTTTTGAGCATACTTAGTTTTCCTTTCAAACCTGACTGTCTATGGGGCAAGTGAAGAGTTCACTTGTTTCTGTGACCTCGGCATATGAAAAGATAGTGTGGTCAGCACTATGCCCAGCCGCCTTTACTTTCACTAACGTGAGTTAGGTACCCATCAGAGTTGGGTGGACTCAAGGAGGGTTTACTGACTTGAACCCGGATTCCAACTCAAGACGTATGGGTTAGCAGTCCAGCTCTCTACCGCTAGACCACTCCGTACCATCTCTGAGCATACTTACTGACCCAAAAGCCTAGTTCCCTGGTTAAAGCCAAAAATTAACTGGAAACCCACTGTAGCAAAAAGGTAGTTGGGCATAATGATCACACTCCATTTACTAGTGGTGAAAGGAACTACTTCGCCTACCTTTTCGAAAGAGTCCAACAAAAAAAAATCATAATTTATACTTTCAAACAAAAAAGATCTCAAATCTGTGATAAAATATTTTTAAATGCATTCTTTTTTTTTTAAATTTTGTATGCAGGGTTTTTAACAAAATACAAACTGGATGCTTGGTTTTCACATTTAAAACTTATCAAAATGATTACTTGGACAGTTATGCCCACAGAGATTCATTTGAAAAAAAAAGTACATCACGTACTTCTCTAGAAAATAAAGACTGACAGATCTGGTGGCCATAACTTGTGCCATCCACTGAATGTACAAAGAGAACCTGATTAACATCTATTTTAATTTAAATAAAAGACTCACAAACACTAACTGTAGATTAATTATCAAAATTTTTTAAGGTTCATGCTCTGTAAAAATAAGGAAACTGTCAATTTATGAATTAAAAACTGAAATGCTGTAGTGAACTTTAAATTATGGAAATAAAATACTATTTTGAGCACCTCTTAAACCGTAACTTACCATTCTAAATATAGTATAAAAAGTTAAGATAACCTTTGCTTTCATAGTAGTACCTTGTAGAATATTTTTACTAACCTTAAACAAGAATTTACCACACAAAAAAAGTCTTATTACAGAAAATGAATGTGAAAATGTACAACAAATACTACAGAATATTTAATTGTGGTGACATCTAAGAATGATTATTAATAATGATCACAGCAGAACAAAGTCAATTACAAATTAACTAATTTAAAATACAGAATTGCAATAGCTCAAATGCATATTTTTTTACAATATGGATATGGAATTAGAACACCAGGTAAATCATTTTGTAAAGATCCTGTCTCTGCCAGAAGGACAAGACAACAGGTAGTGTGAGCACCATTTACTAGGATCAAATTAAGTCAAAGCCATATTAATATTAGTCAATTAAACTTTAAAATAATTTACTTAGTTTCTATTAAGATTTGAAACATAGTCATAGTGTTAAAAATCGTTTTGATTTATTTAAGATCTATTTATTTTTACTGTATGTGAAATAATAACTCATTAACCTTGTTTTTTTTAAAGTTACAAATCTGACATAATTTTTGTTCTAGTATTCAAAGCATGTTAATTATAATTCAATACATTATGCACATAGTTTTATGTAGATCGTTGGGACCATTATCTACCATAACAACGATGTAATACTAAGTTCAACATCAAAATAATATAATAGGCATCTCAAGTATTTCTTCCACACAACTCAAACACACTAAATATCCATAGCAAAATGTAATTTTTTACCAAACATTCTCTTCACAAAAAATCTTTTCAGCATTGTTTTTTTTTCAAAATATTAGGACTCTAAACCAATTATATTTATACAAAATGCTGCAACAAAAAATAATAAAATTGAGAAAGTAATTTTTCTAAATTTATAGTATTTTATTAAGAAAGTTTTAGAAATTTTAAGATTTTAGTTCTTTAAGAAGCAACAGCATTTATTTAAAGTTTTAAAAAAAAGTTGTGACTGGCATAATACTTTTTTCTTAAATACTTTTTGTTTGTTTAATTTTAATAATCAGCAAGTAGATCTATTCCTAAAAAATGGTTACTCTCTAATTATTTGTCTAGTACTGTGACTTTTGCATTTTCCGACAGTGGAAAATCTTTCATATTTAGAAATTAAGTTTGTTAGGTGAATAAATGCAAAAATATTAGGTTAATGATTTCAACCAAATTTAAACTGTTATCACATTGTTTTTTTAATTTAAAACCAGCTTAAAGAAAAGCAAATGCTAACAATTTCTATCACAGAGTTATTGATTATTTACATGTTTAAATAAATGCATTCAACTAAACAGAAAAACACATTTCTCTGCTTTTAAAAAAACATTATAATATTAACTCTAAATCAGAATAATATTCTCAGACATGTAGGTCTACATTACATTTTTTTAGAAGTAAATTGTTCAAATTGTTTTTTAATAAATTTTTCAGACTTTTGAAAAGGAAAAAAAAAAAATCAGCTATATTGTTAAAAAACAGTAGAGCAGCATTTCAATATACTATTTACATTTAAAAAAAAAAAAACAGTAAATCATCACATCAATGTCAAAAATTTAAATTTAAGTATCTTGCATTGTCTGTATTATTTAAATTATTGAAATAATTTCTATAGCCTGAAAATTAGTCACTATACATACAAGATAAAAATAAGCAACTACAACATTGGCAAATGAAACATTTTTCTTGACAAATATATTTTAAGAGAAGGAGGAATAGGAAGCTGTGCAACACATTTCACCAAACCTGGACAGTCATAGGTGACCAGTCTCTTTTGGATTACTTTACGACAAAGGTTTCTGAGCATGGGTGGCGATGTCATAGAGGAATTGTACCATGCTAAAAAATTATCATCTCCAGTGAGTAATTCAGCAGGGATTCCCGGTCCTTTCCACCGAAGCCAGTCTTCAAGATTTAGCATGTCACAACCAGCAGCATATAGAATCTGATGGTTAAAATTTTGTAAGATTGTAACAGGAAGAAGCTATAAACAGAATATTTTCATCATTCATTTCTTATTATAACAATACTAATTTTAACTTTTTTTTCCACCCAGAAAAAAAATATCAAATGAAATGGTTACCTTAATACAGGGTACTTGGTATTTAAGGTCTTCTTTGTACAAGCCAGTACTCAATGAAGCAACACATACATAAAGTGGAGTTCTCCCTTTATAGTCTACAACATTTACATAGCTATTTGCTTCCAGTAAAATGCGAATAAGCTCCTTAAGTTTCCAGTGTGCAGCGCTGTGAAGTGGAACACGACCATAGCGATCAGCACTGAAACGAAACAAATTAAAATAGACACACTGAAGTGTTGTGATATTAAGCTAATAAACAGGGAAATTTAAAAAATAAATTTGAAAAACTGCTTACATATTTACTGACGCTCCTGCTGCCAACAAACATTTAACAGTGGCATAACTGGAATGCACAATGGCATTTTGAACACAAATATACAATGGTGTTTGATTCTCTTTATCTGGCTTATCAATTTCAGCACCTAAGTAGCATATTTGATTTTTAAAATGTTAATGGGATTAAAATGTGATAGTCTTTTAAAACAATCAATGAACATATAAATAAAGTAACAGTTACTTGCCAGCTTTGACTAAAACATCAACTAAGATCATCCTTCCATGAAATGCAGCTTTGTATAGGGGTGTACAACCATTACGGTCTGTTCTGTTGACTGCTGCTCCACTATGTAATAAAATCTGAAAAATAATTAACAACAAAGAAATATTAAATCCACACAGAAAGTACTAAAACATACAAATATAGAGAGAGTTCTTGTACATGCATAAAATAAAAAGTTTTAAAGCCTTACCATTACAATGTCCACATGGTTTAGTGATACAGCTGCTATTAGTGGCGTTGTACTGTCTTTTACACTGGGCACAGCAGGATTATTCCAAGGATAGTTAATATCCACTCCTTGATTTAAAACTGAAAGAACACTTTGTCTGTCATTGCCGACAACAGCAATATGAAGATCTCGTTCCTTTTGGGGCATACCCATTGTCATGGAGACCGCACAGTTTTTACTAGACCGTGAATTACCCATTTTTTAGGATAATGAATCAAATTTATTCTGAATCAATTAAGCTAAATCATGGTCATAGATTTTAATCAACTTAAAAAGATCTTGATCAATTTTTCAACAATGGAGGCTACTGCTAAATGTTAATGTCTTTAAAACTTAAGTGATATAATTTGTCACAGTGCAGTTCATCTTGTTATTGTAGATAATACCTATGAGGAATAAATCATGAGGTATATTTATATTAATAAAAATAACAAATATGCAAGTTACTTAAGTTAAAACTTGAATATAGTTGAATGTGTTTTACAAATAAATGCAATAAAAAAATTGTGGGTACTAAAATTTCTTTGCTGGCAAAGTTTTGTAACAATTTGTTAAAATGTTTAGGAAACAACCAACTGTTTAGGCCTACTAAACAATCAATAAGTTAATAGATTCTAATAGGAAACTGATAACAAACTTCAATGATCACATTTGATTGTGTTTGCCCTCAAAATTATAGGTCTATGATTTTTGGACACACCAACCCATTCAAACAACGATTTGGAACAAAATTGAAATGAGGCATTAATGCGTCATACTAATAGTTTTAGTCTTTTGAGATATAAAAGGCCCTGGATCTAGTATAATCTAGATTTATATAATTTTGTTTAGCGTAGTGAAAAATCACTAGACTAGGTAGGTAGGCCTTTAAAAAATGTATCTTCTTTAAACAGTTTTAAATCCTTATTTAATAATTTTTATTTTTAGGTCTATTGGCCTTTTTTTGCATAAAGTACAGGGCTTAGGCCCTAGGATTATTATTAATAGGCCCAGATCTATTGCTAGTCAAGACTATGTACTTAGTAATTTGAACTAGAATGCTACATGACTAGATTTTAGATCTAGACTACGTATTTTTAATTTATTGTTCATTTTTTATTGTTGTGTTTCATAGTAAGTTTACTAAGGTAGACTAGATCCGATCTAGATCTAGATCTAGACTCTAGTAGATCTAGTTAGTAGTCAGTAGGACGATGACATAGACATAATGATAATGGAGTAAATTATAAGGCTTTTGTAACATAGCATTGTCAATGCACGACGCACAAACATCTAACATAAGTAGATGGTATAAATTCATTATAACTACACAAAAATAACGACCTACTTTGGCCTTTTTTATCTGGTGAGACTCTTTCTTTATTTTATAAATTAAATAGTTTACCCAAATGTTTGTGTGTATGTGTTACAAGATCGTGTACCAGATTTTTCAAGATTGGTTACTTATGAAGTATCAATTAAATATTATTCCAATCATCAAATAATCCTCTGTTTAAATTGGAAAAAAGGTTTATCGATAATAATTTGGAGACATTCTATAACTGCTTATTCCGTTTAATATGTAGATAACTGCTGGTTAAAAGCATAGATTTATATATTTTGAAGGGTTAGCTGGCGCTTAAGAGAAAGCGAGAACTACCCCGGATGTTAAAGAGCTTTACTGGTCGCGCATAATGCAAATGGAGCAAGGGGAGGGGGGGGAGGGCAACAAAAAAGTCTAAATGTTATTCTAAGACACTTTTCAATTATAATATTGATCTAAAATCTACTAAGCTTGAAAAAAAATGGTCGCATAATTTAACACAATTTTAAAAATGGTACCTTGAGACATGTGGAAACCATGGGATGGTTCAAATAAATAATTATATGTTAAGTTGCTGCAAGAGAATTCCTTTCATTTTCCTCTTTTTCTCCTGTGGGGGGGGGGGGGGGGGGGGGGGGGGGGGGGCGCACAAAAGTATTCCGGGAATTACATTTAAAATTTCGGGGGGGGGGGGGGGCTGGATTAGAACTTAATCAAGAGCACATAGAACGGTATGTAATGCAGAGTCGCAAAAGTATAAAATACACATATTTAAATGTGAAGTACAGTAAGAAACTTGCTGTTATTTGCCTTTGGTGAAGACGCCCAACAGAGAGTGAATGAACGGGTATGTTGAAAGGTCTTTCTGGACGCCACATTTGACGAACAAAGTTGGACAACGGCCGAAAATAAGGCAAATATCAGAAAAACTTGTCGACTTTTATACAGCTATTAATGACAACATAATACAAATGTATTAGATCTAGGCTTATATTGATAGCGTACAAAAGCAAATGTTACACTTGTAAACTGGACAGAATGACCCAGGGCGGTGGATTGACGATCTATAACTATCGAATATGGCGAAAAAATAAAGAGTAAAAGGTCATCGTGGGCGGACATTGTGTGTGATGCAGGGATGCGCCCGTGACTGTTTGCCCTTCAACAAGTAAAAAAATAAACTCGCCGCGACTGATATGTTGTAACGGGTGGCCGGAAAGAACCGCAACGGAAAAAAGCGCAACGGAAAAAAGCGCAAAACAAAAAGCGCAACGGAAATAAGCGCACACGGAAAAAAGCGCAAAGAGAAAAAAGCGCACACGGAAAAAAGCGCAAAGAGAAAAAAGCGCAAAAAGAAAAAAGCGCACACAGAAAAAAGCGCAAACAGAAAAAAGCGCACACGGAAAAAAGCGCAAAGAGAAAAAAGCGCACACGGAAAAAAGCGCACACAGAAAAAAGCGCAAAGAGAAAAAAAGTGCAAAAAGAAAAAAGCGCACACAGAAAAAAGCGCAAACAGAAAAAAGCGCAAACGGAAAAAAGCGCAAACAGAAAAAAGCGCAAACGGAAAAAAGCGCAAACAGAAAAAAGCGCAAACGGAAAAAAGCGCAAACAGAAAAAAGCGCACACAGAAAAAAGCGCAAACAGAAAAAAGCGCAAACGGAAAAAAGCGCAAACAGAAAAAAGCGCACACAGAAAAAAGCGCAAACGGAAAAAAGCGCAAACAGAAAAATGCGCAACCAGAAAAAACAACGAAAAATGTGCAAACGAGAAATTTAGCACAAATACCTATAACCACTAGATGACACATTTATACATGACTGTTAGGGCTGCTGTAAGAGTGTCGTGTTTGATCATGTGATCTACTACCATTTAAAGCGTACCACTACCATGTGCATTCCCCTCACCACGATACAGGCGATAATCGCACTTTACACAATGCCTATTATTTTCTTGGTCAATAATTATTCAACTACTATTCTCGTATAAATAAACATAAAACTATCCTTGATATCGACATTACGCGAAGTATCTCTCACATTCTCCCTAGTCCGAACTACCTAGCTTGCATACCATAACTACCCGTTCCAATGGCAAAACTTCATTCTCTTTCATCCGCGTCATCTAACATGCATTTGTCATATCTCTCATATCTCTCGCAACAACATTCATTCGCACCAAAATAACAATTATGTTTTTAATATTATTTCACATCATGACGCACTTACCTACCTACCTACTACCTACCTACCTACCCACTTACCCACCTACACACCTACCTACCTACCCACTTACCCACCTACCCACTTACCCACCTACCCGCCTACCCACTTACCCACCTACCCACCGAAAAAGGATCAGCGAAGTTCGTTAGTTTCGTAAACTGTACTTTTTTTAATGAAAATTCATTGACATCATTGACATATGTTACATATATGTTACATTTTGCGACAATCTTAATTAGTGCGTTGGGCTTGTATGAAAACTCACTTCGAACTAACTCAATTACATGCTATTTATTTTAACATTACACGGTAAGCGTCACCCAAGTGTTGTGATGTGAGGTGAGGACAGGTTCGACAATAAACCAACACGAAAGTAGGAAGGAGACATAGACTGCCTGTTAGAGAATGGACCCCCTAACTTTCCTAACCCCACCATTTATTATACCCTACTTAACCTCAAAATTTCTTGCACTATATGTCACTTCCCTCCCAATCGTTCCTATTCTACAGAATTGTGTGTACTATATATTTACATTCTTTAATCTCAATATAACTAAAATAGACTATTGTTTGAAGGGTAATGAAAACATGTAAACATACACTTTTACTAGTGTCCGCCCCCCCCCCCCCCAGAAAAATGTTGACCCCCCCCCCCGAAAATCCCCTCCCCCCCCCCTTAGCCCCGGAGAAAGAAGTCTGGAAGATACACTGCATGTAGCCTATATAACAGAAGAGCTATGGTTGTTTATATCATTTTGCATTCGTCCGGTAAACCTTTTAGTAAAAAACCTTAAAAAACCTTCCATAACCTTTTTATAAAGAAACAAAGAGAGATGAAGTTTTATAATAACATCAGGCTTTGACTTACACCTACTCCAATATCATCTACATTGTTAAACTGATTAACTATGTAATGTAGGGCTCAACAGGATCAATGAACTAACCTTACGCCAAACCAGTTTGAAATTTCGAGTTTTGTAACACTGTTACTAAGCTAGCAAAATGCAAATGTGCATAATCTATATCATCTACACAAACACCCAACCACCTACCTAACTACCCACCCACACATCTACCCACATACCCACCTAACAACCTACCTACCCACCCACTTACCCACCTACCCATATATATATATATATATATATATATATATATATATATATATATATATATATATATATATATATATATATATATATATATATATATATATATATATATATATATATATATATATATATATATATATATATATATATATATATATATGAGGTAATTAGATAGGTGGGTAGGCATGTAGGCAGGTAAGTAGGTAGGCAGGCAGGCGGGAAGGCAGGTTGGTAGGCAGGTAAGTAGGTAGGTAGGTAGGTAGGTAGGCAGGTAGGTAGGTAGGCAGGCAAGCAGGCAGGTAGGTAGTCAGGCAATCAGGGAGGGAGGGAGGGAGGTGTTGGGAGGGAGGTAGGTAGGTAGGTTTAATGATGCGGATGAAAGAGAATGAAGTTTTGTCATAGGAACGGGTAGTTATGGTATGCAAGCTAGGTAGTTCGGACTAGGGAGAATGTGAGAGATACTTCGTGTAATGTCGATATCAAGGATAGTTTTATGTTTATTTATACGAGAATAGTAGTTGAATAATTATTGACCAAGAAAATAATAGGCATTGTGTAAAGTGCGATTATCGCCTGTATCGTGGTGAGGGGAATGCACATGGTAGTGGTACGCTTTAAATGGTAGTAGATCACGTGATCAAACACGACACTCTTACAGCAGCCCTAACAGTCATGTATAAATGTGTCATCTAGTGGTTATAGTTATTTGTGCTAAATTTCTCTTTTGCACATTTTTCGTTGTTTTTTCTGGTTGCGCATTTTTCTGTTTGCGCTTTTTTCCGTTTGCGCTTTTTTCTGTGTGCGCTTTTTTCTGTTTGCGCTTTTTTTCCGTTTGCGCTTTTTTCTGTTTGCGCTTTTTTCTGTGTGCGCTTTTTTCTCTTTGCGCTTTTTTCCGTTTGCGCTTTTTTCTGTTTGCGCTTTTTTCCGTTTGCGCTTTTTTCCGTTTGCGCTTTTTTCTGTGTGCGCTTTTTTTCCGTTTGCGCTTTTTTCTGTTTGCGCTTTTTTCTGTTTGCGCTTTTTTCTTTTTGCGCTTTTTTCTCTTTGCGCTTTTTTCTGTGTGCGCTTTTTTCCGTGTGCGCTTTTTTCTCTTTGCGCTTTTTTCCGTGTGCGCTTTTTTCTGTTTGCGCTTTTTTCTGTGTGCGCTTTTTTCTTTTTGCGCTTTTTTCTCTTTGCGCTTTTTTCTCTTTGCGCTTTTTTCTCTTTGCGCTTTTTTCCGTGTGCGCTTATTTCTGGGAACCGTTGTAACGTTCAATTGGACATCAAAGTTGGCAGCTTCAAGTTTCTTCTATGTGATAAGAGGTTTTGTTTCTACAACAGCTGGCTTGTTTTAAATTTGTATTTGAATTAATTTCCAAAAAGCGGGTCATTGTCATGAAAATGACCCTAAAGGGGAGCGACAGCATCACTTAGACATCCCTACCTACACCTCTGTCAGAAACATTCAGAAATGGAGTTTTCTGCTGAAGATCTGTTTACAGCCAGTTAATGAATCTTGACACTACTTGGGGAATATCAGTTGCTCAATATTGTTGTACATAGATCTACTTAATTATGATAGAAAATACTTTAGTTTTGATCCCTCTTTCTGAATAACAGCTAAGGAAAATAAAAGTTTTAATGTAAATTTACAATTTAAAAAAAAAAAAAAAAACAAATGAGAAAAACTTTAACTGCATCAGATTAATTATTACTGATGCAATTTAACTGACCTGGACTATCTGCATGCTTCAAAAGCAGCAGTAGCGTAGCGAGGGGGGGGGGGGGGCGGGGGTGGGACATATGTCCCCGGGCGCCGACCTTAGGGGGCGCCAAAATGGGTTGGAAAAATAAATTGAAAGGTTGAGGGGGGTGCAAATTGAAAGTTTGAGGGGGGGGGGGGGGGTGCAAATCGAAAAGTTTGTCCCCGGGCGCCGGGAAGGGTCGCTACGCCTCTGAAAAGCAGATATTGAGTAACAACGTGAGCGTAAAACGCTCTATCTATATAATTCTTTTGAAGCAAAATTCACATTTACTTAACTTCAAATAGGATTGTAGACAGGGGTTTTAACAGACGTATTTCTCGAGGGGGAGAACAACTGTTTTTCGTTCTTAAAAATAAAATGTTAATGGGTGTAAATTAGTGTAATATGTTTTGTCGTGTTGTGTTCTTTTTGCCGTTTTATGTTTTTGCTGTGAGCTTACGACTACCAACCATTACGTCTTAAGTTCGGATTCCAGTCACAAAAAGCCAGACCCCCCTAAAATGACGTCACACCCCAGCCTACAACCCCCCTCAAAATTGCAGTTGAATTTTTCTTAAAACATCGATATTTTTCCAAAATCTTGTCTGAACTCTGCCAAAATATAGTATTTTAATAAATTCCTATTACAATTTATTAAAACAGTTTTCTAAAACGCAAAATGACGTCCAACATTCGTTTTCTAACATTGCTTTTTATTTTATACTGCAAAAGTGTGACGTCGCACCATCTGGACCCTCCCCCCTCCCCCTCATCACACATCGTCACACAATTACGGACCCCCCCCCTACGAGTGTGACGTCATTTATGGACGACCCCTTATTTGGACTGTTGCTACATAGTCGATGTAAGATAATTTAAAATTAGTTTAATTTTTTCAAGACGATCTGGACACCTAGGACATGTATTGCACAATGTAGGCTTAAATCAACAATTATCATTGGCTGGATGCGAAATAAATTGAGAACCGCTAAACAAACTATTTCTAGGTCTAGAACAAGCTATTTGGATTTCTAGAACTCTTTTGTACATACGCTTATCAGAGAGTCCAAAATAAAACTTTAAAGACGGAAGACCTAAACAAAAGAAAATCCAAGCACAAACTCTGTGAGGCAGGATTAGTTTGAATACTTTCTTATACACTAAACACTGATCTGTGGTAGCCTACCCTAGATTTACAGCTACATTAAATGTAGTAGATTTATGTCCATATTTATTAACTGACATGATTATATTTTATTTAGGCTTACGGATCTAGATCTAGAATCTGGCTAAGACTAGTCCGTCTCTGTGTGTAGTTGAGTGACCTAGCCTAGCCTGCTTTAAGTAAGCCAAGGCCAGGGCCTAAGAAGTAACTAAGGGGTAATCTATCGTTTTAGATCCGTAAAATCGACCGAGGCTAGTAAGAAAGAAAAGTGGCTCATTGATTTGGCTTTAATAAAAAATAAAAGTGTATTGAATTGTGATATACTGGATATAGGCCCTACTTACACTTAGGCCTATATTTTATATGGCAATATAATATATTATTAGGCCTATATGGGGGTAATTTTTATACCAGTGTCCAATAATAGAATAATTGGGAGAATTTGTATACCGGTGTCCGATAATGGAATCTTCTTTAAAAAAAGGGTGTAAGGGTACTGGTAGTTAACTAAATACACACATTGCTGGCTAATGTCAATGCTAACCCTGTCCCTAACCCTAACCCAAACCCTGGTCCTACCATACGCCTAACCCTAATTTCTAACAATAAAATTAGTGGAGATTACTACTAACAACCCAACACACCTATTTTATGGAAGAGTCTATTATCAGACACCAAATTCTATAATCATCCCAACACACCTATTTTATGGAAGAGTCTATTATCAGACACCGGTATCTATAATCATCCAAATCTTCTTAAAAAAGGGGTGTAAGTTTACTGGTAGTTAACTAAAATACACGCTTGGATTGCTAATGTCAATGCTAACTCTAATCCCCAACCCTGGTTCTACCATAGTCATACGCCTAACCCTAATTAGTCAATTTCCAACCATAAAACTAGTGGAGATTACAATACTACAACTCAACGCACCTATTTTATGGAAGTCTATTATCAGACATTGGTAACTAAAATCATCCCTTATATCAAATAATATAATAGACCAGGGGTCTCCAAACTACGGCCCGCGAGGTCCTCTCATCCGGCCCGCGGAGATCTTTTTGTCCAGGGAAAAAACGTTTGTGGGTGATAGCCGAGGAACATTGCCCAGAAAAATCAAAGACATGCCTGGAAAAAACTGGCCCCCGAACTGAACTTTGATAGTCAATGCGGCCCTCGGGCTGAAAAGTTTGGAGACCCCTGTAATAGACAATTGAATAATAAACCAAAAGCATTGTCTTGATATATCAGTATAAGCCAGAAATTAACTTTAAACAGTAGTGTTTAAGAGCAAGATTTGCTATACAAACAGTGGCCATAAGACTGGTTACCCCTGAATTTCTAAGAATATTGTTAACAAAAAAAAAAACTTAAGATGGCTGCTAAAAAAACGAGCTTGGTTGCATCTGAAGAAAACATCGCTAATCTTTATTAATTTCTGAAAATTTTGAATAAAATTGTTTAAAAACAGGTACATGAAACATTTTTGTAACTTTTGAAACATAAATCCTCCTAAAAATGTGAAATAATTACTAAAATGTAATGAGTCACCTTTCTTTCACATTACTAGCCTTGGCCGATTTTACGGACCTAAAACGATACATTACCGCCTCAGGTACTATTAGCTAGTCTACTGTCTGTAGTCTAGCTAGTGTTAGTAGACATAGAGTAAGCAGTAAACTTTATGAAGTCTTGTTAGGTCTAAGTCTTCTAGGACAGCCTGCCAATAAACTATTCAGTCCACTTTTGTCATTCTAATGACTTGTAATAGCACTAGATCTAATACTTAGTACCTACCTAATTAAATATAGGCAAATTCTACCAGAAACAAACTACACATGCACAGTGTGAAAAAAAATATTGCCTCCCTTCATGGGCAATGTTTTCAATGTACTATGCATGAGTATATATATTTACCCTCTTTGAGGGGTACCGCCCCCAGCCCCCCCACCCTGAAAAATTAAAGCGTCCCCCCTGAGAAAAAGTCTGGAAGAAACACTGTCCCTAATGCACCTAATCCTAACACTAATGCGTAAACCTTAACAACATGCCTAGCCCTATCCTTAAGGGTAACCCTCATGCCTAAACCTAACCAATAACCCTTAAAAAATTCAACATCAGCTTTTATTTACTAAGTAAAATAATAAAAAATTGCAAAATAAAACTCAGAGCCAAAAGGAATAGAAATTATGCCATGAAAACAAGCTCATTGATGTCAGCCTCCTGAATTATTCTCACATTGTCTAAAAGTTATGTCTTACGCAAAGAATGCTAGCCTAGGGCCTTGGGAGGCTTTGCAGTATACAGAACAAGTCTTACAAGACTGCAGCTTATACTAGAGATGACTGTGCAGTTAGGACATTGGTCTTGTTGCATGATTCCTTCAGTATAGAAAATATTGCTAATTTGCTTTACTTTGTTTTTTCATTCTGAGAATAGAAAAGGTATAATTTAACAATTTTCATCATACTTCAAGATTGAACAAATAAATTAACTATGGAAACACTTCAACATATGGTTAGGCTAAATGGATGTTGTAGTCAGAAGTAACCTTTTTTTCTTCTAAATTTAATACTTTATTTTATAAATTATTTCTAAATTATAGCAACTAAAGAAAGAAAAGGCAATTCAATCTGGCTGTTATAATAAACAATCGTTACCTCAGCTCTAAAGATGCAGACTTTGTAGAGCACCTTTTATTAGATCTTGAAAGATATCAAGATCTAAACAATTCATACAGGTATGATTAATTAATAATAAAGATAATTTAAAAAAACAACAACAACCCATACTGATATATTATGTCTAATTCATTAAAAATTATTTTAATTTAAGCTTTTACAATGGGGATATTTATAATTTTTATTTGATAGAAATTAACAAAATGTTTCTATTAACAGAGTACTGTTGTTTCCACCATTGGCAAGCCACTTCCGCCTACTTATCCACAAAACTACAGAAAGTAATTTTACTCAACTAATAACCTTTTCAATAGGCAGTGGATTATCTCGGCAAACAGTTGTTGCGTACAAAATTGCTTGCCTGAGGTGATATTATCAATTATCTTATCAAAATAAAAAATATTCAAATGCATTCCCCTCCCGACCCTCTTATAATTTACATGAATTAAGCTCCATACAGCATTTAAGCTTTAAATATGCTTTTTAAAATATTTTAACTGTTAAGGATTAACATAAAATGTTTGTATTAGTGATGTTTTAAGATTTATTATAACACAGTCATGTAAAGAATGTTTAATCCTTGTAGCATTATAAGTTGTAAACTGAAAAGTTTTTTCTCTAATTATAGAGGTCCACGAGGAATACAACTCATGAACTCTCCAACTCCACCAATTTCAAGAGGTCGAGGTAGAGGCAGAGGAAAAGAATTAACATCAAGCGAAAGGGTGTCACAATGGGTTAATCAAAGAGAGACTAAACGTTTGAATAAAGAAAAATGGGCTAATCCAAGTCATCAAACAGTTTTTGATGCTTTGAGTAATGATAGTGATGTTCAGAATTCAGAAAAACAAAATTCTGAATCAGATTCAAGTTCAGAAAGGTAATTTCTTGTGTAGAATCTAATTTTCATGTACAAAAATTACTTCTCTAAGTCTAATATAGATTATTTGTACGGACAATGCTTTTTTTCTTCTGCTTCTTCTTTGTTCTTAATTCTAGTGTTGGAAGAGATTCCCTCCAACACAATTAAATATTAGGTGTCAACTTGTTATGCGCCATATAGGCAGATGACTCTGATTTCAGCCTGCTTTTCTTTTTTGAATTTGGTTTCATAGCCTTTGTCCAACCAAGAACAAACTACAGGGAAGCAGTTGTTTGAATTTGGAGTTGTCTCTCCTATCGAGCCTCATCTGCCTGGGGGTTTGAACTTGTGCCTTTTGGTTCAGCAAACATGTGCTTAACCAACTTGACCACACCGTCATGATGATTTTAATCTATGAATATTACTGACAGCATATAAATTTATCTTAACATGAATTTTAAAAATTATGTAAAATCTTACTTTAGATGTTGCTTATTTTTCTTTCAAAATCTCTTAGATCAAAGGCTAAACGTTCTGAAACACAACTGTATATACCACCATATCTCCGTGAAAAGAAAGCTTCTAGTCAGAATATAATCACAAAGCCAAGTGCTGAAGCCCCTTATTCTAACATTGATGAACAATCACTTAGTAACAACCTGTGTGAAGATACCAGCAAAGTTTCTGAAGTTCCAGACACTCAGGACATTACTTACACTAAAGACAATGTAGACAATTTAACTGAAGCAGTTGCAGAGGTTAGCAAGTCAAAGGGAAGGGGTAGAGGAAAAAGGAAGCCAGAAGTTGAGATTTATGTTCCCCGTGCATTACGTACTGTAAAAAATGAAAGTAAGCCAGGTACAGACAAAGTGAACGAAACTATTAGCTGTGATAATCAAGATTATTCCGAAGCTTTTAATTTACATGAACAAATTAAAGAAGATGATTTTAATCAGCAATGTGTTAATAGTGTAGAAATTATGAAAGAACAAGTTTTGAAAACAGATCAGCAATGTAAGATTACTAAATGTGTTACCTCGGATGTTTCCAGTGGTTGTGAAACAATTGAGGAGATATTAATAAATTCTAAACATAAAACATATTTTACACCTAAACCTCCGGATGTGGAACCAGTAATTTCTATTGAAAATCTAAGCCAAAACCAACCAGAGGAAAAAGATATTTCTGATATCTCTTATTTAACTCCTGCAGTCAGTGAAAATGTAAACTGTACAAGTTGCGATGATAAAGATACACCAGGCACCCGCAACACAGACAGTTTTACTTTTGAGTTTTATGACCCTGCTGTCATAGCTTTTTTGCCATCATCCCCACTGGCCCAGCAGACTAACGATGATTCTTATTTTGTGAACAAAACAGATATATCATCACCTGCAACTATAATGTCTGCAGAGCAATGTCCTGAAAGTGATCTCTTTGAAAATTGTCAGAATGATATGCTAGATGCTGAGAAGATACAATTTAATAATTTTAATAACAACTCTGCTACAACACCTACTGACACTAATATTGAAATGATTGAAAAAGATGAGCAAAACAATATGTGTGTTGCTGTACAGAACATTGAATTGGATGAGACATTAAATACAGAAAGTAAAGTTTGTACTGACACTTCCAAATTAATTCCTGATTCAAACCCTGAGAGTTCAGATAAAGCTGCAGTTCATAAAAGCAAGAAAAAGCAGAAAAAAGATGGGTCCCCATCAGTAGATGGTAAAAGTGTGAAGAAGGCTTCAAAAGAAAAAAGTAGTACCAAGGAGAAGAAAAAAAGAAAAGAGAAACCAGAGCAAGTTTTGAAAGAGGCCAAAGAACAATCTGTCAGTGCAGAGAAAACAGAAGAGGAAGACACTTGGGATGCTTTGTTTGATGACAATGGTGATTGCTTAAATGACTCTCTAATGAAAGAGGTAAGATCACTTTTTTAAATAATGTTATGCATTGTGCTCCTTTAACCTCCTAATATTATGTTTAATTTCATCGTTTAAAAATATGCTACTGTATATTTTGTAGTTGACTGAGTATGTTGGCAAAGTTGAAATAGAAAAGCCCAAAATAAATTACCTAAAGTTTGAGCCCAAAGAGCCATCTTTAGATTATCAAGGTAACTATTTAACTATTCAATATTTTTTTAATTTTGAGTTTTTTTGTATTTTACATCTCATGAACATCAACGTTTTTGCAGCTTTCAGCCATATTGTTGAAATCTATGATTTTTCTGAACAATTGCAAACTTGTGATCTAGTTGCTGCTTTCCGTGACTTTAGGTCAGTAGCATTTGTCTACCTTTTTATTTCTAATAATATAATACAGTATTTTGGTATGCATCTAACTCTCATATGTCTTCATTCAAACAGTTAAGAGATCAGCTGTCTCTATTTTTAAATCAATAGCTTTATTAAAAAAAAAAATATATATATATATATTCACATATTTTAATTTCTTTATAATCAGTTCTCGTGGATTTGATGTAAAGTGGGTTGATGATACACATGCTTTGGGAATTTTTTCTAGTTCAGTTGCTGGTAAGTTGTGCATAAAAAATTATTTAAAATAAACAGGTGAATTTGTAATTATTTATTACCTACAAAATATTTTATGTATATATTTATATATAAGATTTATTTATTTTATTAATAAGATTTAAAACTAGTATGAGCAGAATTACTTAATGCCATTTAACAAAAATTAACTCCCTGTAAATTTAGCAAATGAAGCCCTAAAAATGGTCTACCCACTTCTAAAAGTTCGACCCATGTCTGAAGCTTCAAAGAAAGGGCAGCAAAAAGCTCAATACTGTCAGGGTAAGACCATATTTATTCATCCACTTGGTGTGCTTTAAAAACCTTAAGATTTAAAAAAAATCATGATGAAAATTTAGGTTTATCTAATGTTAAGACTGATTGTTTGTAATGACCTGATACCGACCACTGTAAGCATCAATGTTCCCTCTAAGCTTCCAGTTATAAACCTGCTTTACTTTAGTAAAATAAAAAAAAAACCTTGTATAGGTCATTTCAGAGCACAGCACACACAAAAAGTGCTTCTGCTCTTAGGAGGGATTGTTGGTGTGGGCTGGGCTTTTTAGTCCTGAGTTGTTTCAGTAAGTCAACAGGATGCTGCAAAACACCATGGATCAAACTAAATAGACAAAGAAAATTTACATCAAGACAAATCTAACAATAAAAGCTTTTAGATATTTTAATCAATGACAACGGCACTGGAGCAAAGATACAGTAATCTTTACTATAACTATGAAGATTAAGATGAGCTGTTGACTTTTGATACTTTAACTATTTTGACAACTATCTACTCTTTTAGAGTTTCTGCAACCTTATAAAGCACGTCCAGAAACAACATCAATTGCAGCTCGACGTCTCGTTGCTGGAGCACTAGGTATGGCACCTCGTGTTTCACGAGAGGTTAGAGATCAAGAGCGTCAAAAGTTAAAAGAAGCAAAAGGTTAGTTTGTAATGTTTTGCTTACTCCATTTACTTCTATAAAATAACACTTAATAATATTTAAGTAAGATTTTTACTCAACATGTGTTATGTTTAATTTTTTAAAGAAAAACGGCGTCAAGAACGGCAACAGAAGAATGACATTTGGGATGGCACTGTGGCTAAATCTACTGTAGATGAAGAAGCTGGAGGGTTGAGCTGATGTTGTTCTTAGTCAGGGAAAGATTATTAGATTTACCTGTTGGTGCTTTTGATATCAGAAACTGGATAATTCAGCTGATGTTGTTCTTAATCAGGAAAAGGGATTAGATTTTCCAGTTTGTGCTGTTGTCTAATTAGTCATGTTTGTTAATTTTATTAATTATATATAATTTTAAAGAGAACATAATTTCTTTGCATTCTCATACCTTTTTTTTACCTGTACATGAACTATACAATGAGGAAATGACTAGCTATTCAGCAGTTATAGATCACAAGGTTGGACGTTTTGATAAGATGCATTTTGTAGTTGAATATATCATATGACGTGTAAAATCACACAGACCTATGCTGTTACATAATGTTGATAAAAAAACTTCCTAAATTTTACTTGAAATCATTTGAATATTTTTTATTGGCTCCTCTAAAACAAATATAGTGCTAAATGAACAGACTATGTATTGAAATAAAATGTTTATAAAATATAATTTAATAGATTTCTCACATAAATTCAAATGCTTGATGATTATTAAACTAGTTTTTTTTTGTAGATATTGTAAAGTTTATTTATTTTAACAGTTTGATAAAAATACATTTTAAATTTTACTTGCAACTTTAAGATTGTATCATTAATGTAATACCTAAGTATAGATATGATACTTTTAGGAATGTATCTTTAATGTTCCTTATGTCCAGTGAATATATTAAATAAGGATCAAGTTTAAATTTGTACTAATATACTAAGAAACACCATAGTGTTGAGCAGTGTTTCTACATGCATGTTAGGCTTATCCTTAGTTTAGATCAATCGCTGTTGAGACTATTACTTTTTATTCATGCAAAGAAATAGCTAGTTTACAATTGAAATGAGCGGTAGAAATCTCAGGATTTTGCAATTAAAAGTGTAATTGATGAAAAGTATGAACAAAAGTGTAATAACTCTTGAATCTTCTGTGCCTTTGATGTTGTTTCATACCTGAAAAGGAAAAATGTATTAGAAAATTTAGATTTGATAGGGTATTTTTAACTAATGATTTTTAATAATGTTGCTACTACTTAAGGATTATCTTCTGTTTAATTGAATTTATCATTTAAAATAGTCTTAAGAAGTTTTGTGTGGGTTAAAATTGGATTTGCTTATAAAACTTGCTTTGCAATTTTCTGATAGAAAAAAAATATTAATTTAACAACTTAGACTAATTGTTTATTTTTTTTTAAATTAATAAAACCCTAAACTTTTGAATGCTGGGCTGCTATTACTATTTGCAAAGCATATTTCCATGACATTATTCCAAACTCAGTGAGCTATTATGTTTTGTACATATTTTATATTTCGAACAATTTTTATTGCATTTATCTGTACAGTCCAGATGAAAATTTGTGCAAAAATTGGAATTGTTACATAAAGTGCTAAGCTGTTTAGAATTGTGATATACGAATAAAGTTGCTTCATGGAAAATAATCTAATTTTATAATTCTTTCTTAATTAAATTGCTAGTTCCAAACTTTCTATACATTTAGCGAGAGATCTGGTATGCTCATTTGAAACAGAATTTTCATTTCTTTTTGTATGTGTTAGCTCCTGTCCAGTCTAATCAAATCTGAAAATATTAGATAATAAAAAAATTGGCAATAGTAGAAAAAAAGTAAGCTGGGACATTGGCTTCAATAAAACTCCTATGTGTAATAAGAGACTGCTTGTTAGCAATGTTAACGTGGGTGGAAAAATACAAAGGAAAAAAAAAACCAACCTTACTAGTTAAGGGGAGGCTACTCAGTGAAAGAGTCATGCCCTGTAATGGAGTTATACATTTAGTCCACTTTAAAGAATAAAATTAGTTAAAGAATTTTCAAGTTAAAATCATTTGATATCCAAGTTCTCGAAAATGTAAAGAATCATAAAAATAATTTTAAAAAACCTATTTGAATTGTTTTTTTTTCCCGAGTAGAAGACAAAATAGTTTTTTTTTGTTTAGTAGTTAAATTAAGAAAATGTTATAACATAATTTAAAACTAAAGCAAGTTTGACTGACGTCAAAATAGACACATAAATAACACCGTTGATTAAACCAGTAGCAAGCAAAAATTCAAAATTGAGATAAAAATAATCGGATAAAAAAATAAGGCCAACATCCCGCCAGAGTTTTTTTTTTGTTATAAAAAAAAAACATCTGCAAATAGACGCTGTTTGTTATTTGGGATATGATGACGTATACACTAATACAGAGCTGCGATTGGTCAATTGAAAAGCAGAGCATTAGGGTCACCCCTCTGAAATTTTTATTGTGCAAGTTTTATCGTTTTATTAATTGGGTACTATGAATAGAGATTTTTCCTGCTGCTTTCTCTGTTAGGTTTAGGATCATGTCTAAATTTAAGCTTAAAAAAACAAACTTCGATAATTCCTACGATCTGAGTGCACCCAGCTCTGATTGGTACCTGACTTACGTTTGGGGGAAAGTAAAGGCGGTTAGGCCTGGAGCTGACCCTGCCGAGGTCACTGAATCAGGTATACTTAATTACACCTGCCCCATGGACTCTTAGGTTCGCAATGGTACTTTACTTTTGTGTAAGTGTAAGGAATTAATCACGGATGTAAGCAAACCTTGTTGAAAACATCACATTATAAAACAATCCCGTACACTTGAACACGACAGATATACCGAACCATAAGGGTATTTGATACAAGCAAGCCGACAGTTTAGCTTTTTACAATAGTACCCCAACAATACGCACAACTAAATAGGCCTGAGTCAAAAAAGCCTCTGTTTAAAGCACCCCAATGTAATCAAGTAGAATATCGACGTTCGCTACACACGGGCTGTAAATTAAACGCAAACAGAACAAGCTTTTGCTTTATGATAAGCTCACAGCTTGTATAAATCACCTGCCGAAAATTAAGCTCCCGTCAAATATGAAGCACTTGCAATTATTATACTCGTTATATTCTTAATGCTTATTTTGATCATTGCACTCACACCAAACATTAAGCTCTCTGTTTCATTAAGCTCAAGAATAAAAACCTTCCACATAAATAACACTTAAGCTCCCGATGTATCCTAACTTCTTTCCTCAAATTGACTCTTGCACTTCATTCAGCACCTGTCTTATACTAAGCTCAAGTTGCACAATAATTAATTTGTCTTATTTACGAGTTTTATACTTTTTGTTAAAAGCCATACTGTCGTGAACCAAAGAATTTATTATTATTATTTTCGTTTTTTTTCGGGAACTTTTTGTATTAGCCTTTTTGTCAGGATCTATTGGATGAATTCCATCTTGTTGCCAGACCTTCAAGATTGCTTTGTCACCGCCTTTTTTCTATCAGCTGTTTTTGTTGATGCGGTTAGCAAGGGGCCTAATATGTCAAGCGCCAATCTGAGATGAACGTCGATAGTGTTGACATAACTCGATGCTCGAAAAGTACAGCTTGTCATCAGAGTTTCTTCCAGGCATCTCTTCGCCCCCCCCCCCCCCATCCCCGAAGAAAAGTCTACCCCCCCCCCCGACACGAAAATGGAATTTATATAGAAAACATATACTTTTACCAGTGTCCGCCCCCCCCCCCCCATGAAAATGTTGACCGCCCCCTCCCGAAAATATCACGTGCCCCCCCCCCTCCGAGAAACTAAACACCACCAAATCACTGCTTGTCACTGTCATTCTAAATTTCCCGAAACCTACTTCATAGTTTTGGGGACGACGTCGTTTTTCATTTATTGTAGTAAATAGAGATGATTTAAACCCGACACACCATTAAAAATAAATGGCTAGAACAAACACTTCTACGTCCTTGAAATGGCTGATTACAGGCAACGTAAGAAGTTGCTAAGAGTGGGCGAACGATGGTGCTGGTTTTCCACTAAGGCCACGCAATTAAAAAAGTTATACTAAAAGGAAGCACCGGACGGAGTACCTTGAGGTAGATCTAAATACACTAACACTATCGGAAATTCCAGACATACCGCCAGCCATGGAAACTTAAAAATCAAATGAAAATCCTGGTCAAGGTCTGAAATTAAAGGTGAACTGAAACTTTTAAAGGACAACCAAGATTCATGACTAGACGATATATTTTCTGGAGATTTCAAAGTA